GCTGGTTTGGTGGCTGCAGCGCCTGCAAGTGTTGTTGCATCGCCTGGATGCCGTCATGGAGGGGGAGCCTGTCACGGCGAGAGAGAGCTCCCTGAGCTGGCCGGGAGAGCTCAGGGCTCAGTTGACTCGTTCGAGGGGCCTAGACCAATGTGGCAGTAGGGAAGACGGCGTGCAGAAGGAGCTTGTCAGCCACCCGAGTGATCTCCATGAGAAGTTTTATGATTAAGGGCATTAATATTGGGTATGACCTTACGTAGTGAGTAGTGAGTAGTGACGGTAGTGCACGGAGGAGAGCAACCCCTCCTTCCCCTCCACCCCACCTCGTTGCTTCCCAGTTACGCTTTGCCAGCGCAACGAACCTTCTCAATTTTCCACCCCTCCTCACAATTGCTTTATTACTCTCCTCCTGTCCCGACCTTTTTACACTTCTCCTCAATTCTTTCATCCCTTCCTCCTTCCTACCTTACCACCTGCCAACCACCACCATCATGTCGAACGGAGTTACTTTCGAGCTCAGCAATGGCGTCAAGATCCCCGGCGTCGGTTTCGGTACCTTCGCCAGCGAGGGTTCTTCCGGCGAGACCTACCGCGCCGTCATGTGCGCTCTGAAGACCGGCTACCGTCACCTGGACTGCGCCTGGTTCTACCTGAACGAGGGTGAGGTCGGTGAAGCTCTCCGCGACTTCCTGAAGGAGACCCCCTCCGTCAAGCGTGAGGACATCTTCATCTGCACCAAGGTCTGGAACCACCTCCACCGCTACGAGGACGTCCTGTGGTCGGTCAACAACTCCCTGGAGAAGCTCCAGGTCGACTACATCGACCTATTCCTGGTCCACTGGCCCATTGCCGCCGAGAAGGAGACCCAGGAGAAGCCCAAGATCGGCCCCGATGGAAAGGTAAGCTAGAGCTCTTTCACGTTCACTATGGCTTGATTGGTTCATCAACTGACCCCTGCTGTAGTACGTGATCCTCAAGGATCTCACCGAGAACCCCGAGCCCACGTGGCGCGCTATGGAGAAGATCTACGAGGACAAGAAGGCTCGCGCCATCGGTGTCTCCAACTGGACCATCGAGGGTCTGGAGAAGCTGCAGAAGTTCGCCAAGGTCAAGCCTCACCTCAACCAGATCGAGATCCACCCCTTCCTGCCCAACGAGGAGCTGGTGCAGTACTGCTTCAAGAACGGCATCATGCCCGAGGCCTACTCTCCTCTGGGCTCGCAGAACCAGGTGCCCACCACCGGTGAGCGGGTCAGCGAGAACAAGACCCTGAACGAGATCGCCAACAAGGGCGGCAACACCCTGGCCCAGGTGCTCATCGCCTGGGGTCTGCGCCGTGGCTACGTCGTGCTGCCCAAGAGCTCCAACCCCGCTCGTATCGAGTCCAACTTCAAGAGCATCGAGCTGTCGGATGCCGACTTCGAGGCCGTCAACAAGGTGGCCGAGGGTCGTCACTTCCGCTTCGTCAACATGAAGGACACCTTCGGATACGACGTCTGGCCGGAGGAGACCGCCAAGAACCTGTCTGCTTAAGAAAAGAACAGGGCTTGCGAATGATTTAACGGGTTATCGAATTTCTTTTTTTTTTTCCTTTTTATTTATGCGGGTCATAATAAAGAACGGGGAGATAACTGGATACCAATATAGGAGATACACAGAATAGTAGATGGAAAAGGAGAAGAGTTCTACATACCTGACAAAAAGTGCCCGAGTACAGAATAAAAGTATCTATCAAGAATAATACATTGTATACGGAGTGGCGTATGCTTAGATCGCGCCTGACAAGAATCCTGGTCCTGCCAAAAGTAATTGAGTAATTCGAATAATAAAATGAGCCCCAAGGCCAAGCGAATAATCATGACAACAAAGGACCAATGGAACATAGGAACATAATGCAAGCTGCATACTACCGGAGGACAGTCCTCCATGGAGTGCAGCAGCCCGGTACAGGATTCTGATGTGTGTACGGAGTATGCCTTTGAGATTGAGGATCAAATTCCTAGCATGAACAATTTATTTTGAGAATTAGACCATCGCCTCAACTCCGTACATCTACAGAATACCTTTACATCTACTGTAACTGAGTAGAGTACATACAAACAAACAGTCCATCGCCTCAGCAGCCAGCAGCCAGCAGCCAGCCCCAAGAAACCTCAAACTCTCCCGATAGTTAACTAGACTCAGCAATAGCAACAGTCAACACCCAGTTCTCGGACAAACCCGGAACGCCCCTCCTCCCGGTGGGCAAATCCGGAAGCCCTACTCCATAGAACAAGAACACCGACATGCCGGAAGAGGGAAAGTGGCAGGTGGAGAACCGTGATCGGAATCAAACCTAACCCTCAGCCATCGTACCCTTGCCCTCGTTCTGTAACCCTACTTTTTCCCCCCCTTACTTTTCTTCTTCCTTTTTGTCGCTTTAATATTTGTGAATGCGTACCTTGTGGCTGGCTAGTCTGACGCCCACCTGCAAGTAACGGACCAGAAATGAGCACTATACCATTTAGTTCCAGACCCGATGCCGAATGACGTGGAGGAGAGGGTTGTCTTATTATGTCTTAGTCACCGCCGAGGGGAGGACGTCCCCGCTAGACCGGATCGGGGACAGACTAGGTACACTGTCCTCCGTATGGCCTGCTCCACTCGGTTCCTGGATGGCTGGCTTGATTGGATTGGATTGGATTCATTAACCTGGTTCTTGTTAGTGTGAGGTGTGTATACCTTAGTGTACAGTACTCCGTATAGTACTCAGTATAGCATGTATACGAAACAGTCCAGCGTACGGTGTAGGCACTGCATACGAAGAATGTTTTATGCTAGGTAGACTACGAGCAAGGATCCAAGACGTAGGAAGTACGGAGTAATTCTTCTGCAGTCATGGAAGACCGTGCATGACGCTTTATTATTATGATTATTTTAGTTGTTGTGGTTATTGTATTTTGAGCCTCTTGTATGGTTCATAGGCGATCAAGTTGAGGGATTTATTATGCGGATGCGAAGCACTTTATTCGACGCATTGCATGTAGTAGCGGGTGTTTAGTTACTACACAACTACTCGCTCTAATGGAACACATCTATATACATACACTGTAGTTAAGTCTACTTTTGCAGTCTCAGGCAGAAGAACCCGATGTACTGGAGTTCGGCATCGGGCCATCGGTCTGATGTGTAGGAAATGAGGGATGAATATGATACGGATATACTTCTTCCAAGGTATTTGGGCCGGGCGGACGAGGTATCGGTGAGCTGATATAATTCAGGAGTATATGGCGGTCTATTAAGGTATGATATTCCTCCTTACTATGTACTGTACCTACACTTGCGAGCCCATTCCAAGCCATGACCCGGTGAACGAGTAGACTTTGGACACACACTTGTATACCGGTATGCTGTGCAGCCACATTATGCGGGTCGACGCCATTGGGGTGAGATGGGCATTTAGCAGGTAGTAGGGGCAGCTACTTAGTTCATTTGGGTGGGCTTTCGTATAGAAATCAATATCAGGGAGGATATATCATCGCTGAGTTAGAACGATCAAGATTATGTAGTTACTGCGCGTGTCTAGTACTATGATTATAGAGTATAGAATAAAGTATGGAATATGGGGTACGCATGCATCGATAACCTACATATCTACTGTAGGTGTCTATCCATGGAGATCACACATCCACTCCTATACTTCTTCCTGGCCCCTAAGTCATTACTCAGTACTCTTCACTCTTCACTCTTCACGACGGACGATCCACGAGACTCTACCTAAGTCTCGAATCAAAGCCAAGTCCATCTATTTAATTCTCGACCACACCCATCCATTCGAAGCCACCCCCCTCCTGGAACAAGGCAACCCTCCCTCCATTAGAAAACCCAATTGAACTGTCTTCGAGCATCTGAGATCCTGGACGGTTCAAAAAACCTCATATGATATCATCATGCATCCCAAGTCCAAGAACCAAGCCCCCCTAGTAGTTAGCGGTTGGCACTGGCACCGACTAGACGCTTCTAGGAGTACCTGTACCCCCCTGCAAAGATACCCTGACCCCGGACGAAACAGAACAAAACAGGACAGTATCGCGTATTACGGATTCATACCTGTATAGGTACAGTAGAACCGATCTTACTAGCACTACGACTCTGCCTAGAGTCTAGAGTCTACTTACCTATTTAGTAAATCTAGGAAAGTAGGGTAGGCAGGTATGGAGTAGACTAAGGTAAGGTAGGTTGGTTGCGGTGCAGAACAAGCCCATCCCATCCCACATGGATTTCTGTCGCACACAGTAGAAAAGATGGACACGGAATTATGGAGTCTAGAGTCTGGAGTCTGGAGTAGAGAACGGTGGACCATAGTGCATACCCCATACTTCGTGCGCCATACTTCATGCGTCCAGCTTTTGTTCTTATCTTTGATGTATGTAGATGGCTTTTTGGTGTTGATTCAGATTCAGACTGCTCGCCCCTACCCGAACGACTTCTCGGCTCTCCAAAGATCTCTTGGTTCATCAAATCAAAGAGGAGGTTTGGCGGGGAAGGCAAGAATAAGGGAAGTTAAGCGAGACATTGGCAAGGATCAACGAAAAGGAGGGGAAAGAAAAACCAGGATTCTGTCTACAGATTACCGGGTTCAGGACTAGTCTCGGAGTTGCGTGGTGACGCTTCTAGATGAAAACGGAGACGGCTTTCCCCGATTCACATGTTGGAAACCCCGGATTTCTTGGAAATGAGAATGAGAATGAGAATTAGAGTCAGAAATTGACGACAAGCGGCCGTAAGCAAGGTATCCATCCTATCCTAGTGTCCCCAACACCTTAACACTGCCCGGAACGCCTCCTTTTCCTCAAGTCAAGCCCGACGATCATTTCAAATCCCTGAGATTATGACTATGTACAGCATCTCTTTTCCAGCCAATTAGTTCGTGTGAGAGAGCCCCGTCCAGCAGGGGGAGTAATTACTAATTAGCAACGTCATTCCAGACAGACATATTATGGCTCGGTCGTAGTAGTATAGCATCACCCGCGCGATCGGATGCGTCTCGGTATCGGCGTAAACCCGGCATGTGTCTGGAAGATACTGGCGCTTCTGCCCGAGCTGCTGCTCTCCGACGATTTGCTCGTGCTGTTGCGGCTGCTGGTCACTTTCTTCGACGTAGACGACCCCAGTAACGTCGTGCGAGGCGACTGAGGGGTCAGCTTCTTACGCTTCTCCGGACTAGGCGAGAGCGACGACGACGGACTCGACTCAAGGGACGCGACTGCAGCCGTGGTGGATGACTTGGGGGTTCCCAGGCGTCGAACACGGCGCGTGCGAGGGGTTGCAGTAGCGGGTGCAGTAGTCGACGCGGTGGATGCCCCGTCATCACCACTCTCTGGGGAGCCCTGCGAGCGAGTGATGCGTCTACTGGTCTTCTTTCCTTTCTCGGATTTGCGACCCGGCGACCGGTCTCCCCGGTCACTAACGTCATCGCGGTGTTTTGTCGCTCCATTATCCTGTTGTTCCCCCTCATATTCGACCAGCTGCTCATTCCACGAGACACGCTTCTTCGCGGCAGCTGGCCGACCAGGTTTCCGTGTCGGCTTGTTGTCATCGGTTCCGACCTGCTCAGGCTCGGAAGATGGCTGAACCAACTTCTGCAGCGTGTACTTCGGAAGGATCGATTCGCCTTTGTTACTGCGCGTATTCCGTCGCGTCGCCAACGCCAACTCCTGCGCCTCTGACCGTTGAAGGAAGACAAATTCGGTTCCTTTGGCACGTCGGAGGGAGAACGTGTTGCGAACAGCGCCGGTTGTCGTTCGCGGCTGTTTGGAGGTGCTGTTTCGCGTGCTTCGACGAGGACTGGCCGGCAGCGGCTCGTCGTTCTCGTTGACATCCTTCACCGAGCCCTTGATCGGTGAGCACTGAAACTTCTGGGGGGAGGGAGAGTTGGCGTCGAGAACCTCCAAGGCCCGTCGAGATGCTGGCGGTGTGGGCATTTCGGGGACTTCGATCTCCGCCGGTGGGGATGTAATGGCTTCTTCTTTTTCTTTGGTTTCCGGCGTGACCAGAGCCGCCGCTTTGGCTTCGCGTTTCGCTTTCGCCTTGGAGAGGAAATTGTTGATCAGCGCGGCGTCCTCCCCGTCCAACGAGCTTCGTAGCGCCGAGCGCACTAAGGTCGACTCTTGTTCGGCAGTCAAGTCCTGGACGGGGGCGGCTGCAGGCGCAGCAGCAGCAGGAGTACCGTCAGCGACGACGTTCTCGTCGGTGTTCTCGGTGTTCGGTGATTCTTCTAGTTGTCCAGCCTGTCGTTCATCCGTCATGGTCGCATCCAGCGCTGCATCCTCAGGGTCGGTTGTAGTCGTCACAGGCGCAGTCGGATCGGTGTTCTCGCAGTCGTGCCGTAACGGGGAGTCTTGTTGATCTATTTGGGGGGAGAGAATATCCGTCGTTTCTTTTATGTCGGCGACGGTCTCATCCGTCTCACTCGGGGCATCAGTGGATTGGCCATGTAGCAAGCGGGGATAGGCTACCAGCGGCGCCAACGCGGTGGTGGCCGCCCGGGATTCGTCCTGTTCCACGGAAGTTTGCGCGACCAACGTGGACGTATCCGATGCGATCTCATCATCACTAATTTCATCCTGCGCCTCTGAAGACTGCAAGTTCTCGACGGTCATAGGCTCGGGCTCGTCCACGAGACCGTGGTTTGTCGGGATCTTGCCTGCTGACAGTTAGTTTTGGCTTGATGATTGGTTATAGTATGTGTGGTCCCTAATGGGGCCTACAAATAACAAAAACAAAATTAAATCAAAACATAATAAAGATGAACGAAAGAAGAGAATGTGAGTCTTACGTCGTCGCCCGATGATAATATTAGACTCCCATTTCGTTTCCAGGAATGACCGACCACGCGATGCCGTCCCGTCGGCATCCTCCAGTGAAAAACAGCGTCGTTTCACGCCGCGCACGCTGGTCACATTTCGCGACGTGTTGATCTCGGTTAAGTTGGGGACCTCGTCGACGCACTCGCGCTCGGTCGCGACCAGCCGCTGCAGCGCCTTCATACTATTAAACGAGGAGCGAAAGCGCTTCCACACCTTGCGGGACCGGGGACGCGACAGGAACGGAGTGGAGGGCATGCGATCCCAAACACGAGGCACGTCCCGGGTGGTCTTGACGGGGGTGAACCGGAACCGGCGGTCCTCTTGTAGATGGGCGAGTTTGGAATTGTCAAGTGAGCTGAGGATAAAAAAGGGTTCCAAAGCGATTAGCGATCGATGGTGACGTGAAAACAAGTATAAGGATCAGAATGACGACGACAAAACTTTGAGGGACGCGGAAAAAGGGGTTGGTGGAACACGTCAAACGGCCATTTTCCTGACACCTAGAGCGCTCACTTCCCCTCCTCTCGACATCTCTCTCTGGAATGCTCGTGGAAAAGCAACTTACCATGGCGGTGGAGATGGCATCGCAGCGTCGTTGGTGGACATTGTTGGGGCTGCGAAGAATGTTTAGATGCGCCGGAATGGTGACGTCAAAACCACAAGAATGGTAGCCGATAGCTAGAAAAGAGGAGAGGGAAAAAAGAGTTGGGCGAACTAAGGATAGAGGATGAAACAACACTAAGATAAGGCGAAGATAGGCGGAGATGGAAGGGGGCGGTTGTCGAGTTGAAGATGAAGCTCGTGGAGACAAAAACAGAGAAGAATTGATGGGGCTCAAACGGTTGCGGGACCGTTGCTGTGCCAACGTCCTCCCCCTTACATTGCCTTAACACGCCAGTCTAGACCCATTATTCGTCCTTGTCAATAGTCCGGTTGAATGGAAAATCATATCCATCATATCTCATTATTCATTTAACTTTTGAGATTCAACAGCGGAAGTGCAGATCTTCAATATACCTATCCCCCGTAGATCTATTCCCATCCAGCCATTTTGCCATTGATCCATTCACCTCTAGAATGCCTTCGCCTTCATATCCCTCTCATCAAATGGATCTCCGAATTCATCTGAAAGAGTCCCAATTCAAATTAGTGCCTGAGAGGAACACAATGACCGAGAACACTCACTGAGGTTGAAATCCTTATCCACCACCAACTCCATCGCACGCTGGTAATCCTCCTCTGCCCGCTTATTGAGCCACTTGGCTCCCGGTTGATCCTCCGGTGCCGTCGAGCCCGACGTGGTGCCCGGAGCACCGCTGCCTAGATTGCTTGAGGTGGTTTGGGTCTGGGAACCCGGCGGGGACAGTTCCGAGAGACCTCCGACCGACGAGTTGGGGATGTTTCGGGTTGGCGTGCGAGATCCGGCTTGCGAGCCGTCGGAAGGGATATGGGCTGACTCCGGGGAGGAGGCCATCTGCGAGTCTCCGTCGGGATCTATGGAGGAGGACCGTGAAGTTAGATTAAGTCAAAGTGAACGGAGGGGCGTGGGTTGCGGGGATCGGAGGCGAATTGGATGATGATAGATGAATGCGGGGGAGTATTGCGGACTAAGAGGAACAGAGGAGTCGTAGATGATAACATAGGCGAGCATCTCGAGAGGAGGAGTGGAACATACCGGTAGTAGTCATGGCGGGATGTACTCCATAGCGTAGAAATAAGACGAGGGACCTCTTAAATAAGCGGCGGCAACAACGATTTTCCCCGGTTGGGAATTCTTCCGGTCTTCGTCCTCTCTTTTTCCCTTCACTCCATTTACTCCATTTACGATCTCGATTATTGATTCCTGTCGTTTCCTCTGCCCTTCCTCGCAATTCCCGTTCTTGGAGAAACTCGCCCCTTTTTGGCCTTCTGGGAATCTCCTGATCTCTGCTCATTTTATATACCGCCAAATCTTATTTTCCTGATCTGAACCTCCGGCGATCATGAGCGCACAGCCTTCGTCTGCACTAGGTCCCGACGCTTGGGAAGAAGATTGGGAGAGCCAAGCCGATGTATGTATTCACCGCGTTCATCCCGACTACTCAATCGTCCCCGGGACTGACTGGGAACTCCGCGTCGCTATAGAGATTGTCCACCGAACCGACCCCGCCGGAGGCGGAGAAGAAGATCTCTTCTAAAGTCTCCAAAGCCCAGCGCAGAGCAAAGCAAGCCGAGTTTAACCGCCAACTGTGGGCCGAAGCGTACGCATCTCGATTGAATACTCAACCCCCTCGTCTAGGCGCGCAACTTATATTCTGATCGACGTCTCTCTTTCCCGTATAGAGAATCCCCTCAAACGTTTCACTTTCTAGAATCTCGGTCCGACGTCCCTCTCAAGCAAGAATACAAACCTACGGTGACCCTTCTCAGTCGCAACCCGCCCTCGCGACAATCTTCTTCGACGGTCGACGCGACCACAGCCGGTGTCAGGCGCCTAGGCTTGAATCACGGCGCCGAAGACGACTCGGACGATGGATCGAAGCCGCCCGAGCCCAGCCCCGAAGAACGCCACGCCATCGCCTTGCGCAACCGAGAGGAGAAGCAACGTAAATACGAAGAAGTACGCGAGAGACTCTTCGGAAGCCCCTCCGCAACCACTTCAGGTGCATCTTCCCCGCGCAGTGAGACCCCGCCTAAACAGAACGAGGGCCGAGGCAAAGGTCGGAGTCGCGGGAACGGCAGAGACAACAATAACAACAAGAGAGATTCCTCTAGTGCATCGGGCAAGTCGAGACAACTCTACGACCCAGGGTCTCCTGCCAAGCAGAACTCGTCCTATGTGCCACGGAAAGAGAGACCCCAGACGGGGGATCGGGGTGCAAACGACCCGTCATCTCCCCGACAGCCGATCCGCAGCCCGCGAGGTCCGGATGCTAGTGGCAGAGCTGGTTTCCGGTCTGGCAGCCGGGGTGCGAGATTGGGTTAATGAGACTACTTTGGACTTGCACAAGTTTTCACACCGGGTGAGTCCGGGTTTAACCGCAACCACGTCTTTCAACGTCAACGCCAAATCCTTTCCCTATGGATTACGGAAGGCCTCTTCCGGAATTGATCGCATTTGCAAGTTGAGAGGTATTGGGCCGGTTCTCTGAGCAGACCGTCAGCTTGGTGACAAAAACCAACAATGCATGGCAAAATCACTCACGCGCATATCTTTCATAACTATCAAGGTAGAGCTCATCAGTGCTCACGGTCGCCTTGATGTGCTCGTTCTCTTCAATGGCGTTGACCCAGGCGGCCCAGCGACTGCCTGCTTCAGGGTCCGGCCAGCCACGGTAAGGCTTGAGGGCGCGACTCAGCCGAAGAACCCAGGGCGCTATCTGAACATCCACAAAGGAGAGATTCGGGCCTAGAAAGAAAGGCCCCTCCGGATTGGCGGCAGAAACCAACGTGGCCAGCGCGTCTTTGAGCTCCTGTGCATTTAGGATTTGTTTTTCGTCGTTCTGCTCTTGGAGAATGCGATAGAAATTGGGCACAACATGGCGGTTGATCTGCGCGTGTCAGTAAATGCCAGCCATGAGTGGGTTCAATCCGTGGCGGGACTCACAAAATCTGTCCAAAGTCGACAGTGAGCGCGCAATTGAGCATTGCCCGGCGGGAGGAGAGGTGGGCCGACATTCAGGTCTTCGAGCTGCACAGATTTGTTAGGATCTATCGAGTCCTAGCGGAGAAACAAATGGTCATCATACATATTCCATCAAGACCGAGCTTTCATACGAGCCCCAGTTGCCATGGCGCAGGGCAGGAACAAGCCCTCTTGGATTCACTTCCAGTAGCTCGGGGGGTTTCTGATACGGGTCGACTTCAATATACTGGTAGGGGATACCCTTGGCCTCAAGGGCGATCCAGACACGCTGCACAAAAGGACTGGGTGGGATTAGTTACAGTGCTATGAAATTAGCGGGTAGAGAATCGCTTACCAGAAGCAACTGCCATACAGTTTTAGTTCATGATCTCCTTCATGCTCTGCTGCGGTCACGGCGGCTTGGCCTGTGGCCTTGGTGTGGTACGTTCTCTGCGATTGGTGATTCTGAGCCGACATCGTTCGAGCCTATGTTTTACAAATCGGGTTAGACGGGTGACAATAGAATAACTGTTAAATAACGAGTTTAATCTCGATGTTCCTTTCGGTTGATGAGCAGAAGAAGACGAAGATGAACAGGATGAGGGGATGGAGAGGAGAGGAGAAGCGGGGAAAGACACGAGTGACGTAAAGCGCCCAACAAACACCAACATCTGCGAACTCACCGTCGCTTTTTTCTGCTCTTTGGCCTCCTTCAAAAGATATCGCTGCACACTATTTTTTTTCACCCGATCGCTCTCCTCCAGGCTATGGCGGTGGCCTCCGCCCACCCCGTCGTTCTTGCCATTGGCTCCGTTCCCATTGACTCGCTGAACAGTAAAAAACCGCTGTCCGTTGGCCCCGGGATGGTCCTCAGGCAAGGGCGGATTGGGCGTGAGAACCCCGAACGGCTGGCTGTTTTGAGAGCTCGACTGCTCGACGCCCAAATGCCCCCGACCAGGGTATAACGTGTTCACATCCGACAGCGACTCCGACGATAAGGTCGGCGTCTCCAATCCCTGAGCAATGGCATCCGGACCGATCATTTCGCCATAGGCGGGGAAGTATTCCGTGATCTTGATCTTGACATCGCAGAGATCGCGCTGACGGGCGGTGCGTTTGCGCTTCTTCTTGTTGGGATCGTCGGATTTGGGAGTTCCGGGAGGTCGGCCTTTGAGTCGACAGTCCCAGTAGTGGGAAACCAGGGGTTTGCGCTTGTAGTGCTGTGTAGATCGATGCGAGTAGACATTATCGACATGTGGGAAATAGGTTCGGAATCTGATCAGTTTAAGCCGGGTGAGCTTCTTTCTAGCCTAGCAAGCTTCCAGGCCGTAGATCCACCTACTGCTCTTCGCTCAGGACAAGGGTTTCGTCGACGTTGAAGAGTCGTTCCCTCCATAGGTCCAGGTCCGGCGGATCCAACACCGACATCATATCGCGGAGGTACCCGTTCTGTTTCGACACGAAGATCGACACATCGTTCTCGGTTTCGGTTGGGTGTCGCTCTTGCAGCGAGGCAGTGACTCCATCGCGCGACTACATAAGTTAGAGATAGAAGCAAAAAGTGCCGGTACCGACGAAAGGATTTAGATTGAATCTAATCAGAAAAGCGCAAGAGAAAGGCGGGTGTTCTCACTAGGGCGTTGTATGGTTCTGCCGTTCGGGACAGACGAGTTCTATTTTCCTCCAATTGCTGCGATGTGTACTGATCGAGACTAGCGGGTGCCAAATGCAAGGATGGTAGAGAGTGCGCATCCACGGCGTTGTCGCTGGTCGCGTGTCCCTGAATTGACTGCGGCTGTTGTTCCTGCTCCTGCGCCGCGGCCAACGTCGACGCGTCTTCCGCAACGCAAGACAGCGAGTCTGGGGGTAGAGGGCGCGGGATCTCGAGGGAACCCAGGGGCTCTGGATTGTCCATTTTTCGGACAGAGCATAAATAGAAGGAAGAACTAGAAGAAGAGCGAATGCGAAAGGAGATACAGTCGAGGGATCTAGATGGATGGAGAAGGGATGCTGCTTTTGTTCGAGACGGAAAAGGCGGGGAGGATTTTGAAAGCGGCAAGGCGGTCGATCCTTTCTACTTTGTATCTTCCTGGTTCACCCTGTCTCTTGACTCTCTCTCTTCCACGCAAAAAGAACGAAAGAAATAAAAAGAAAAGAAAAATAATTACAGAGTGCAAAGAAAAAATTGCGACACACCAGTCGTCTCAGCCTGATTCGCAACCAGTGACTCCCAAAAAGCAAACAAACGACACGTTTCTGGCGTTAAATGCATTAAATCCCATCTTCCTCGATAATGTCACTTCAATTCAATTCGCAATCCAAGCTTATTCACCGAGGACTGGCTGGCAGTCTCCTCGCTTGATTCTTAATACCCATTCTCGTCGACACTATTCTCGTTATACATGCGCAGACTATACTTGGCAAACTGACTTCGAGCCCTAATCCTCTCCCCATACCGGGAAAACAACGGCGGAACTATACAAAACACCGTGGCGATGGCCGCCAGCACCGACACCGCGACGTTAGCCCCCAACCTCGAGAACATAGGCACGGCGATGAGTGGCAAGACGGCCGACAGCAACGCCCGGACCACGCTCAGGGCCGCCAGTCCGCTGGCGGCGTAGCTCAGGTAGCTGTCCGTGAGGTATCCACTTAGCACGTAGTCTATTTCGTTCAGGGAATATCCGATCAGCACCAGTGCTAGAGCGGACACCGTCCAGTGGACGTTGGTCACCTGCGGCGGAATGCACCATGCGAAGACCCAGAGGCCAACGGCTAAGATGGGAGTTCCGATCCAGAATCCAGCTAGTTTATGCTCTGGTAACAGGGGACGGCCTTGCTGACGGTGCTTCTTGATGATGTGCAGATCAAGGCAACGAGTCAGGACCCCAAACGCCAATCCGATTCCGATCGCCAGGAATGGCAGGCACGCATGCTTCGGACTGAAGCCGAAATCCTCGTAGACGGGGGGCAGAACCTCCGTGAATAGGTACACTAAGGCGATGGCGACGGCACTCATGATTGATACAATGAAAACGATGAGCTCGGTGAAGAAGAGGCGTGCCGGTCGGCACAGCGCAATCCGAACAAATGTCTGCCAATCCGGCGTCTCGTCGGGATTCAGGCCCTCGAGCGTCTCAATCTGAGTGACTTTACAAAGCTTCGCAACTTCCTTTGCCAAAACCAGTGACGGACGGGATTCACGAATTCCCAACAGGAGAACGGCTAGGCCGCCGGTCACCATCGTGGCGATATAAAACAACCATCTCCTGCGGTCCATGATCAATCAACATTCATTTATTTTCAATCATGTTCGTCATGACATCAAGGGGTCCTTCGGACTTACCACCCCAAATCCGCTGTGACAAAGGTGCTCATGATGGGGCCGACGATCAGGCCCAAGTTGGACACCACAGCCCAGCAGCATACCATCCAGACCCGGTCCTTCGAATTGAACATGTCTTCGATACTACCCATCACCACGGTGGTCGGAATAGCCGAGAGAAAACCGCTAATGAGGCGACCGATGACGACGCCGGAGAGGCTGTGAACGGAGGCCACAATGGCGCAGGCGATGCTGTACAAGGCCGTGCTGACGATGTACAGCTTTTTGCGCCCGAACGCCTCCGAATACGGGGGAAAGATGATGGCACCGATGCCCTGGCCCAGTAAATATCTAGAATCCACGTACTCATCAGAAAAACAACAACAGACTCTTGTATGGCTGCACGCGCGCAGGCGAAACTCCACGGACTGGCAAAAGGTGTGTAACGGACATGGAGACGAAGAGAAAGAGAGACAGCTCTTTTCGAATGCCAAATTCCCCGGCGGCATCGTGGGCGGTCGTTGACTGCAGCGATTAGCACTCTGCTCTGGCCTACAAAGGCAAACTCAATCCCATGCTGGCCTGTCCTAGGGTGACATGGAAACGAAGGACCGGGGAAAGAAAACGTACACCAGCGGTGCTTATCGCAGTCCTGCATACAAATCCGTGTCAGCTCCCAATCCCAGCCCTATGTGTGCGGGAAAACATCAACGTACGTAAAAAGCTCCAGGAATATGATCAAGCCAGCATCGTGGACTTTGCGAAGCAGGCTCCAATTCCGAGGATGATGAGGATTTCCCTTGGCCCACTGAATATGAAAACCGTCGCAGGCCAATTGCAGCCTGAATTCGGATAGATATGGTTCCAGAACGTCCTTGTCCACCACAACCGGGGATTTATGAGCTTCCGACATGGTTGTCTCTCGGCCCACGGTACAAGCTATCACGCGAAGGACTCAACAGGGTTCGATAAACGGGAGCAGGGAAGAGAAAGATAGAAGGAGAGAACGAGAGAGAAGAGAAAGAGGGAGAGATGATCAGGCAGGACACGACACATCTTGAAGAATTCGGCAGCATGGCTTGCGTTTATGTAAATCAAGGACGAAAACTATGAGGAGAAACCCGAGCTCGTCAAACCGCGAAGGGGGCGTCGAGCTTGCAAGTATCCGCCCATCTGTCATCGTGACACTCCCTAGTTGATCGCCGTGATTGTGGGTGTAACTGACCGGCTGGTCCAGTCAGCATCTATTGCAGTTCTCGTCACCATCGAGGCAGTCGTCGTCACTCTCGGCCCCTTTGTAGTCTCGTCGCTCGTTTCGGGGATAAAGACCCGCATTCCTGCTGGATCAACGACTCTCATTCTTGTTCTGTGCTGGGTGAGGTATGTGGAAACCCCGGTTTAATGGCGCGGTAATGTAAAGAGACGAGAAGTTGAGATGTCGTGTTTCCCTGCCAAAGGTTTGAAATTTCCATGCGTTGATGACAGGGCGAGCTTGCAGAAACTCGGAAGTCGCATTCCGATCTAATTTAGATCAGTCACGAGATGTGGAGTGAAGGAGCAAGCTCTATTAATTTACGCGATGCCGACGATGGCTTTGAAAGCAGAGAAGATGTCTTGATTGGTCTGCAAACAAACTATGTATAGGTCCATATATGTACTGTACCCGTGTTTCTTCATGAAAAGATTCCCCTCGTGATCGACTATATACTTCAATCTATGTCATTTCCCCTCTTTATACATCATCATCATCATCACTTCCATCCCGAGTAATTCTAGCAGGGAGCTAGTTTCTGGGATTTGGGCTCTAGTTCTGAGCTTAAGAAGCGCCGTTATAGGCAAGGAGGTTGGGGCTGCCCTTGACATCAGTGATGGCACCGGAGGTGGCGAGCTCCTTGATACGCTTGGTGACGGCGGCGGGGGTGCTGAGTCCCTCAAGAGCCTGCAGGTAGATGGCCAGACCAACGATGTGGGGGGTAGCCATGGAGGTACCGGAGATGGTGTTGGTGGCAGAGCTGCCGCCGATCCAGGCAGACTTGATGTCCTGGCCGGGAGCGAAGACATCAACGACGGAGCCGTAGTTGGAGAAAGAGGCACGGGCGTTGCTCTTGGTGCTGGCAGCGACGGTCAAGGCGTTGGGGGCAGAGGCAGGGCTGGTGTCGCCAGCATCGGACTAGATCGCTTGAATTAGCTCAATCCGCGATGGGATGTTGGTTGGGTAAATGGGACACGTACATTCTCGTTACCGGCAGCGACAACAGTGAGGACACCCTCATCGAAGGCGTTCTCGACAGCTTGGTTGAAGGCATAGGAGTATCCACCACCTGTGAATGAAATTAGCAACCATTCGGCGCCCCAATAGACTGAGATAGGAGCTAACTTACCGAGAGACAGGTTGATGGCGGCCTTTCCAGTACGAGACTTGCTCACAATGTCGTTGGCGGCCCAGTTGTATCCGTCAAGAATGATGGAGGTAGAAGAAGATTCGCCCTGGAAGACCTTGACAGAGAGGAGGTTGGCCTTCTTGGAGAGACCGTAGGTCTTGCCACCAATGGTACCGGCAACGTGAGTTCCGTGGCCGACGCTGTCAACGTGCTGGCCGCCAACGGCGTTGTAGGCGAGGCTCGCACGGCCGCCGAATTCGCTGTGGTCGACATTGATACCGGTGTCAACGACGTAGCCGTAGGTGCCCTCGCCGGCGCTGGAGTCGTAGACGTAGCTGGTGCTGGCGCTGCCCTTGTGCGAGATGGCACCCAGACCCCAGGTGGCACCGGTCTGGGTGGTAATAGCATCAAGGTACCAGACCTGGTCCTCCTCAATGTGAGCAACCTAAAGGTAGATAGATTAGCACAGCTGGTTCCATTTTGCTTTTTGCGCTTTTCTGAGGTGAATACGTACATCGGCGCTCTTGCGGATCTCCTCGATGGTAGAGTCATCGAAGGAACCGAAGTAGGCGGCGAAGTCCTTGATCTTGAAGTTCTTCTCGATACCGACGGGGAGGTCGGAGTCATCGGAGCCATCACGGCGGGCAAGGTTGCGCTTGTGGATGTTGGTAGCCCAGGTGGTGTGCTGCTCGATCTTGGCGGTGTCGATGCCGCTCTTGAAAGTGACAATGTACTTGCCAGCGATCTTCTCGGAAGCCCGGCGGGTGTTCTCGACGGGGGCACCGAAGACGGCGGGGAGCATAGCTCCAAGGAGGAGCAAAGTCTGCTTGAAGGAAGGCATTGTCAACTGCTTGAGAGCTGGAAGAACTGTTCAAGTGTGATGATCAGAGAACCAGAAGCTGTGTGATGATGAGGAGAAGTATGCGAGGGATCCGGGCTGTATTTATAACTTTCCGGAACACCCTCTCCCCTTTCAAGGTCAATTTCGTGATATCAAGCCACTCATGCACCATGGGAGGACAAGGATGCGGGTGTCCCGACGAGCATGGTTGGAACCCTCAAGGTGACATCGCATCTTCAGGCAACTCCGTTGTGCTCCATTGGGAATGGTACTATCAGTGGGGAACAGGATGCAGGTGAGAAGACCGATGTGGACGTTGGAAGTCCAAAGACAGGGACGACCATCACGGAACTGATCCGCTCTCCAGGCCCGGGCGAGCAACTCTACTGGGTCACCAGGAACGCCGGGCAGATGTTTAGCAGCAACGAATGGGGAGCCCTAAACCTGCGCAACGATAGCACGGGCCGGTCTCCTCAGCTGCGTCCCGACGATCTTCACCTTCGTAGGGAAGGTGGTATAGCTTCAATCCTTCAGACATCTTTTGACTGCGGCGAACGACATTTAGTCCCAGTTTGGTGCTAATGAGGCGCAGAGAAGGCCCCAAGGGGCGGGGAGCCCTAGCGCTGTGTTCTTAGACTTCAGTGTGACTGTCTAAATACTTGGCATTCTCACGCGATATGCGCTGCTGCCCACCCCTTTTCTTTTAAAAAAAGAAAATCGATGATGGAAGCACAGAATTGATTGGACAGACGAATGATAGCCTACCGGGATTATCTAGAGCAAGACCCGGCATCTGGACAGCAAGCACGAAAACAGTAAAGTGCCCAGGGTTGCACACCAGGATACAAGGCCGGTCTCACCTATCAAGTCACCATGCAAGTGTTGGCCACCCAGAGCTGTCGGAATAAACAAGGCTGCAACACGGGATCGCATACGGGCTAAGACAGTGGCGATAAGCATTAGTCGCCCTTTCCCCTCCTCTCCCGAGGATGAAGTTAAGCAAATTCTGGTGTTACACCAAACTAGACACAAGCACGGCATGTGCTTTCCTGCGTAGGGGGTGCAAGGGGAAGAAGGAAGGGGGTCTCCTGATGTCAACAGGGCCGGAGCATATCAGATGCACCTCCAGCGAAATTAAATTGGCGAGGCCAATAGGAAGCAAAGGTAACCAGGGGAAAAAGCGCTCAAACCCCCATGCAGAAGCGATGGCAAGAGTTGTTTCTCTCTCCACGTTACGCAAGAATCCTCGGAGATAACGATACGCCGACATGAGCAAGCAGACCGCCAATCACAACAGCTCAGCCTTCAGCAACCCGTTAACCGTTGAAGCCTAGGTGCATACCGTCCGAGACCTCTTTGAAGGGTGCGAGTGCGCCGCCGGGAGTCCGTAAAGCCTTGGGGCTTGGCATCAAGGGACACAACGGACCTCAAGAGGGGTTGACTGGCGAGAGGGTTATCGAGCGGGGACGGGCGGCATTGAGAGATCCTCTAGGCCCGGAAAGCTAATATGGAATCGCAGATGACCATTGGCGATGTCTTTGAGATGCATACCCTGCAGATGGGAAGGGAAAGCGTGGGTCCCGTGGTGGGTAGCTCGCAACAACCGGGTTCAGTAATGACTTAGTTGCCGGGTGCATGAATCAAAATTCGGAATCCAGAAGCAAAGACCACATCCTCTTGGCACGGAAGGCGATGCTTGCCAACGGGAAGACCGGCTGCTGACTGGGATGCAGGGGGGATTGCATACTGGCCATTCATCGAGCCAAGACGCGGACGGTCAGACACGACGGCGTGCTAGTTGAGAGCTGATAGCTGATAACTGAGTCACTGACAAAAGAATAGTACAGAAAAGCAAGAGATGCGGGTCTCCCTCCCGGGTAATTCGGGGATTTCCAACTGGGGGGTGGACAACGAATGAGACTAGTAGAGGGATTAGCATCAGCTGTTAAGGTGAGGTCGAAGTGGAAGTTGGGCGCGTTGATCGGACTGATTGGCGAGGATGGAGATGACAGGCCTGAGGTTGCAGTCACGCGGGCTTGGCGTGCGTCGCTCCTTCGGGCGTCCGTTGGTCCTCAGGCATTCAGATTAATTCCCTTGATTAAAATGGGCCCACAGCTTGCTCCTTCCCCGCTATTGCCAACTTTAGCTGATTTGAGGCCATCTGCCATCATTCCTCAGCCTTTTCCCCTCTGTCTCTTGCCAAGACTTCCGATCGATCATGAAGATCTCTTGCCAAAAATGGGATCAGATGCCAAGTCGCGAGTGGAGTAGATCGAAGGGACTCCGACGGCCTGCACAGCTAGCTTGATGATACTCCTGGTACCCTGCAACTGGGCATGGTTCAGTCTGGTGGTATTCAATACTCCTCCTCTCGCGGATTTGAAACTCGGATGCCTCATTTCTCGCTCTGCAGGCGATGATTCGATGATTCAAATCTCATCGTTCAACCTGACTACACCACCTAGTCGAGGTTGCAACGGAGAGGGTTCTCGATATACTTCGTGTCAGGTACGCGATAGGGGGCAGGGGAAAATTAAAAAAAAGCAAAGGCAAAAACAAATACAGGCACCCGTTCTCTTGAGATGCAGTCTTCGGACATGCAAGCTTGGCACTATTACGCAGAACACAGCACCGACAAATCACACTGTCCAAGCAACACAACACAAGAGATTAGCACACATGTCATAGCTAAAAAGGGAAATGCAGAGAACCAGTGTCCTCCAGATGTGGAGAATGGACGTTCTCTGCTCAGGAGATTGAGGGACTAAGAGGTCTTCAGCACGCAGGAACCTCTAAACTGACGTGCTGCCCTACAATCCTGTCGAGGGTGGTTGCACTTCAGACCCTTGTTCACCTACTACCCAACTACACCGAACCTAGTTCACGCTCAGGTGGTCGGTCTCTTCATGTCTCGGAGTTGGACGGTGGAGGGACCCGCAGATAGCAAAGGTCCTTTCTCCCTCCACTCTCGCCTTAATCTACGCTCGTGCCTTCATTCGACCGGTCATAGAATGCAATCCCGCCATGGATAGGATCTTTAGACGAGACAAGCCCCCAAGATACAACAGATGAATCGATTAGGGAAATGACTGCAGCTACCGTCATAATTTGAAAATAATACACAATATTAGGACCAGTTGAGAAGAAATGAGGTGATATTATGCAACGAAGGGCCGGGGCAAAGGCCGAACAGGGGCACGCCCTGCAGCCAAGAATAGGAACGGATGTCCGATTAGATTAAACCCTCACGCATGTAATTTAAAGCGTTCAAGACTGCGTCATTGGCCGGGGCGAATGGCACCAAAATAGACTCCGAGGGATTTCAGCCACCGGGTCATGACACCCCCAAGGTTCTTACGCCGCCTGCAAATAAATCCATATTCATCCTTTACTCCGGTGGAGCTTAATGCAACCTGTTCATACACCGTACACATGTTCCAGGGCCCCCATGTCGCGCCTGCATCGCTTCCCTGCTCACGAACTCTTCTTCCAAGCATGTTTCTTAGCGGCCTCCTGGTTCTTGAACGGAAATCCGGCGGTTCTCTTGTCGGCCCCTGTCTTTCGGCTGATTTTACCGTTGCTGCTCGCAAAGAGAATGCACCATAGCCCCAGGGCCGCCAACAGCGAGTATCCGACCATTCCGATGGCAAAAGCGACCTGGTCCGAGGATGCCCAACGCGAATACGCATAGAATGCTGAGAGGCCGCTGGAGGTGGTGGTCACGATCAAAGTGGGCACTGCGTACGGGGCCTTGGGGTCAGAATCGTCCGTTGTCACTGGCTCAACGACGCTAGAGGTCAAGGGGACGGAGCCCGTCAATATCACGACCAAAATGGCGAGCGTGAAGAGATTGAAGCCGAGGCAGCGTGCGAAATACACCTCGACCGCTGTATGCAGTCAGCATTGGCCATCCTGGATGGATCCTTCTCGTCATTGTTGACTCCGTCGAGTCGACCTGGCAAGAATACTCACAGGAAGGCGGTCTGGTTTCTTCGGATAACATGGTTGTCATCATCTCGGGGACTGTGAGCAGAGGAATGCTCTGCAGAGTCAACCATCCGGCTGTAGAGTATGTGTAGGCGTAGAATACCTGTGAATCATTGCGGTTAGCTTGCTTCTAGCTCCCTGTCCCTAGAGGGGGGAATTGTAGGCGCTTGCGTTCAGACATACATCCATGATGGAATGAGCGTATGTACGACAGTCAGAGGTAGTTCTAGCAAGTAATTTAATCAATTGTAGAAGTGACAATATACAAGAGCGATGAAGCTTTCGAAGGTAGTCGGTAGATGTCGAAGCTCCAAAGGCAGAGGCAAAACAGAAGCAGACGTGGGGATTACATCATCGCTCTGACGTCACTTATAATCCCATTCTTCAGGCAACACCGTGCCATCTCCAGGCTTCCTTGGCTAGGGGGTTATTTTCGTTGTATTTGTATGTTCTAGGGATTGCATATGTCTTAAGTCGAAGTATAAAATATTTCGTACTGGATATATGGAATATTTATTGGGGGTTTCTTGATTCTTCGGCTCATAGAAACATATTGTTCGGATTATATATATAATACTTAGCAACACGTTAATTTAGCTCGGTCTAACAATTTCCCCACTGGTAGTATGCTAGAACAAGCTATGTAGGTGTGAAAATGCCATGAAGGCCATAGATTACCAAAATAAATTTAAATGACTATTAAGATGGTTGTTGAGGAAGAGGATGTCTCTCCCTAGTGAGCAGAGCAAAAGGCGAACTTCTTGGCAGATTACTCCCCAGACATCCAAAACATCCACGTTGCTCAAAAGACTTTTAGTCTTAGTCCTGGAATGAAATTGCTTGCTTTTGGGTTCCTGTTTGTTTGGGTGATCGGACCATTGCAAACCGGGTGGTGGCACATCCTTAGAAAAATTTGAAACTTCACTGTATCCAGCCAGACTGGGATCCAGGTACGTTAAAAGTAACGACTCATTGGATGCCACAGAGCGATGGCTATTATTAGAAAGAAACTTAAACTTATATCTCGAATTTCTAATCCATTTATTCATGTTGTGTTCCAATGAGAACATGAAATGACCGTAAATAGTAACTCCTTTGAAAAACACCTAGGAAACAGAAACCAGACCCTATGCAAATGTTGTTTCAGATTGGGATATCATTGGTTAATGTTGTTCGCCGCCAAGTATCTGGTGAAGCTCAGGTCTTGGTCCGAAGGGGGATTTCGCGAGCCCCCCAGCGCTTGCTTGTACCGCTGGGAGAGCCCATCGTTGTCACCGGCAGCAGGGGCACTATCGTCCTCGCCACTGTAATCATCATCATCTGATTCCTCGAGGTCTCCTCTCCGCTTAGCCGCGGCGGATTCCTCTTCCTCGTCTTCGGCCTCGCTCACGGTCTCGGCCTCGTTATCCGCACGCCGGCTGGGACCGGATCCGGAAACGTTCATATCCTTCATGAGTTTGCCCAGCTCAATTTCGCGCTGGGCGGCCTGGGTCTCCTCCCGCTCCTTCTTCTTGCGATCCAGCTCCGGCTTGTAGTCGCGTTCAAACTCCTGGCGCTTTTCTTCCACCGCCTTGAAGAAATCGTCAACGCCGTCACCAGTCATGGAGCTGACACCCACGACATTCAGGTGCCGATAAAACTCCTCAAGCATCAAACTCATGCTGTTGAGGAGGGAGCCCATGTATCCACTTCCCGCTCCGAATCCTCCAGCGGCACCCTCGGTTCCGAACGCGCCCGTTTCCTCTTCCTGTCGTAGGGCTTGCTGGAACGCGTCGAAGTCGGTCATCCACTCCTTCGCAAACTCGGCGTCCTGAACATCCGTCTTGTTGAACACCAAGATCATGGGTAGCTTCGTTTTGTAAAGAATACTGCAGGCGTAAAGCATGTTGCTCATGAAGGTGCTCGTGGAGCTGGAGCGCGGGGTATCGATAACGTATGCGATCACCGTGGGGAACGAGGATGCCAGGGTCTCTAGCAAGATACTGCCCGATGCGCTCCATACGAAAACCTCGATCTGTCCCGGAGTATCAACCAAGATGTGTTCGATGGGCTTGGCGGAGGGGTTGCTCGGGTTCGGCGCGGTGCGTTTCTCCAGTAGCGAGATGATCTGGTCAACCTTGGTGGCAAAGAGGTTGAGCGACGTCAAGATACCGCCGTTAGGTCCCAGATTATACTGTTTCATCACTTCTTTGTAATTGATCGAATCCCGAATGTCGATGTTGCTCTCGAACGGAACGGAATAAACGGCGGGGTCCAGGTTCAGCACGTAGGGCACTTTCTTCTGCGAATGGAGATGCGAGTTGATTCGCTGCATGAAAGTCGTCTTTCCGGAGCCTAGCATAGAAAGAAAGTTATTGTGAGCAAGCAAGCCATGAGAAGTGAAGAAGAGCACGTATTCATACCTGCCATGCCCACGCAGACCACGGCGACGGGAGATTCGGCCATGGTGAGAGGCTGCTGAGAGTAGAAACCACCTAGACAGGACTATAAAAGGCTGTAAGGCGTCAAAGATGATAGTTGTAACCTAAAAAACCGAGCGCAGGGTATGGGTGGATCAGAGGGGCTCTATCATGGAGGATGGCAGACAATATGACAAAGCCGAAGAGAAATTCTTTAGTCGCGGGGAGGATCTGCCCGGGTGGAGTCGAGACCGGCCAGACGTCATTCGACCTTTTCCCGCTAGTTGGTTTCTGCCGCGCGACAGCTTCTTCCTTTTGCTCCTGCACCATCACCTTCCTTACACATAACACGACAACCTCTTCAACCTCCCCGAAGATGGGTTTGGAGGATTTTGAAAAGTCATTGGCGGAGGATCAGGAGAAACGACGCGCGAAAAGCGACCGAGACAGACACCATCGGAACCGAGATCGCAGCCGGGACCGCAGCAAGGATCGTTCGAGGCACCACCGACACAACCATCACCGCCGTCACTCATCCCGATCGAGAGAACGCGAGTCCGAAAGACACAGAGGATCGCGCCATGGCGATGACGATGGACATCGACACAAACGGTCTCGTCACTCATCGGACCACGGCGACGATCGAGACCACACTCACAAACGGCGGCACCGAGGGGAAGAGAGAGAGGATGATGGAGGTTTGCCTGTGAAGGAAGTAATCCAGGAGGAACCGAATCGTCTAAAAAGAGATTCATGGATGGAAGCGCCCTCCGCGCTTGATGTGGATTACGTACAACGACGCGATACCACGCGCCTGCAGGAGGAACAGAAGCCGAAGATGCTCCAAGCGGATTTCGAACTCAAAATTCACGGCAGAGAGCTGAACAGCCACTTGCGCGATCTAAAAGATGGAAAGGCGTTGGAGGAGATCGAACAAGAACCGGCTCAGCACGAGGTTGATTACACTATTGGCGATGCCGGCTCGAAATGGAGAATGACCAAGTTGAAGGCCGTCTACAGGGAATCCGAAGAGAGCGGCAGATCGGCAGAAGAAATTGCATTGGAACGCTTTGGGGACCTGCGATCCTTCGATGATGCTCGGGAGGAGGAGGCGGAGTTAGAACGCCGCGAAACCTACGGTGAAGGGTATGTGGGTAAGGAGAAACCTACGGGGGAACTATTTCAAGAAAGAAAGCTTGAGCAAAATGTTCATCGTGACCCTCATGAGCATGTACGAAGCCCTGCACGGGAACTCGATGCACAGGGACAAGGCAAACCTATGGACACCGAGCCTCCTTCTAATACCACGCAGCCCTTGGACCTGACGACTCTCAACCGGCTGAAGGCTCAAATGATGAAGGCTAAGCTCAAGAAATCGGCGGACGCTGCCGAACTCGAAGAGCAGTATAACGCTGCGGCGGCAGCAATGGCAAACCAGAAGGAATCCGACGTCGTCGTACTAGGCGTCAAGGATAATCGAATGCTCGCTGGAGCGAAAAACGAAGTGAAAGCAGTGGACAACAAAAGGGGGCGAGAGCGTGGCAAAGTGGAGGACAATGATGACATGAGCATCGACGACATGCTACGGGAAGAGCGACGGACACGAGGGCAATTTGGCGGGGACGGACGAAAACTCGCCGAGAGAATAGCCAAGGATGGTAAATTTGAGGTATGTTTCTGGATCGAACGGTTGACGCGGACCTCATACTAACATGGATGTGTCAGAATGACTTGGAATATATGGATGACAACGCCTCGAAATTGGCCAAGCGAGTTCATCGGTCTGAGATCGACATCAGAAATACTTCCATCAATGAATTCCAGAAGATGAATCGGATTCTCGACAACTGTCCCCTCTGTCACCATGAAGATACCAACACTCCCCCGATCGCCCCCGTGGTGTCATTGGCGACACGGGTCTATATGACGCTCCCAACCGAACCCGAGCTCAACGACGGCTGTGCCACCATTGTCCCCATTCAGCATCGAACGAATCTCCTAGAATGTGACGACGATGAATGGGAGGAGATCCGCAACTTCATGAAGAGCTTGACCCGCATGTATCATGAGCAAGGCCGCGATGTCATCTTCTACGAGAATGCGGCCCAGCCTCATCGAAAGAGACACGCAACCATGGAGGTTGTCCCATTACCCTACAGCCTCGGAGAGACTTCTCCAGCCTTCTTCAAGGAGGCTATTCTCTCCGCGGACTCCGAATGGACTCAGCATCGAAAATTAATCGACACGGCAGCCAAGGCCAAACAAGGGCTAGGCCGGTCTGCGTTCCGACGTACTCTGGTCAAGGAGATGCCTTACTTCCACGTCTGGTTTGAGCTGGACGGAGGATTGGGCCACGTCGTGGAGGACGAGAACCGATGGCCCAAAGGAGACCTGTTCGCCCGCGAGGTGATCGGAGGAATGCTGGACGTGGGCCCAGAGGTGATCAAGCGACAAGGGCGCTGGCATCGGGGAGGAGACCGACGCGTTGACGGATTTAAAAAGCGGTGGAGGAAGTTCGACTGGACGAGGGTTCTGATGGAGGGATGAATGTCTATCTAGATCAATGTCTATAGTTACTCTGGGTACCATTGAATTAAACGACAACCGAGTGGGGCTTGCAAATGTCGTAATTGCAATTCAGTGTCGATACACGGGGCGTATTTGAGAAGGAGCGCGGCGTCCCAATCGGGCAAGACTAGTCGACAAGGCTGAGCCGCTGAGCCGCTGAGCCCTGCTGCGCCTGCCTTCCTCTTCCTTTAAAGAATGAAGATCCTGGAGGAGTCCAATATCCTTGCAGTCTGCAGTCTTCCCCTCTCATACATCCACGGAGGATAATGTTTACGGACCTCCCTGATGACATCTATCTTTACTTACTTCAATTCCTTCCTTACCAGAGCGACATCAACGCACTTGCGCGAACCAATGGCTATCTATACTCACTCCTAAATCCTCTCCTTTACCGACACAATGTCAAACATGCAAAGTGCTCGGCCTTACAATGGGCTGCAAGACGCGGAAATGCCTCGACCGCGCGGAGAATGCTCGATGAGGGCGCTCCCCTGGATGCCGGTGTCGAGGATCCATGGCTTCTCCCCATAGCAGTGGCTGCCAGAGGAGGCAACGACTCCATCGTTTCTCTCTTCATCGAAAAAGGCTTAGACCTCACAGCTGTGGTGGACTCAGGAGGAACATCCTCGTGCAGGTATCTTGCCAACGAACTGTTACACCAGGCTGTAATGGAAGGCCAAGAGTCGATGGCCCGGCGACTTCTGCCATATATGGTGGACCCCAAGTCTATGAAGTACCCGGTCAACAGGGCAGCAAGCCATGGTGATCTTTCGCTTCTGAAGTTCATGGTGGATCTGGAATATGAAAAAGATCCGGGATATGACATTGACAATGGAGACGCGGACAAATACGGTGACACGCCGTTGATCAATGCAGCGATGAATAGGAATAGCGACATCGTCTCGTTTCTCATCGAGTGTGGAGCAAATTTGGAGCACGAAGGCTCATACCGGACTGCCTTGACGGTGGCTGCCGCCGAGGGTCATTTCACAATTGTCAAGACTCTAATTGCTGCTGGTGCTCGACCGGATCCGGTCTGCAGCCAGGGCGAAAAAACTCTCATGGCTGTGGCTGAAGCTGCAGAGGCTCAGCACCTCGATATAGCGCGATTCTTGCTCGATCACATTGATGTGGACCAGAAAATCGTCGAGACCGGCGATGATCCGCATTTACTTTTGCGAGCTGCTGCCCTGTGTGGGCTAGATGATATCATCAAAAAGCTTCTCGACAGCGGAGATGTCATTGTGAACAAGCTCAAAGACTCTGGCAACTCGGACTATTTTGGAGCAGGCTGGGGGGAGGCCGTGTCCCTGGCAGCCCAGCTAGGAAGCTTAGAATCCATGAAGCTTCTACTGGACACAAACCCACCACATGTGAGAAACCATATGGGTATGGCTTTGGAAACCGCCATCAGAGCCAATGACATGGCAAAAACGAAGTTACTCCTCGACTATGGTGCAGATCCAAACACCAAAGACTACAGAGGCCAAACTATCCTGGGATATGTTGGCAGTGAAGAGATCCTTGAGATGCTCTTGGACTACGGCGCTACTTTGGAATCAACGCACGAGAAGGCGGATAACAACATTCTAGTGCAGGCTATTGTATCCGGGGACATTGGCTTGTTGGAGATACTGCTGAAACGGGGAGTCAAGATGCAGATTTCACGACGTACAGGGACAACACTTCTCAAATCAGGCGTCCGGGGAGGTGAGAAGATGATGCAATTCCTACTTGACAATGGAATGTCCATTCCTGCGCCTTGCAGAATGGTGGACCAGTGCATGGCAATCGCGGCGCGAGCAGATCAGCAGGCAGTGCTGCAGTTCTTCCTTGACCGAGGATATTGTCCTGGTTCTGACGCACGATGTGCAAAGCTTCTTGAAACGACATCTGACGGACCAGGGGTGGGCGTGAGTGCGACACTTGATCTATTGATTCGTTACGGAGCAGATCTCGAGGCGAAGAACCGATGCGGCGAGCCCGCGCTATGGCGCCATGTTCGAGGAGGCCACGACAATGCCGTGCAGCTTCTCCTGGATAAGGGAGCGGATCCCTTGTCCCGCAACCGACACAACGAGTGTTTACTCAAAGCTGCAGCCCAGAGTGGGAACTCAGGCGTGGTACGAAGCGTGCTTCAGGCAATTGCTCGGCGCGGTGTTCCCTGGGTAGAAGTGCAAGGTGCCTGGTCCCAGGCGAGCGCAGAGGCAAAATACAAGTATCCCAGAGTTACTCGCGAGCTGGATGTTTTTTACTGCCGGACGATGTTTCCTGTATGAGTGTATACTGAGACAGAATAGAAGACCAACCTTAATTCATGTTATGCACGGATCATCGATGCACTTACATAATCCATAGATTTATGCCGGGAACCCCTCCATGTGGCGGTGCATGCCCGAGAGTGTGGCGCTGGTCCCCAATTGAGGCTGCAGCGAACCATAGATTGACTCATTCGCAGTAAAAACTTTTCCCCGTCCAGTTGCTCCCCTCCATCCCCGCTTCGCGATCTCCGATCCCGCCATCCATTCATGCAGATTTTTTGGGTCTCTCGCATACCGGTCAAGGCCCTATCTCAATCCACCCATTGCGCCTTCCGACGTGCGGCCTGGACTTCCCGTCATCGCTGGACAATCAACCCTTCCTCCCATCCCTACCGACAATTCCAATTCCAATCCTCTTATTCTACGCAACACCACCCGCACGAAGACCCGAACCCCGATATCACCATGGGCGCCAAGGAGGGAAAAGCCGGTAAGGTGAGCTTCCAGCTCAAGACGGCAAAAGGAACCCGGGACTGGCAGGGAATCGACATGAACCTGCGGGACTCGATCTTCTCCAATGTCGCCGACGTCTTCAAGCGCCACGGCGGCACCGCCCTCGACACGCCCGTCTTCGAACTGAAGGAGATCCTGGCTGGGAAGTACGGCGAGGACTCGAAGCTTATCTACGACCTGGCGGACCAGGGTGGAGAGATCTGCGCGTTGAGATACGATCTGACCGTGCCGTTTGCGCGTTGGTTGGCTATGAACTCGACGATACAGAACATCAAACGCTACCACATCGCGAAGGTCTACCGACGTGATCAACCGGTAGGTGCTCTGTCGGACTCATAGGGACTTTTGTTCGCGTCTTGCTAACCGGCATGCTGTAGGCCGTTGCGAAAGGACGTATGCGCGAGTTTTATCGTGAGTGGATTTACCCCGGATTTTTTTTCAGATCTCTTGCTCTTACGATACGGTGGCTAACTACTTTTCTCCTTTGGATAGAGTGTGATTTCGATATCGCCGGTTCCTACGACGCCATGATCCCCGACGCCGAGATCGTGCGTATCATTGTCGATGTGTTTGAAGCCCTCGGACTTCGGGAGGATATCACAATCAAGATCAACCACCGGAAGATCCTGGACGGTCTGTTCACGGTGGCAGGTGTGCCAGAGGATAAGATCCGCAGCATCAGCTCGGCTGTTGACAAGCTGGATAAAGTACGTCATGGGTCTGCCGCCATTGTACCGGATTGCGCTAACTGGTCATAGTCGCCGTGGGAAGAAGTCAAGAAGGAGATGGAAGAAAAGGGCCTCTCGCCTGAGGTTGCCGACAAGATCGGAGAATACGTGAAACTGAGCGGTGGTCGCGAACTCGTCGAGACCTTGAAGGCGGACGCTCAAGTTTGCGTGAACGAGGACGTTAAGAAGGGTCTTGACGACATGGAACTCCTCTTCAAATACCTAGAAGTGTTCAAGGTGACGGATAAGCTGTCCTTTGATCTCTCCCTTGCCCGCGGCCTCGACTACTACACCGGTCTGATATTCGAGGTCGTCACCCCCCTCTCCTCCGCCGACGGGTTCAACGCGAACAAGACGAAATCCTCCTCGAAACCCAAGAAGAGCAAGGACAACGATGAGGATAGATCCAACGATAACACCATCGGCGTGGGTAGTGTCGCCGCTGGCGGTCGATATGATAACCTGGTCAACATGTTCGCTCCCAAGCGTCAGATCCCCTGTGTTGGTGTGTCGTTCGGAATTGACCGTATCTTCACCATCATGAAGCAACGGCTTGAGAAGGAGCAGCAGGAAGGCAATGCTTCGATCCGACCCAACGAAGTCGAGGTCTTCGTCATGGCGTTCGGTGGCAAGGGATTCAACGGCCTCCTGCTCGAGCGGATGTCGGTTGCCGATCAGCTCTGGAACGCGGGCATCAAGGCCGAATATACCGCGTCGGTCAAGCCGCGACTCCCCGCGCAGTTCAAGCAGGCTGAAAACGGCGGCGTGCCTCTCGCCGTCATCCTCGGCGAGGACGAGGTCGCGGCGGGCCAGGTTAAGCTGAAGGTCCTTGGGTTGCCTGACGGTCATCCCGAGAAGGACGGACGCTTGGTTTCCAGAGACGACCTGGTTTCGGAGGTCAAGAAGGCGCTCCAGCGTTCTTAGATTGATAGAGATACCAATATGGATGGCAGGTAGTGGAGTCATTCATTCCTTCTTACGCCTTGGCTGGTGCTGAACCAAACCCCCCAGTGCCTTCCTTTACTTTACCCTCTTCGACCATTAGACCTCATCACTCTCAAAAATATGCAATAGAAATGAACTAGCGTATCTTCTTTTCTTTTCCCCTCCTTGTACGCGCGAAAGAAGGCGATGAGCTTGCCCGGACATGTAGCCGAAGATTTACTCAGTACGGACTCTAGGCGATGACGAGAAAGACGAAGAATCCCACCTGCCAAAGCCCGCCAAATTGACGCCCGGTAATCGCCGCTAAGTGAACCGATCGGCTATCATCCGATTCGCAAATTAATCCGACGGCGCGAAAGTCGATAGGTCTAGGGAGCTTCCCCGTCGGAGGATGGAGCCGAGCATTGCTCATTGCGACGGGCTGCTCCGGCCGATGACACACATGGAGTCACTTGATGGTCAAAGACCCAGCTGGAACGATGTCATCAGAAGGCGCAGACGCTAGAATCGACCGGAGAATGAAAAGAGAAGAGAAAAAGAAGAAGAAGGAGAGGATGATGAAAGGCCGCGGGCAAATGATGACGGGGTGACTAACCAGCGATAACGGTGGGGTTCAACGTGGGGGGTTTTACTCTCGCGGACGATTTCCCGATTTCCCGATCTCCCCCTCCATTTCTTCTTCTCTTTCCCCCGTTCCTTTTCATTCTGTCGTTTTTATAGACCTCGTCGCAAGGGACCTCTTCCTCCTGGCTTTCATTTGTGCCTATACGACTACACACCCGAGGTTGTCTTCTGTGAGTGTTTGCGCGATATCAATCCCGCCTGTTCGTGCTTCTCGGCCTGCATTTCCCCGCGTCTTATCTCGGGATAATTCAGTTGCGATATATCATTGTGGTTATATACTCTGTCCAGTCCGGAGTGCTAACGAACCTGGGATCAATTGATAGAATAACTCCTGATCCGTCCCTCATATAAAGATCCTTACACAATGGCATCCACGAAACCCAAGGCTCTTCTCCTCGGACGTATAGTCCAGTATGTCCCGTCCCGCACATTCCCTCTACAGTTCATACCAAACAAGTCGACTAACTACCACAGCGCACACAAAACCTGGCAATCTCTCGGCGAAATCGCCGAGCTGATCGAGCCCACCGCTACCAACCGCGCCGAGTTCCTGCAAGAATGCCGTGACGGTAAACTCGACGACGTGGTCGCCGCATACCGCACCTTCGACTCGGTCAGCATCACCGGCCTAGTAGACGAGGAGGTCGTGAACGCGCTGCCTAGTTCCTTGAAGTACCTGGCTCACTGTGGTATGTTTATACTTTCTGTCCGGGAGGAAAGGGAAGTGCCGTCTAACCTATTGTTTTTCCTCTCACAATATAGGCGCCGGATACGACCAAGTCGACGTACACGCCTGCAGCGCTCGGAACCCGCCTCTGCGCGTCTCGAACGTGCCCACAGCCGTCGACGACGCCACCGCCGACGTGAACATGTTTCTGATCATCGGCGCCCTGCGGAACTTCAACACGGGCATGCAGGCACTGCGCGAAGGGAAGTGGCGCGGTCAGCCGCTCCCCGTCCTCGGCCACGACCCGGAGGGCAAGGTGCTGGGAATCCTGGGGATGGGAGGGATCGGGCGGAATTTGAAGCGCAAGGCCGAGGCGTTCGGCATGCGCGTCATCTATCACAATCGTCGACCGTTGACGGAGGAATTGGCCGCCGGGGCTGAGTATGTGTCGTTTGAAGAATTGCTCTCCACGAGTGATGTGATCAGTTTGAATCTGCCGTTGAATGTGAGTGCATTGAACCAGACGGACTCCCGGGGTGGGCGGGGGCGCTTGATGTATTATGAAGCGAATGCTAATACGATGCTGGATAGAAAAACACGCGCCATATCATTAGCAAGCCGCAATTCGACCAGATGAAGGACGGCGTGGTAATTGTGAACACGGCTCGTGGCGCCGTTATCGACGAAGACGCGCTCGTAAATGCTCTGGACAGCGGTAAGGTTTACTCGGCCGGTCTGGATGTCTTCGAGGAAGAGCCGAAGGTCCACCCCGGTCTTGTACGCAATCCCAACGTGCTACTGGTGCCGCACATGGGCACATGGACAGTCGAGGTAAGTCCTAGACTCAGTTTGGAAGATCAGAGTGAACTCAGCGCTAATTTGTTCTGCAGACCCAGACGGCCATGGAGGAGTGGGCAATCGGGAACCTGCGTCTCGCGCTCGAGGCTGGGAAATTAAAGAGCCCGGTTCCAGAGCAGGCAAACCTATAAGTTCCTGATCATGACATTGTACTTGTTTGACTTTTGGATGTGTACATGAATCTAATAGAGAGGGATTGAGCATACGGATTGCCCAAGTAAACGCACTACTTCATTGCAGGTCCCCGCGGGCTAATTCAACGAGCCTATCAGACGGTGTTCCCATACCGCAAGGTATGAAGCCACCTAGAATAAATAAGATACATACATATGTAGGTTTCCTCCTATAACCAGACACCCACGCATGCCATTACTCTTAGTAAAAGGGGGTGGAGTGGAAGTATATACTTAAGTTATCCGCAAAGGTGGACCTGCATCGGAACGGCCGACACCCTCACAGTATCAAAAGGTGTACCCTCCACTAAGGATAGTCGCATCTTGTGTTTTAGGTTCATCAACTCTAGGAAATAACTAGAACCATGTCTATCATATCAATCTCAGATGGTGTCGGGTGTGTAAGAGACCCCAATCCCACTGGCCATAACAGCTAACAAATGGCGTAGCTCCGACATAGGCGATATCGACCTACGGGCTTTCGCAGCCGAACTCCAGATTGAGGTCTCAGATGACAAAGATGCAGAGGACTACCTGACTCTACCGAGATCCCTCGGAGCAGTCTTAGGAAGCATTGACAACGCGCCCGACTACATCCCGCCGGACCTGCTTCCTGAAAACACCCAGCAGCGTCGCGCATTCTGGTAGCCTGCAGCGGAGGACAACCCATTCAATGCCTGGAGCCATCAATGTGATCTCAGGTACGCAGTTCATGTAAATAACATACTCAGTGGACGAACTATTGCTATCAAAGACAACATATCAGTGGGAGGACTACCGACCACGCTTGGGCTGCCGGAGTCATTGTTCCCTCAGGGCGACGGGCACCCGATTTCCCCCGATTGACGCAGTCGTGGTATCCCGGATTCTTAACACTGGCGGCATCATTAAGGGTACATCGACCTGCGAGAGCTTCTGTGCTTCCCCGCTATCCTTCACGTCGGCAACAGGGCCAGATCATAACCCACGGTTGCACGGTCACACGGCTGGTGGAAGTAGCAGCGGCTCTGCAGTTCTTGTCACCGCTCACCGTATTGCAGAGAAGAGCGGGAATAGTGGTTTACCATTGATGGGCCAAACTGCGGAGTTGGCTATTGGCACTAACCAGGCTGGGTCCGTTCGTATCCCGGCTTCCTACAGTGGCATTTGGGGACTGAAGCCGACATCTAGCCTGGTTCCATACACTGGTGCTGCGTCCATGTCGCCGATGATTGACCATATCGGCCCGCTGGCTGCTGAACTTGATGGTATCGCTGCGCTGTTGGAAGTGATGGCAGGGTATGACGGGTACGACGCGCGGATGATCCCGGAAACCTCATTGCTACATCAGGTGAAGCCGTACCGAGAAATCTTGCGTCAAGCGAGGCGAAAATCCGGCCACATGCTTCGAGTTGGCTTGTTGAAGGAGACCTTTTGACATGCCCGGGATTTCTAGCACCGTGCGAGATATCGTCTACCAGGCAGCAAAGAAATACTTTGCGGCTGCCGGGGCTTCTGTGATCGAAGTATCTATCCCAATGCACCGACAAGGACCCGCCATCTGGACTGCCGCAACTCGACCGTCCATGTCTGGTTATTTGTGTCACGGGAGCCCTTCCGGTCAGCTTGCTTTCCTGCCGCCACATGCGCAGATCAAATGGCCTCCATCCCAGGAGACATACAACACACTGACCGCTCTCAATCCGGCCGTGGTTAACATCATGCTCAGCGAGAAGCTTGCTCGAAGCTCCTCGGTCAAGACAGGGCTCGAAGCTAAAACTCGCCGGATGGTGTTTGCACTCAGAGCCGCCTACGACGCCGCTCTTGAACACGTTGATATTCTCGTGACGCCTTGTGCATCGAGTGTTGCCATGGCGCATCCCAATTCGCTCGATTCTAATGGAGAAAAGGCCATGATCCTGGACAGACTGGGTGTTGCTGTTGGTGTGACTGGCAATACCTGTCCGTTCAATGTTACTGGGCATCCGGCTTTGAGTGTGCCGTGTGGCTTTTCAGCGGCCGAGAGTCACCCGGATGTCTCACTTCCTGTCGGTATGCAGATTGTTGCGAGGTGTTGGAATGATGAGAAGCTTCTCGAGGCTGGGACTTTGTTCGAATGGGGCAGGGAAATATCGAAGGGAGTGGAGGATAGTAACAAATGAAAGCTTGTGCTGATATATGACTATCTTATATCTACTTCACTCTCTCAAAAACTCCTCAATCGCCCGCTCCATAAACTCCCTATCCTCAAGACCATACCCCAGCCCCGCCAAATGCCCCCAAGCAGATGGGATACGCTTGAACGTTGAGCGAATGATCAAGCTCGACTCAATCTCCGCTGCCTCCCAGCGAAAATACTGGTCCGTCTCACTCGGCATAACTAGAACACGCGCTCTAAGTCGCGCCAACGCCTCCTGTAAAGATGAATCCCCCGTCACCAAGGTCACGTCTCCTTTCTGCCACATCCCAAGCATAGCAAGCAAATCATCCGGATGCCAGTTCAGATAATTCATCCCCGCTGCATCCGCATCCCAATCACCCAACGTCTCGTATCCGATCGATTTGTACATCTCTTTCTCAAACCACTCCGGGCTCGTCAGCCATGCTGAGTAGGCTTTTCCGAATGCCCGCAGCCCGTCCGATACCGACCCAGACCCAGAGGTGGCTCCAGTCTCATGGTTATGGTCCCTGTCAATTTGTTTTGTCTTGCGATAATCCGCCGAATAAACCAACGCCGCCTTCAGCCCCTCGAGAAACTGGTGGTTGTGTCGACTGGTTCTCGCCGGCGAGCAGATGATGACCGCGCTTTGGACACACTCGGGATACATCAGTGTCCAGTGATACGCGCACTGTCCGCCCATCGAGAAGCCGAGGATGACGTCAATGGCTTCAATATTGAGATGTTGGATGAGTAGCTCGTGCTGGGCACGTACGCAGTCTTCGTATCGGAGTGACACCGGAAAATGGGCCATATTCGAGGGACTGGAGGACTCGCCATTGCCGAATAAGGCGACCACGATGATGCGGTGACTTTGAAGTGCGGTGTCCTGGAAGGTTAGGTCTAAGGCTAGGCGACTGCGGAAACAGGTTGGGGTGAGGGCTACTTTGCTTGCGCTGGAATTGATGTCGAGGTAGGCCAGATGCACGTTTGTTGGGCCGGTTCCGTCGCTGAAGATGAAGTTGGGGATTTGGTGGTGTTGGGGGGGAGGGGTTGACATCCTGATCCTGATGTCTTTGGAATGAGTCTTGAACTGGAGGGTTCTATGATGGTTTGTCTGATGTTTGTCATGATTCAGTGGCATCGTCCCTTGTTTCGCACCATCTCCAACTGCCTGATCAGATTGTCGGACAGTCCGACAGGCTGCAATCGGGAGACGGAAGACTGGTGATACTATTAAAGAAGTCAAACCGAGGACCAGACATGCCCTAATCATCGATCATCATCATCCTACCTGTTTACCGAAACCATCTTCTGCCAATTGCCAATTACCATGTTGCCTAACGGATAGGCATACCTCGCGAATCCCAACGCCCCCGAGGGCGCCACCCGATTTCCCCAAGCGCGTCTTTCTCCTCTCTCCGCGCACCGCACGATCTATGTCTCCGGCACAGCTTGCTGCCGCCCTGACGGTTCCTGGCCCGGCGTGACCGAGCACCCTTACGGAAGTCGGACTCTCGACATCCGCCAGCAAACGGCTGCGGTCCTCGAGAATGTCGACAACATTATCAAGGGCGCGACAGACGGAAGAGGGGGCATTCACAATCTCATCGACGCTGCTCTTTACATCCTAGACATGAAAAGTCAATACATGGGGTGAACGAGGAGTGGAATAAGGTGTTCCAGACGCGAGAAAGTGCCCCGGCCAGAGCTACGATTGGGGTGAAGGAGCTGCCGGATTCGAGAATGATTGTCGAGGTTAAGGCGGTTGCGGTGGTCGATCTTTAGAAGGGGATGAGTGACATTGTACCGAGGACTGTACCTCGGGTTTCTTTGAAAGATGGATGGATACCTTGAGCTTGAGCACTAGCTATTGTGAGGGAATGGATGAAGAGCGCATCATCCCTTCTGTCTATGGTCAACCAGCTAAGATACAAGCAATCCATCCGACAAGCATACAGCATGCACCACCTGGTACTGATTAGATAACGTAAACTTCACCGATCTAACTCATATGATTTGACTCTGCTACATACTTGTTTTATTTTTGCCGTACTCCCGTCGGACCGAGCGACGACTCCAATGCACAATCGGAGAGTCCGCTATGTACGGAGCTGAAAAAAAAACATATTCGAAGACCTGAGATGTAATTCTTTGATATACTTAGGCTCAATACCCCAATCCCTTGCTATTCGTTGAGACGAGTCCGAACTTCGTCCCGAATGCCATGGATGCTGCTCCATCCCCTGTTATCCTCGTTGCGGCCGGTAGCGCAGGTTTCGGTGCTCAGGTAGCCAGCACTTTCGCACAGCAGGGCTACCGAGTAGTCATTAACTACAACTCCAATTCTGAACGTGCGGAGAAGTTACTCGCCCAGATTTCGGGGCAAGAGGGAGACAATCCGAGCACGAGCACCACCGCCATCACATTCAGATATATAGCTCTCTGCGCAGATCTATCTGCCCAGTTCGAAATTCAACGTCTTGTACACGGGACTTACAAAATAATGGGGCGCATTGACGTCGTTCTCTCCAACGGAGGCTGGTCACGATTTCGAGATACAAGCTCGATAGATGATAATGTCTGTGAAGAGGACTGGGACCGTGCATTTGGTATGAACGTCAAGTCCCATCTTTGCTTGTTGCATACTGCGAAGCCGCGTCTGGAGGAGGTGGAGGGGTCTTTTATCTTATCGGGTGGATTATCTTCATGGGCGAGACTGCTACGGCCGCAAGTTGTACTATGAACAGTGTCCAGGTCATCGTCGGGATGGTCCAGATTACGTACCCTGATTGGGAAGCCCCGGTAAGATATCTCTCTAGAAGAACGCTGAAAGACGATGAATACTTACAGATGAAGCACAGAGATGGCTAAATTGGTTCATGTATAGCGGGCTTACGACGTCCGCACTGATATTCTCTTTGTCCCAGAAACACCCTCCAGGTCTTGCACTGATAGGGGGTTTTATAGTTAACTAACTAAATTGCCAGATTCAAGGGCCTCAATAGCAATTCAGACTTCTTAATGATTCCATTGGTTGAGCCACATATCCACTACACCCTCGGTCGCGACAACTAGTTAACTAACGTAATCCACGGCCGTGTTGCGCACCTTCGCCGCCACCTCAAAATATGTCAACCGTATGTGACCGCTAGTTACATAGGAGACCTTCCTATTCCGGACATCGGTATTGGCTAGATTGCTTATCATTCTTCATGTATTTAAACCACCATTTGCAGCTAGATTGAAAGAATCAGACCTTCATCATTCGATATTCCTAAGGGTACATTACTAGCAATTACGCCTAGAGAGACGGCCAACAAAATATTTAACTACAACACTTCTTCAACGCGTCAAAATCCAGGACTATTGGACATACTATAAGAAGCTGCCCTAGTAAATAGCTATTTATTTTATTTTCTATATATTCAAATTTAAAGGTGTGGTTGGTTGCAAAGCTTCAAAAACATACTGGGTGCGGCGGAGGTGCGCAACTCGGCCGTGGATTACGTTAACTATGACAGGTCAGTGATGACATAATAGGGTCAGAGGCTGTAAGTACCTCCTATTGTTGGAACTTCATTCTTCCTAAGAAATTTGTATACAAATGCAAAATTGTTACTACTCCCAGGTACAACAGTACAGACTCCAAGGTCTCGCCTAAATCACTGGCACCCCCACAAAGAAAATTTTCTCTGCCAACCTGCCTCTAAAGTTCTTTCTCTTCCTTTCAACTATCCCTCTTCTCTTCCACAAGGACCACAACTCACATCCTCGAATACTGCCTTGCTTCCTCTTAATCTTGAAACAACCCTACTTCATTTAGCCTACATCAAATCATCCACCCAGATTCAAGCTGCACGATGGCTGATAATGTGGGGCTGTCCGATGAGTTTGGAGACCCGCTGCGACTGCAGCTCATCCAAGAGCTGGCTCAAATCTCCGGGCTTTCCCGTGTTCATTCAGCGACTTGGGCGTGCCTATGGTTCGCTGACATTGACAGTCTGAAACATAATATCGAAAAGGCCAAGAAGGATAATGAGTGGATCAATTATATACTCCTTATGCTGGCACCTAGCTCTCAAGATACATCAATGATGTTGAAAGCCTGTAAGTGCAATCTAATTACCCATCCACGCTGACAAGAGTCTCCTTTGGTTTTATAAGTATCAGCATTAATTCTTTATCACCAGGGTCTGTTCGGAAGAAAACCAGAAAAACACAGATCACAGATGACTCGGACGCAGACGATACTAAAGCCTCTGATGATTCCGATCATGATGAGACAACTCCAACCCGAAAAAGAGGTATTGGCGTTCTAAAATCAGGCCAAAAGTCCAAAATTCCTCGGCTGCGCGGAACAGCATTCCCCGAAGGGGCTTCGAAAGCCAACACTTATCCCAGAGATAGAAATATTACAAAGCCGGGTGGTTTAAAATGTCTATGAATTCTTCAAGTCAATTGCTAATCCAAATCAGTGTCTGCAGAGAGATGAAGAAGCTTGCCTGATCACAGGCTTCGGAGAACCGCTCGAGGTGGCACATATTTACCCATATTCTCTCGGGGATAGAACCAAGCTAGGCCCCCGGATCTTCTGGTCGACGCTGAAATTCTTCTGGTCGCCTGCTCACATTGCAGCCTGGGAAAAAGAGCTACTCGGGCCCAAGGGCACTGAGGTTTGTCCAAACCTCATGACTTTGGTAAATATGGCCCACAAATTGTGGGAGCATGCGAGGTTTGCTCTACGCCCCTTGAGCATCACCGAAGACAAGAAAAGCTTGAAAGTACAATTTTATTGGCTACCTCGTCTCGACTATTCGCACTCTCGCTCAATGACTCGAATCCCACACCCCTTTCCAGAGGATCTTTCTTCAAGCGAAAGTAAAGATAGAACCTTGGCTAAATTGTACCACATGGAGACAGATCTGCAGGTCAAGTCTAAAGATATCTTGACTTTTCGCACCGCAAACCCCATCACACACCCTCTCCCATCCTTCAATTTACTGGAGATGCAGTGGGTACTGCATCGTGTTTTGGCCCTTAGCGGGGCCGCAGACGTCCCCTATGAGGACTTAGACCCTGACTCAGATATGACAATGTGGGCCCGCATTTACAATCTCGAAGAGATAACTGTCGAGCCTTCAGTTGAACTAGCGCCTGAAAATGAACGCCCGGCCATATCTGAAGACGAAGACGAAGCCATTTCTGAAGCCTCTTTCAATTTCGAGTCTTTAGTTGAATTAGCGCCTCAAAACGAACCCGTTGTCAGGTGTGAAGAGGAAGCCATTTCCGAAGCTTCTATCAAACAGAAACTTGAAGCCGAAATGGGGGCCAGTGAGCAAAGTGAAACCGGCGAAAAATCCACCACGACGCTCACAACAGGATCGGAGACCGAGCAAAGGGGAAGGTCAATGACAAGAAAATCCCAACTCTTTGGCGAGAACCGCCCTCCTTGGAGACCCAGTCAATCACCCACAAAGCAGAAACATAAAGGCTTTTATCCTTCAACGAAAGGCAGCAAGTCGCCTAGAAAAGAGAGAAATGTTTAAAGAAAGGTAGCTCTAGTCGTCTCCAATATAGAATACGTCGCTTCGCATAGCGCCATAGTGAGTCACAGACGGGATCTTGATTCTAATACAGTCAGATTATCATTTTTAACCCTCTTTGAGATTACCTGTACAGTTATTTGTATGTATGAATATCAATTGTATCAGTAATAGTCTTGCTTTGTTCGTTCTTTAGAAATTCCAACTTCGTTAAGCTATTACTATAGGCAATTTCAGCACGAGGGAAGTCCTGCGCCACTGTTAAATCATATGTGCGAGAGGCGGAGAAGGAGGCGGGAGAGGTGAAGCAAGAAACTGTGGTCAAGCTATTTCGGCAGTATTCATGGAGGCGGCGATATCCGGTTGGTTAGTATGTTGTTATCCTGCTGTCCTGACCTTCAACGATACGACAAAGCAAACAGCAGATGGTATGCTGTGGTCGCTTGCCTTCCAGCTCTATAATGTCGGGGCCAAGTCTGCAGCATATCTTGATTCTTTGTTTCAAGCCCACAAGAATAGTGGCGATCAACCTACAGCAAAGGCCCTTTTAGATAATATTTTTAAGATGCTCACGATTCAGAAAAAAGTTTCTCTCGTCCTAGATGCACTGGGTGAATCAAGCATGAGGAATGATATTCTAGTGTGGATCAAAGACGTGGTGTCTAGGCCAGATTTAGCCCGTGTCCAACTGCTTTTCACCAGTTCGACCCGAATCTGAGTTTCTGCGCCATATCCCGTGCTTTATAGGAGAGCAGAACTGCCTAGTACTGGATAAACAGGCCATCAACCTCGATATCCGATCATAGGTCACCGCACAAGTTGCTCGACAGCGCGACTTTACAGAGAAAATACTGTCAAAGAATCTTCTTGAGAAAATTCAGGAGAAGGTTGGCGACGGGGCCGACGGGATGTGAGATATCGCTACTTGAATTAATATGCTGAAAGATGCTGACGCCCTGTTCAAGTTCAGATGGGCATTTCGTCAATTAGATAGCCTTACTCGCTGCCGTCATGAGGCAGCTATGGAGGAAGCTCTCGCATCCTTGCCGATGGATCTGAATGAGACATATCAGCGTATGATTGCAAGCATACCAGCAGAGCTAGAACACGACGCGATACGCTTGCTGCAATTCCTGGTACACTCCGAGCGACCTCTTAAACTGGTTGAGGCAAAAGAAATAATCGCAACACGGATTGAAAATGAGTCGCGAGGGTTTGATATCAAGCGTCGATTGTTTCAAGACACTGATGTTTTGGCTTATTGTCCTGGCCTAGTAACCGCCATTGACGCTACTGATAAAGAGTTACATCTTGCGCACTTTTCAAGATTACATCTGCTAGTATCTCCATCACGAAGACATGCTTGGCTTACCTTACAGGCATTAAAGATAGCAGCAGCTGGATCTCACGGGATTTTCCTATGGCAGAATATGCGGCGACTTTATGGACAGAACAGGCTATGTTAATTGAGTCATCCGAAGACATCTTTCGAATGATAGTCAGCTTCATGGAGGATAAAGGGAGGAGTTTTATTGGGGTTGCCTCACGTTGCCCACGTGATATCTACACTGACATTTCGGAGGGGGGCTTCTTCCCTCCTACAACTGCCTCACAAGAGTCAGTTACTTGCCTCTGGTGGTAGCTCGTCATCTCTCACGCAGTCAAGACTCGATTTTGTTTACATCTTTCCTCTACGGCAACAGCGCTAATAAGCCTTGACTATATCACTTTCCGCCATGACGTTCAGCCAGTCCAGCAGTGTCACGCCTGCCCCACTTGATTCTGCGTGGCCTCCGGCCCACATTTGGACCATGGGTGCGGTAGACCGGGCCAGTTGGTTAGGACAGAGTCTCAGCCTGAAATATTGGGACTCTTCAGGTAAGGTGTCCCTTGCTTAAGTGCTCCCTTTCCTCTCCAACTCAATCCATGAATAGGTCAATGGAAATCTCCTATAGAAGTCCCGAATGATACATTAGAGGAGTTGGAAGAGTATCTTGAGGGTGACAACAAGAAGCTATTCATACAATTCGTTAGAAAAATGCTGCAATGGGACCCAGAGAAGAGACAAAGCGCCCGTGAACTTTTGACGGATCCTTGGCTAACAACATAGTAGCTCCTTGTACTTCCATCAGCGACTTAAGGAGGGGTGGTTGATATCATAATAACACCATCCTCACAGTCGACAATGATAGTACAGGCTTTCTCTTGTGTACCTATAACTTTTCTTTCTTGCACATAATTATCCTCTTTTACATACCGTGGGGCGTCTTCGAGAACGCGTGGGTGCAGCAGTGTCATGAAATAGAGGGTTTTCTTCCTTTATTTTTTTTAACTAGGGAGACTATTATTCTTTGATTTGCTATAGTCCTTCTCGAAATCGCCTTGACCAATATACACTGAGAAACTCTTTCTTGGTCCCACCGCCAAGACCTAAGCGCGGATCAATTATTGAGCGGGCTGCTTTAAATTGAGGGGAACAGTAGAATCGACTAGGTATATTACAGGACCAGACTACGTAATATTACGCAGTACGTACGAAAACCCCACGGAATTCCATGGAACCCCGAAGAGTGGTACCTCGTGTCTCGTTTCCAGACCTCTGTCGTGAAAATTCTCTCCGTTTTAGTCGCACGATAGGTACACCTTTGCTGGTCACACAATTGCAACCACTATTCAGCAATGCCTAGATCTGCGCTAATCTCTTTTAGACTAACCCTTGAATAAAAACTAGAAAGTGCAAAATATAAATTGGTTAGCATACTTTGCGCATAATAAGACGTAAAATTGCTTTTTGTCTTGGCCATAGAGAAACTACATACTGAACCAACGACTTTTGTAAGAATGAATCAGAAGAAAGTCTATAATTTCTACGGAAAGATTGAGACACTATTTTACATCTGTAATACCTAAGGCATTTAACCCATTTACAAGTTGCCGGACCCTACTATGATCAGGACCGAGGGCCTTCTCGTAGCCTGCTAGGGCTCGCTGGTACATCTCCTCTGCCTCTTTCAGCTTCCCCTGATCAGAGTAGAGAAGACCAAGGTTATTAACTGTATTGAGAGTCGGTAGGTATGTTTTATAATCAGGACCAAGGGCCTTTTCGTAACCTGCCAGTGCTCGCTGGTACATCTCCTCTGCCTCTTTCAGCTTCCCCTGATCTTTGTAGAGATTCCCAAAGTTATTGACTGTATCGAGAGTAGATGTATGATCAGGACCAAGGGCCTTCTCGTAACCTGCTAGGGCTCGCTGATACATCTCCTCTGCCTCTTTCAGCTTCCCCTGATCAGAGTAGAGATTCCCAAGGTTGTTAACTGTATCGAGAGTGGATGTATGATCAGGACCAAGGGCCTTCTCGTAACCTGCCAGAGCTCGCTGGTACATCTCCTCTGCCTCTTTCAGCTTCCCCTGATCTTTGTAGAGATTCCCAAGGTTATTGACTGTATCGAGAGTGGATGTATGATCAGGACCAAGGGCCTTCTTTTTGCCTGCCAGGGCTCGCTGGTATATCTCCTCTGCCTCTTTGAGCTTCCCCTGATCAGAGTAGAGGTTCCCTAAGCCATGGAATGCTCCCCACACCGCAATATCATGGCCTGGACAGCCCCTATAACGTACATAATTCGCGTGTGGAATAAGCCGTTGCTGAAGCTCGGAATAATTTCTGGTACTTGCGCTAGGGACGGTATACCCAACAGATACCAAAGCCAGTTCATTGAGCTGAATTGAATCCAGAGTTTTGCTTCCGCTAGCAAGGTGAATGCACCAGTCTTGTACCACTGGGTGCATAGCGTAGCTCCCTTCTTGTTCCTTAGCCTCCAGTAGAGAGAACCCGATAAGAGCCTTGACACCAATTTTGAACGCGATTCCGCTTGATGTAGTCTTTTCTAGCCAAGCTGGGAGATTCGAACTATAACAGCTACCTTTTATTAGTTCAAACCATATATCTCGATTATCGAAACAAGCAAGAAACAGTAACAGTTTAGCTGCGTTCGCGTCCCGCCGTTGAATCTCACGATATGAGATCATCCATGTTTGCAGAATATTGCCTTGCTGGTACTGACGTTCAGGATTTGATTGCAGCTGTAGATCAGACCAAGATGCGTAATAATACTGCAAGTACTCAGTGATGCTGGTTCCAGTTTCACGCATAAATGCCCCAGCGATGGCAATTGCCAATGGAAGGCCATCTAGACGGCTCGCAAGGGCAACGGTATCTATGTACATTAGTATCATAAATAAGATTGATCTCTTGAGTACCTTAATACCTGGATTGCTCTTAAGCTCTTTAGCTATATTTCTCATTGATAGATGGCTGCTTTGTAAGAGCAGTTGAATCGCATTCTTCAAGTCAAGTCTATGGATAGGAAATGACTTTCCTAGCTCTGTCAACCGTTGCAACCGAGAGGTAATTAGAACAGAGCCATGGTCGGCTCCAGGGAAGAATTCAAAAATATCATATGCATCACCAATGGAGCCATTGAAAGGGGAATATTGGTCGATATTGTCGAAAATGATCAGCCAGCGTGAGTTTCCCTCTATTGTTAGCCACTTCAACACATCTCTAGCTCGTTGCTCTACCTCCTCGTCATTTATTGCCCTATCAGCACACGACTGCCCTGGCAATCGGGGCAGGATAGAGCTCAAAGATTGTAATAGCGTGCCTCGATCCTTGCCACTTAGCCAGAAGATAGCAGTAAAATCATCTTTGTGGTCTCGTGCGAATCGGATCGCTAGTTGTGTCTTTCCCATCCCCCCAAGCCCATGAATAATTGCAACCTTTCGTGACTGGGTATCCGTGGGCCGTAAATACTGCCAGAGTTGGTCTAGCTCGCCTTGCCGTCCCACAAAATTCTCAATTACTGGTACATCCGTCAGGTCCAAAGGGACATCAAAGCGGTAAACTATATATGTGAACTAATATTCAGCAATCAATTCGAATTATTCAAGGAATACTATTAACATCCTCTTACCAGAGTCTGCGAGTGTGTCTCTTGCAGTTGGTGTGCAGTTAATCTGATCGGTTGCAACTATCAAGAGAAGCTCTTTCGCATAGGCTGCCGCTGCCGCTGCCGCATGCCCTTGCCATTGTTTATTCTTGTGTGAGTCGGCGTAGTCGCAGATACCCCGAATGACCAGACACGGAAAGTCGTTTATCAGTCCGGCCGCTTCCATCTCCACACAATATATACCTAAGTCTCGAGCCAGCTGGTCTCGCCGCCTGCCATCCTTCACAACTTGATTTGCCGATCCGATGAGTCCGTAGTGAATTACTGGTTCTTGGTGCTCTCGTGGAGTTCGTGAAACCAATCTAGATCGATCGCAATCAACACAGGTATCGGATATGACATGGTCATATTCTGCTTGGAATAGACAGTCCTCTTGCGTCGGTCGCGTGAATTTAGTAGCTTTGTGGGGCGATAGTTTGGCTTCCAGGTTGGAAATAAATCTGACAGCCTGGCTGTCTTCCGTGAGGTGATGCGCCTGGAGAGTCGCGAGAGCGGTCAACAGAACCTTAGGAGGTCGATTAAGCATTCCTGTTCGCTTAAATTGGCCGCCACTCAGTGCTTTGCCTAAATCGTACTGGATCACGCCTCCACAAGTGTCCGTTGGTTGGCTCACTACAATATCCCCGAGTCGGATATCTGCATTGCTGCTTGGTATTCCGCCGCCGATACCGACCATCAAGCCGAAGCGGATAGCGTGGAAACTAGAGAGCAACTGCATCCCAACCGTTGCGGCTGATGTAGTTCCATATGCGCCAGTCGGTAAGGTAGTAATAACGACATTATGTTCTCCGATGTTCCCAAAAATGTATGCATTTTGGTCCATCGGCAGGCGAGGTAAAGGCGGATGTGTTTTGTCCAGCATCAGCTTTGCAGCCGCCGTCTCCACTGGCAAGGCGCAAATCCATCCGACCGTATAATCGTCGTGGGATCGGGTCCTGGCATCCATAGTGGATTGACTCCCCTACGATCGGATTGTGCCTTATGATTTCTGACCTGTCAGTTTGTGTGGAACATGGGAGAAAGAATACTAATGTCAGGGAAGGCGGGGTTGAGCTGAACCTACACACCCGGCCAGTTAAGTGGTGCACGTGCCCCTAGAATCATACCATGGAAGACCAAGAGTAGCCGTGGTTACGTCCGCCCACCCGTGGCGTACGGTTCTGCTGGCATTAAACTTCAAAAATGGGTCAATTCAAGCCGGTTCGGTCCGCCCCTACGGCCTACCACTCCGCTTATACAGAATCAGCTTGATCGTAGATAGCTCTCAAATGAGATCAACTGCCTTGACAGTACATGACTTCGCTTGGAAATGTCACCTCCCAGGCACCAATCATACTGCAGATAATCCCCCGGAATCGTATAGAATTTATCGGCGCAGGTAATATCGGATCCATCGTCGGCCCGTATACCCAGGGGCTAATCCACTGTGGGGCCTAGAATAAGTCCACGTTGAATGATCATTCAGACAACCACTCCGCTTCGTTTGAAGCACTATGGCACCAAACCTCAAACCCCCACAGCTCGAGCTCATTCATCATATGATCGAGAGTAACTCATTAACAATGTCTGAAATGGCCCATGCAGCTGACTGCAGCAAGCAATCTATAGTACACATTCGCTCTAACCTCAAAGTATTCGGGAAGGTTAGGGCGCCGCGAAATGGTGTTGGACGCCCGCGAACCATCACGCCGCCTATGCTCGAAGCTCTTCGGGAACATTTGACAGAGAAGCCGACCTTATACCAAGACGAGGTGGCCCTCTTTCTGTAGGACGAATTTGGAAAGCATGTGACAATTCAAAGCATTAGTAGGGCGCTTGCTTCGGTCGGATGGTCGAAAAAAGCAGCTCGCCAGATTGCAAAGGAACGAAATGCGGATTTGCGGGACTTCTACCTCCACAATCTATCTTCTTTCAAGTCCTACCAATTGATCTTCGTGGATGAGTCAGGCTGTGACAAAAGGGTTGGGTTTACGACGAACTGGTTGGTCACCTCTAGGTGTGACACCAGTTCAGATTTCCAAATTTCACCGGGACAGACGCTATCAGATACTTCCTTCGTATGCTCAAGATGGACTGGTCCTGTGTCGAGTATTCCAGGGCGCTACTGATGCCGATGTTTTCGAAGACTTCATCGAGCAACTCCTTCAGCACTGTAACAGATGGCCAGAACCAAAGTCTGTTCTCGTTATGGATAATGCTTCATTTCATCGTACAGGAAACATCCAGCGAATGTGCGTAGATGCCGGCGTTAAGCTGATATATCTCCCTCCTTATTCACCGGATTTGAACCCTATTGAAGAGTTCTTCTCCGAGCTAAAACGATTTATCAAGCGCAAGTGGAATGAATATGAAATGAATCCAAACCAAGGGTTTGATGCATTTCTCGAATGGTGCGTTGAGGTGGTTGGTTCAAGGGTTTCGAGCGCGGAGGGCCATTTCCGAAATGCAGGTCTATTAATCGATGAATTTTGATTCTCAAGCCGCGACATGGAAGATATTTTAGGTTATATAGACGCCTAAAAGAACCCACCAGGTTAATCAATGCCCAAACTATATATCCGCTTCACTTGTCACGCATCCGTAGTATTTTTCTGCCCAGTACCTAATGTCCTTGACAAAACGCCGAGCAATACCCCACTTGACACCACGCGTCTTGAAGTAATTGGGATCTTTGTCTTCATCAATCTGCGCCAAGTCCAGTCCATCATCTAGGGCTACATCGCACGCTTTTCTGACCTCGGCCTTCAATATCTCATCACCCAAACGTGACTGTTGCCAGCTGCTGTATTCTCTCACAGCAACATCAAGAAGGCCTGGAATATGGATAGCAGGAACCTCGACCGAAGAGACAGTAGTGCCAAATCGTAACTCACACATGACGCTAGGGACCTCCTTGCCGCTAATCCCCTCACTGTTAAAGGGCTGTGATGAGGAGAATCACCAAGCGAGGACAGTCGGGGGATTTTGACAGCACTGCAAGGGCGAGTGGGGGACTTGAGATGGAGGTGGATAGTGCTTCCCGTCCTCATGTTCGAGGGGGATACTCCACATCATCTTTCCAAGTCTCTTCGGATTCGCTCCATTTCCAGCGCGAGACTCGTGCGAGATAAGACAAGATAAGGTAGATCCACCCGTGGAAGTGGGAGACTCGAGATTCTCCTTCGCTTTGTCCCCTCTCTCCCGCACGCACAACCTCTATCTCATGCAGTCAATAGGGCTAGAAACAGCTGCGAGAGCAGAAAGCTCTTGCAAGCGATGTCATCACAGAAAGAAGCGCTGTGACAAGACCTTGCCACAGTGTCAGGCGTGTAAGAATGCGAAAGCCTCATGCAGCTTCCTCGATGACGAGACGTAGTTAGCATCTTATCCGGTTGCGTTAGTAACTTACAGTTCCCACAGTCCAAGCTTCTAACATGAGCCAGCTATGTCCGTGGCTTGGAACGTCGAGTCAAAGAGCTGGATCAACAAATCGCGTCGCTGTTGAGTCCTCAAAATACACAGAATAGCCCATCTTCACATCTTAGGCACCAGAACGATGAACTTCCGCTTGCTGATAGTCCTATGCCCTCGGAACATGTAGTAAACAACTTACCACCGGTGCAGCGGGTGGATGATGCGATCCCAAGTATTGACACCCTCCTAGCCACTCCCTTGTTGAATGCTTTAGAGCAGAAGCCAGATAACCTAGTAGAGGAGCTACGACTGCTGTCTTTGGAAGCCGCTGCAGAGCGCTACCTGGGCTCTTCTTCCGGCCTCCCTTTAGCCAAGCTCACCCTGGCCGTTCTTCGGCGACTGTCTCCAGATCAAGACGTGTTCGATGAAGAGATCAGGGGTACTCAGCATCAAAACTGTGGCCTCGATACGGATGCCGTTCGGAAGTTAAATCCAATATCTTTTGAAATGACCCCTCAACTTAAACTTACAAGCCCCCTACCGCTCAACTCGCTGTTCGAAAGTCCGACCGTTGGTGACTATGAGGATACAACAGAGCTGACCTCGCTGGAACCCGCCTACATCAATTACATCTTGGAATTCTATTTCGCACATTCCCATACCCTTTATCCAATTATTCGCAAGAGTGATTTCGAGGAAGTGGTCTGGAGAGTAGACGCCAATCCGTTGGATCCTTTGGCCCAGTCTCACCTGTGGCAATTCAGGATATGGATGATTCTAGCGATCGGTTCAACGACACACTGCACTGTCTCCTTATTGGATGAGACTGAACCCGTACGGTTTTTTAATAAAGCGATGACTTATTTTGAGCAAGCGATGAGTTGCGGTGATTTGGTAGGTAGCCCACTAACGGCCACTTGCGTGGAAATTTGATTAACTCATGCCTCATGCCAGGCTTGATTAGAGGTCTTGATGCTTCAAGTATCATATTCTTTCTTCAACAAAATAGGACCCAGTAAGTGATCCGAAAGAATGCGAATATATCTACTTTTGCCACTGATACCGAAGCAGATACCTGGTTCTTAGTGGGCGTGGCAGCTCGCATGGCAACGGGAATGGGGCTCCACACCTCAGAGGTATACCAGTCTCTACCGGTTGATGTCGCAGAGCAGCAGAAACGTATATTCTTCTCTCTTTACATGATGGATCGGTATGCTTCAATAAAATGTTTTTGAGTCGGAAGAAGAGTATAACAGCTAATGATCTCAGTGTTGTTTCATTGGCTCTAGGCAGGCCTTTTGCGATTCAGGACGACGATATTACAGTTGAGGTTAGCCAAGTGTTGATTTTATATGAATGATCAATTTGCTAACATTGTTTTAGCCATTCGCCAATGCAGATGATGAGGATATCAAAGCAGATAGCATCAGACCCTCTACCAAGATAGAGCCTTCTACAATGGCGGTTCCTCTCCATATCTTAGCTTTGAGGAAGATTGCTAGTGAAATCAGGACCCTGGTCCATTCCCCGAAGTCTATTAGACAACAGGATCTCCAGACGCGAAAACAATCTATCCAAAGGCTCCACAAGCGACTTGTCGAATGGCGCCGAAGTATGCCGTTCCCTCTTCCCGACCTACAATCCAAGGTTCCCCATCTCTGTACTAGCTGGTTCGACCTAAATTACTACACTCACATAATCATGCTTTATCGCCCATTGCTGCAAAGTCCGAATTTGGAAATTTCCGGAATGAAAATTCTCGCAGACGCATCTTCAATGGCAATTCGACAAGCGGTTAATTTGCATCAGCAATATCGATTCGCTTTCAATTGGCTAAACCTCGTAGCCGTTTTCAACTCGGTACTGCCTCTTATGTATACCTCTACTGCACAGGTAGGAAATCTTCCCTTAGTGATAGATTATTCCAGAGCAATCGCGGATTTAGACCAGGCTGTGGAACTGTTGAAGTCCTTTAGGCGAAAGTTTCCTTCTGCGAAGAAGATTCAAGGCATGATCAAGGCCGTGATAAAGATACTTCGGGAATATGACATATCCTCGATGGGGTTTGGAGGATGAGTATAATACTATCTTCTAGGGCCTTCTTCGGGTTTATTAGTAACGAAACTTTTATAGCGTAGACTTTACATATAATGGGCTCATGTTACATTGGGGAGCTTCTGGTAGTCTTGGCTTATCTTGAAAATTGACTAACGAGCTGATGTCTGTATCATAGTGGAGCGTCGGCCTGTCCGAAAGTCTTGGGCCCTGCTGGTTAGTTGGAGATTCCCTACAAATGATTCGATTTATCGAAAGTTCGCTCCAATTATTCATCTAGCATTGAAATTTCTTAAAGCAAAAGCAAAACTAAGGTTGCAATTCGTTCTTCAAGTAAGAATGGCAAGGTCTGTCACAACACCGCCGGGCTTAGAGCAGAGAGAGCATCCGCCGCATATCACAACTTCACCCAGCCAGAACGAAAAGAGTTCAAATGACGCCCGTTCTACCGTAGGCAGCTCTGAGGATGATTCATCTCACAATGCCTCCGAGACCAACAACTCTGAACTTACCTATCCTGAAGGCGGGTGGGCTGCCTGGAGTGTCGTCCTAGGGAGCTGGATGGCATGCTGTGGTACAATGGGGTTGTTGAATAGTTTAGGGATCTTCCAGGCATACTTGGAGGGAAGTGAGCTACAATCCTTCTCCTCCGGACAAATCGCCTGGATTTTCGGCGTCTATTCTTTTCTGGCCTTTTTCTGTGGAATCCAGGTCGGTCCTATCTTCGATGCAAAAGGACCCCGCGTTCTAGTTATTTGCGGCTCGATTGGAACGGTCCTCTGTCTCATTCTTCTGGGTTGGTGCTCATTATATTGGCATTTTATGGTGGTCTTCGGTCTTTTCGGAGGCATTAGTCTGTCCCTCACCTTCAATCCTGCGATTTCCATTGTCGCACACTACCTCAATCGAAGACGGGGCCTAGCAACTGGAATAACTTCCTCTGGTGCATCTTTCGGCGGCCTAGTCTTCCCTCTTCTGTTCCAAAATGTGGTGTCAAAACTGGGATTTGCATGGGCCACTTGTGTGATCGCTCTCGTCAACGGGGTCGCTTTCATCATTGCGATCCTCCTTATTCGACCAAGATTCGGACCCAAATCGAGTACAATCGGAGCGATTCTTCCTGATATATCGATCTTCGGCAACGCCTGTCTGATGCTCGCAAGCATGGGAATATTCTTTATGGAGTGGGGTCTGTTTGTCCCCATCACATACCTGACCTCCTATTCCTTGTCTCATGGACTGTCACCACGATTCTCATACTTGCTCCTGTCGTTGATCAACACCGGGGCGATCTTCGGTCGATGGATCCCCGGTTACTGTGCGGACCGCATCGGCCGATTTAACACCATCAACAATCCTTGGATGTCTTCTATTTACTGCGTGCCTGTGGATGCCCGCCAATTCAAGCCGGCCTCTGATCACGGTGTTTGCTCTTCTCTTTAGATTCGCAAGTGGAAGTAATGTCAGTTTGGCGCCTGTTTGTATTGGTCAGCTGTGTGAGCTAGAAGCTTATGGACGATATTACGCGACGGCATATGCTATTGTCAGTATAAGGTATGCCAGTGTCTACTCAGAATTGTAATTTTTGTTGAACATATACTAAGACTCTTGATAGTTGTTTGACAGGAATTCCAATTGCCGGGCAGATACTAACTGCAATGGTGAGTACTGGGGCTTGATTGTATTTACTATCCTCAGTTACGCAGCCAGTCTTGTTTGTCTTATTGCTGCAAAGCTATATAAGTGCGGGTAGACTCAATTCAAGACAATATATTAAATAGGCCATCTGGACATGTTTTGACAAGCAGGCAGACCTGATAATGTTCTCTAGTTCGTGTCTGGTGAAATTACTGGTAGAAGAAATCCCGGTCCGTAGAACTACTTCGAGGCTCTGTCAAACAATATCTCATTTAATGCTACTCCTGGACAAGCAATGTATACTGATCGTCATACTCCGTGTGGTTATCCCCTCTATTCCTGCCCATTCGCCAGCAGAATCCGGCCCCCATCAACACAAAGTGACGTTCCATTCACGTACGACTAGACCCAAAATTAGCAGATAAACAACGCAAAAGTAATCGGAAGACTCACTCCTGCACGACTGACAAGGTACAAGATCGTCCCTGCCATATCATCCTCATTCCCCGCCCGCTTCGCAGGGACCTTATCAAACAGCGCACTGAAAAGATTCCCTTCTTCCCCGACAGGGTTCATGTTACTTGGGACAACTGGGTCGGTCAGTAAATAACCACGCACAGTCATGTACGTACCTCTCTCTCTGTGTAGACGAGAATATATTAAGATCACTCACATCCAGGATTGATCCCGACAACTCTCACATAAAACTGACTAAACTTCGCCGCGAGCAATCTCACCAAATGGTCCGTTGCGGCCTTGCTGGTCGCATAACTGGTCAAATCCACATTCGTCACATTATGCATGCTTGCGCAGGAACTGGTTATCACGATCACGCCCCGTCCGTCGTCCCGGCCGATCTGGCCATCGGGGAGTTCACGGCATGAGGCAGCCTCGAGGAGCGGGAGAAATGCCACGGAGAGGAAGTAATGCGCTGTGGTGTTGATGGTGAATGTGTCGGTCCAGTCTTTGTGGTGGGAGGACCACATTGATGCTTGGAGGTCTGGGAGGGATGCTGTGAGCACGTTGCATTGTAGGGGAGGGTCTCGTCGGATTCCGGCGTTGGAGATTAGGATGTCGATGTGGGTTTCTTGTTGACTGAGTGTGGTGGCGAGGGATTGAATTGCTTCTTTGGATGAGAGGTCGCATGGAACTCTGGATGAAGAGTTAGTGCAGTACAAGAGGTAGTTCAATCATGAGGTATTTTTTTAGATGTGCCTACCCATGGGCAGATCCCCCAGCCTCCTTCGCAAGTTCGATCAACTCCGCGACCTTCTGCTCGATAGGCTCGCTTGGTAAGGCTACAAGGTACACTTTGGCGCCATTTACCACAAGTCCCTGTAGGTTCAAGTCAGCGGTTAGATAGAGCGTGTCAAGGGGTGTATATACCTTCGCAATCATGTATCCTATGCCACTACTGCCTCCTGTTACAACTGCCACGGATCCCTTGACATCGAACAAGCTGCCGCTAATAAGCGAAGACATACTGACGATAGTAATGGACTGAGACTCGATTTGAACGAATCGTGTCGGTGTTTCGCGAAAATTGGAATATTTTAAGGTGTTGTTTCCGGGCTCTACCTCTCTCGTCGGACATGCCGACGACGAACACGCCATGGTTCTTGCTGCAGGATACCTCGGTTATCTATCTAACGTAACAGTCTGTTTTTGTTCTCGTTAACCGTGTGCGTCGAATTCTGGCTCTCCACTGATAGAATTATCGGATTATGTCTGACTTAGTAGGCTGCTAAGGACTGGTAGTTACCGGAGACGCATGAACAGGGTCTACACTGGGTATAGGTTCTTTGAATCACTTTCATGGTAGTCTAAACCTTCTTTCCCATATACACATCCCTCTCCTAAATCCTAGTTCCTTCTCCTACTAGGCCAAAAAGCACAGGATCACTCCTTATAATGCCCCCTCGTCCTCCCCTCCGCCAAGGCCAAACAATCATCCAAAACCCCCGGATCCCTCGGAACAAGCCTCACCTTAAACTCTCTCGGAATCGCCACCAACGCCGTCTTGAACTGGTTATAGTCAACATAGTCGGTATTCGGCGGGCAGTCCTTGCTCGCAACGACCTTGTACGATGACAGAATCCGCACCAGCGCTGAATATAACAGGCGGGATGCAATGAATTGTCCGGAGCAGGCTCGCGAGCCAGTCCCGAAACTGAGATGGGGGAGGCCGGTGATGTCGTCTTCGGTGGGTGGGTTTAGGGTCTTGAGCCAGCGCTCGGGGTTGAATTTGCTACCGTTGGGGCCGAAGTGGTCGGTGTCTATTTGGTATTGGTCTATTAGGTCTTATCCAGAGGATCAGAAGGGGACTCGACTGGGGTTGAGACGGCTTACCGTGGTTTCCAGCCTGAGCATTGATCAGAATCATCGTCTTTGGGGGAATCATCGCCCCGTTCCAATTGACCTCGGTGACGGTTTTCCGGGGCAGGCTCATCGCGCTGACGGTATAGTAACGGCCGGCCTCTTTGACGATCGCATTGATGTAGGGAATGGTTTCCTCCTTGAAGCAGGATGACCAAGCGTCGCGAACATCGGGGTAGTGGCGCTTGATGTCCTCGTAGGCGCGATCCTGCCATGCCTGTCCTTCCTCGGTCGCGAGGGATCCAATGCACGAAGTGAGGGTACCGGGAATAGTCTCGAACCCTCCGGAGACTAGCGATAGACAGATGGAAGAGACTTCGACGCCACTGAGTTTTCTTTCTTGATCTTTGAGGATGGCGGCAGAGATGCAGGGCTTGTCCGTGCCGTTCTTGATCATCTCGCGGACTTTGTTCAATAGGAGGTCCAGGTAGGTATCGCGGCGTGTGCGGAGTTCTTTTGAACGGGCGTTCTTCTCGTTGTTGGGGAGGTACCGAAGCGCAGGAATATAGTCCTGGAGGTTCTCGGAGGCGCTGCGTAATAGGGAGATGGCCGATCCCACATGAAGAATCTCGCGGAGGAGCTCGTCGTAGACGGCGTCCATCCGGATTCCGTAGCAGAGGGTCAAGGTGGTGTTGAGCGCGTATCGCTGGATGTAGGGACGAACATCCACCTCGACCTGGCCGTTCTGGCTGTCCTTGTTCATGTCGCGCAGGATGCAGTAGCTCTCGAGGTCGAACATGGGGTAGTAATTTCTCAAAGCAGGGCGGCCCAGCGCGGTCCCAGCAGCCTTGCGCTTCTTTTTGCACGACTCATCCCAGGGCGAGGAACCAATGGTGAATCCTTGGGTGCTGCTGATGACGCCGTGGAACGTGTAGAGCTTGGGCCGGTCAATGACTGCGTTCTGGTTGCCCAGGAGCATCTTCTTGCAGTCTTCGAAGGAGTTCACGACGACAGCTCGCGTATTTCCGAGTCTGATCTGAAAGACGGAGTGGTTGTACTGGCGCCACCATTTCTCACAGGTCGTCGCGTGGTCCTCGCCCAGTTTGAGAAGATGACCGAAAATTGGAACCGCGCCGGGGACTTCAGGCATGCCTTTGATATGAGGGATGTCCGTGGCGTACATAACCTGTCCAAACTGTCAGCTACAAGCATTCAGGAGATAGCGAAGAATGGGCATGGGCAGGATTCACATTGTAGAGCATGTATGTGAGCAGGACGACGACGACTGCCGTCACGAATGGACCAGCATGCTCCTGCTCTCTGATCTGGTGCCATTGATACCCCAGCCAATCCATGCCTCCACGGGTCTTGAAGTCCTTTTGAACGAGAATTCGGGATAGACGGTTCTTGGTTCACGGGTATGCTGTAAGAGAGTGTCCCGAGATGTTTCTAATCGAAATCTTATAAGCTAGGGCCAAAACCCCCTGGTTCTTATTAAGCCCGAGCAGATGCAAGATCATGTCAAAGATGAATCTCCGCCTCTCCCTTGCGTGGCGGCGCGGCCGAGGTTAGGGCTGATCCCCATCGGGGGGTCCGACGACAATCATCAGCCAATCAAGTCTGCAATGATATCAGAGATAGAGATATGATACTGATAGCGATTGATTCTCTCCAGGAAACGGCTGTAGATAAGGAATGTTGGATTAAGGCTTTATAGTGAAAGCCAGCTGCATAGGCCGAGTCTCTACCCGCTCTCCTCCACTCCTGCTGAACACCATGGATAATGTCCTGTCACCATCACACGAACACAACGACAAGAAAGAAGATGCCTATGAGGCAAGGCAGAAGGCGGATTCTCTCGCTGTAGAGGAGCCGGGCCACCTCCCGTCTACCCAACGCGCCCTCCAGGCCCGCCATGCCCTCTTCATCGCCTGGGGAGGCACCGTCGGCACCGGCCTGTTCATCACCACCGGCAAGACCCTGGCAACCGGGGGACCGGCATTCTTGCTCAGCAGCTACATCTTCATATCCATCCTGGTCTACTTCATTCTCACCCAGGTGGTTGAGATCGCGACGTTTATTCCTGTCCGCGGAGGCTCAATGAGCCGGTATGGTCGACGCTTCGTGTCCAGGAGTCTAGGGTTCGCGATGGGCTGGCTCTATGTTTACTCCTTTGCGGTTCTCGTTCCATTCGAACTGACGGCGTGCGCTATCCTCATTGACTTTTGGCAGCCGGGGATCAACAGCGCGGTTTGGATTACTATTCTCCTGGTGTTACTAGTGCTTCTCAACGTCCTCCCCGTGCGATTCTACGGTGAGGCCGAGTTCACCTTCACCGGCTTCAAACTCGCCACCATCATCGGTCTTCTCTTGCTCTCGTTCATCCTGTTCTGGGGAGGAGGACCTCACCGCGACCGGCTTGGGTTCCGGTACTGGAAGGATCCCGGCGCCACAAAGACCATGATCCTAGACGGGGACGTGGGCCGGTTCATTGCCGCCATCGCGACAATCCTCAGCAGTATCCTTCCCTTCTCCTTCACACCAGAGATGGTCGTCGGTACCGCCGCCGAGATCATCGAGCCCCGGAAGAACGTTCCCCTCGTCGCAAAGCACTTCACCTGGCGCCTCGTCACTCTCTTCGTCGGCAGCGTCCTCGGCATCTCCGTCATCTGTCCCTCGAATGCGTCCACAATCACCGGTGGCAGCGACGCCGCATCCTCCCCATGGGTCGTGGGGATCCGTCTCGCAGGGATACACGGACTCGACAGCGTCATCAACGCCGTGGCCCTCACCGCGGCGTGGTCAACCGGCAACGCATTCCTCTACCTCTCCAGCCGTTCGCTCCACTCCATGGCGATGGAAGGCAGCGCGCCTCGAATCTTCCAGCGATGCACCGCGAAGGGAGTCCCTATTTACGCTGTTGGTGACACATCCTGTATCTCACTCCTCGCCTATCTGACCCTCAACTCGTCCTCCGCGCGTATCCTGAACTATCTTGTGAATGTAGTGAACACAGGCGGGTTCCTATCATGGGTCTGCTGCTCGATCACCTATCTACGTTTTCGAAAGGCCTGTGATATCCAGGGGATTCCGGCGTCCGAACTCATGCAGAGATCGATTTTCCAGCCCTACGCGTCGTGGATCACGCTGGTTCTGTTTAGTATACTGTGTCTGCTCAATGGGTTTACAGTGTTCTTTCCATCGCAGTGGTCGGTGGCGGACTTTTTGTCGGCTTATATCGGCTTGCCGGCGTTTTTCGTTTTGTATTTCGGTCATCGAGTTATGTATCGGGATGAGCCTTGGGCTATCCCGGCAGATCTAGTGGATTTGCAGCCGGGGGATGATTGATCCTTTGGAGGTGGACATTGTCTCTCATACAGGCCGTCAGGATTGAAGGGTATAAAGCATTGAATCCAATTCGGTTCTTCTACTTCGAACTATATCTCCAATATAGCTTCGGCCCCTATAAACTGAATATACAACAGTTTTCTACATCTCATAACTAGATACATACAGTTTATTCTCCAAAAAGGTAGGTCTCATCTCTAGCGTGGTGCACCATATTGAGGCCACTTAGGCTACTCGACCCTCTACTCAGGCCCTGCTCAGTATTCAGCTAAGGGCGAGCACTAAAATGGAAAGAGTAGATCGACAGTGATTGAAGAAAACCCGGTACATATGTGCCAATAATTTCCAATGATTTGTATTTCAAGGTGGGAATGCAGCCAGAACGCCGTTGTGCTGCCGTTTCCCCAGCTGTGGACAGAACTGACAATCGCAATGAACTCCTGAGCCATGTCTTCCCCGTTGGAATTGATGAATATAAAAGAAAAGAGAAGAAAAAAAAAGTAAATAGACAAGCGGCCACCATTAAGAAAGAATTGGGGGTTAGTTAAGAAAGAAAATAAATCTAATGAGACATCGTTAAAACAACTGAAAACGTTTCGCCAATTCGCTTTTTTCATGTTACAGGTTGCAGCAGTAGAAATAAAGACATTAATAGAAAAGGTATCACCGCATTCTTATTCTCGTGAAACAATCCAGGAACGGAGAACCATGCCACAGAGGCGCTTGATCACCTGCGTGGTTCCTTTGCCGCCTGCTTCTTGTTCCAGGAACTTTTGCGCCACATATAATTTGGCGCCGGAGTCCTTCTCGTTGGTCGTGATAGGCTGGGGGAAGCTGCGCGGGAAGTCGGCCCACCGTTGGCCAAGGTGACGAGCAATGGCAATCGAATAGATGACGTCGCGGTTCTCGAAGGTATCCAGAAGCGTGCGACACCGAGCCAGGGTATCGTCGATCTCCTTAGCTGAGCTAGCCTCGTTGTCGTAAAGCGTCAGGAAATACCCGATGGCACTCCAGAAATCTATCGACCGCTGTGCAAGTTGATCGGTGAGTGACGGCGGGTTGGCGGGTGTCTCCCGGGGCGGGAACTGCGCCAAAGGATTGGCGTCGAGGTGTTCTCCTGTGATCATGGCTTCGATGACATCGAGTCGCTTCGACGCGGCCAAGAGGTCGTAGTCTTGTCCTAGGTTGCCGTTCGACATGTTCATGACATGTCGACACAAAGCCATGGTACCCCATACCACAGACGCTTCGAAACTCTCCAGTCGCGCGATGACGTTAGGGTCGCTTAGGTTGCGGTCGTTGAAGGCGTCGATCAGTGCCGAGTACTCGGCCATCAGTTGCGCATTGCCCAGAAGATGATTCAATGCCTTCTCCTGGTACCATTGGGTCTCGAAAAACTTGTCCATGGCGGGAGCATAGGTAGCCAGGAATACCGCCTGGATTTCATCGAGACGGCTCTGCGGAAGAGAAGTGATCGGATGAGGGGGCGGAGGAGGAATCCCTCTCAATGCGAGAAGGTCGCTGACCTGAACTTGTTTTACTGCGAAACGCGAGCGTGAGCATATCGGACCATCGGTCACAGTAATACCCGGGAGCTTACCTCTGAAGCTGGTCGGATCCGACGCTGTGGTCGTCGTTGCCGGATTAACAGTCGGCTGTAAGCCTCCATCGGTCGCATTGTGTAGACTGGCCATGTTCGCGGAGTCGTTGCTGGTGTTGTGGTGGTTGTGGTGGTTGTGGTGGTGGTGGTGGTTGTTGATGACGGTATTGTGGTTATTGTTGTTACTGCCGTTGCCGTTGTTGCTTCCATCCAACGACGGGTCGATAGCCGCGCCGTACTCGTAGCGTTCGGTCGACGTGCTAGGCGACTCAGACGGAGCGAAAGGTTGGGATACAGCAGGGACGTAGCCAGGAGGAGCAGCCGGGTAGGACGGCGAGGATGAGGTAGAAGGGTCTTGCGGATTGACCACCAGCGAGGGATGAGGATTGGGAGCTGGCTGGATTGCGGAGGGAGTGGGCTGTGACTTAAAGACCGGATCGTAGCCCAAGCATTCACGTTTACTCTTCACGCAGTTTCGGCAAACTGGATGGCCCTCGTCGCACTATTGAAGTAAACGGCAGTAGCGGGTTAGTGAAGAGCTTCGCGAAAATAAGAGCTGGGTGGGGTTTGAAAATTCAAGTAAAATGAAAAAACCCCTCCAGGTTGACAGTGAAATCAACAAGTGATTGTTATTTGTTTTTTTTACTTCCTCGAAAGAAAAAAGCGAAAGAGAAAAAGCATAGAAAAGAAGCGAGGGCGGGAATGGCGGGGTTCCTCAGCAGTCGGTGGGCTGGACGCGAGCCGAAGCGACACAGCGGTCCTGCCTCACCTCTCAAACCCACCATCCCAGTGATCCTCTGCCTTCCCTCCAAGCAGCTTCATTCCACGTACCTTGATTCGTCGTTTTCGACATGTGAGACACCCGGTTTTCGTCCTGCGCTTCACCTCTTTCTTGTGTCGCCCGCCCGACAGCATCTTGTTCGGATCCCCTGGGAGCTGATACCGCATCTGCGCGCTCTGGTTCATTCCCATTTGCCCGACGGTGGTCGGATATCCTGTCATGTACTGTCCCACCGACGCCATCGGTGGCATCGGGGATCCGATAGGTGCCTGTGGGATGTGCGATGCCTGGCCCTCCATCGTCTGCATCCCGGGCGTACTCATAGGCGTAGACCCAGAGGGACTGGCGTGATACATTTCGGGATTGTGCTGCTGATATTGCTGCGGTTGTCCTGGTTGTTGCCCCGGTGGCTGGGGCGTGGGGGAGGAGTACTGCTGTGACGGCGCATGCTGCTGGTACTGCGGTTGGGGCTGTGGTGTTTGGTTATGGGGCGTTGGCGGCTGGTGCTGCTGGTGCTGCTGGTGGTGCTGCTGCTGCTGCTCCGGGTGGTGTTGCGGATAGGTGCCATTTGAATGAGATTGATAGGAAGTGTCGGTGATATTAAAATCTGTCGAATCGGCAGCAAGGCCGGATACTGCATGGGACTCGGTTCCTTCGGCACCAGGTAGTTCGCCGTCTTTCGTATCGAACGAAAAATTCGGATCCCCAGACAAGTCATCCAGGTGTGAATCCTCATGCGGTATCGTAGTGTCCAAAGGGGGTAACGACGTGTCAATCGACGGTAGCGACGGTATCGTGGAATCCATCGGTGGTAGTGACGAGTCCATACTGGGGATAGTGGTGTCCATTGCCGGCAGGGACTTATCTATCGGGGGAAGTGAGGTGTCCAAACTCTGGAACGTCGCCTCCAGGTCGACATGGCTGGTGTCTGCAGCAGGCGCATCGCTCAATTCCCCCACCGGATTAGGCGGTTCGCTCGACGGGTTTGCTGGTTCTGTCGTGTCCGCCATCTCAGATCACTGGATATTCTCCGATTCGGGAAGCTGCACGGGAAAGATTCCGAGAGGGCCGGGCGGACAGTAGATCGTCGACGCAAACTTTCAAGCACGACTCGATTCTTGGGAGGGGATGTGTTAACGACCAGGGTTCTCGTTTCGCCGTTGTCGATGAAAGGCTGTTCTCCGGTTCAGCGGCCTGTCAGAACGCAATCTCTGTAGTCTTTTGAAAACGACAGTTAGTCGATCGGAACCATGTAAAGTAGGCTATGTCGTGGCGACAACGGCGCCCAGAAAGAATCGAATGCGATAGTGATTGAATAGGAGGAGAATCCAGCAAGAACATGAAAGGCACGGCTCTCCCAAATTCGCGCATGAGCATGGAAAAAGAATTTGGATATGAGCATCTCAAGGGTTCGTGGGCGCAAGACGGCGGGCGCATATAGATGGCTCATTCTGGAGCATCGATCGGTATATGCGAGTATCGTCATCCTGTCTGAAAGCCACAATTCGACCTATGCTGACGATCGGAAGGCTCATCCATGCGTTCTGGTGACGCCGGAGTTGAACGCGACCGGGTAGATGCGATCCGATCCCCGTCGAGTCCAATACCCACCGCCGCACCAGCACAGACGTCCCCCATCTTATAAATCCGAGGCAGATTGCGAGAAGGTAACCAGAGAACAGCGAGTTGATCATGTCCGATAGTCGGGAAATGGCTGGAGGAGGGGGATAAAGCAGAGGAGGTGGTGTCTCGGATGGCAGGAATTGAGGCAAGCAATGAGAAAATGAAGCCAGTTACTTACCATATAGCGGGTCCAAAGTGAGGCGGAAAAGCAGGGAGAAACGGACTATTCCATGAGAAAAGGCAATTCCGGACCTGATAAGCACAGCATTTGGGGTGGAGGTGGACGTTGGGGTGGATGCGACAGAGGGGGGGGAGAGAGGGAAAGAGAGAGACGATGCGCGACGGAAGAGAGAACTCGGCCGGCCAAAGCTTTTGGGGCCAGTAAATTACGGTTCCCAAAATTTAAGGCAGGAATTTGTCCTCTCCGCACTTGCATTAAATTAGGTTAAGGGTGCACTCCAGTCATGTATGCACCTGCCCGATGTCAACGGATATTTCAATTATATCTTCCATTTACTTTGGCTTCATCTCGCCTTGCTGTTCACATTAAATTTAAGTAAAAATTGGGTTAACCAAATCATCGCTTTAATTGAGAGTCCCCTTGAATTTATGGTCATGTCATGCCCAGTTGCTCTTATTTAACAGGATCAGACTCTATTAACCCCAGATATAGCCCTAATCAAGGATCAATAGGACCCTTAGAAGGTCTCGTGCTTCCTCAGACCAGTGACTTGGAGGTCAGCCCACATGGTAGAGAAAATAGATGTCTCTAAAGAATGCTCAAAACCTTGCGGCTGCATCCCATCCATTCCTTGTAGAGTCAAAATTGGTTGTAATGCGCTGCCTCGTACTCTCCCTTTTACCGACAAGAGTCGGAGGCGATCGAACGGTTTTAAGGGAGCAGGATGCCGTATGTTAAGCATACTACCGATTGAACCAGAGAGTACTTCTCGGGGAGTGTTGTGCCAAGTGGATATAATGTCAAAATCGTCATCATCGTTATTTTTTCATCACTTTCGGCTTGCGCTTCTTGAAGACCACTCCTCCAGCTGCCTCTTCGGGCTCAGTCTTCACTTCAGGAACAGAAGCGGTCGGTGGTTGTTCCTCCTTCGTATGCGACGGCTGATCCGTCTCCGGATTCGCCGCTTCGCCTTCGGTTTTCTCCGGTGTCTTAGAGACCTCTGTATCATCCCCCTCGGCAGGCGCATCCGGAGCCGATGGTTTGTTCTTCTTTATATCCTTCGTAGAAGCAAGCAGCGCATCCAGATCCGTGTCGTCCTGAGCCCCAGGGTACTGCCTTGTCCTCGACCCCCATGGCTTGCTCACGAACCTCTCCGCCTCCTTTTTAGCTTCCTCTTCTTCCTCGTCCGGCTCCTCGTGTTTTCGCTTGCGCACGCCCAGCGACGGCTTCGACGGGCCGTCGATAACCTTCTCCGACACCGTCTGCCATTCTCCGGCCAGGGACATGTCCCCGCGATACTCCTGCGGAATCGCCACCCCCATCTCCGCTAGCTGCGCCATCTGCCGTTTCCGCTCCTCTACGGACACCTGTTTCTCGACGGGCGCGGGCGCAGCGGCAGCGGCTCGTTTCCAGGGAGTCGCGGCATTGCTGGCACTGTCGGCGGGCGAGCCCGAAATGGCCGATTTTAGTCGCTCGACTTCACTCTTCGCTCTCTGGGTGTCCCGCTGCTTCTGCTCGTTGTCGCGGTGGATGTCGCGTAGGAATCGCTTCAGGTTACCCTGGTGTTTGCCGGTGGCTTCGTGTTGGGTTTTCTCGAAGGGGGTGTCGCGGATGAATATCTTGCATTGCTTGCACCAGTATCGAGGCTAGGAGAGGTATGCGTTAGTGGCTTTCCTGGAGGGGAGTTCGGCGACAGGTTTGAGAAGTGAGACACACCGCTGATTTCCAGTATTCGGCCATGGTTGATCAATCGAGAGCTAGTGAAGTGAGGAGGTAGCTAAGCTTAAATGATATCACTGCGCTGGTTCGGGCGCGTTGAGGATGCCTCAGGTGTGACAGGGGCTAGTCCCAATGGGGTAATTTATGGCACCTCAGGCATACAAACTATATAACCATCATTTACTTTTCTTTCACATCTTCTTGTATTTTGCGGCTGTTGTGAATATACTGACGAATATTGACAAATTACAAATAGAATAATATTAGGCCGATCTGGAGATTTGTGCAGACTCTCTTTTAGTGGTTCTCGGGAGTATTATGGATTAATTAAGGTATTTGGTTGACTTTCAGAAAATATACTCGGTGGCTACTGGGTCCGACTTTTCATGTCTCTCCTTCCTCAAGCTCATGAAAACCATCTTGTTACCCTGGACAATGGCCTTATAAGCCCTGTCAAAACGAGAAAGTGCTCCAGAGCACTCAGGAAAGTACCTTGTTTAAGCGAGGCAGTCTAGTTGAGGTTTCACCGATGCAAGAGCCACGAGGTCCGAATCTAAGGTTGGTGGACTGGGCCGGGCCAGGGCGAGAGATAGGAGATTTCCCATATGCTCCCCAAACTGCCTGGCTTGGTCCATTGATAAGAATTCTTCCGTGCTTTCAATCGTCAGGGAAAGGTCTTTGACATTCCGCTCCGACACCACCCACACTCGAGTCGCCGAATGCTCGGGCTGTTCGGGCGAATAGCGAGTGGCCTTGCATGCGAGCTCGTCGACTCTCACCTCCAACAAGTCCCGCGAGTCAACATGATCAACCACGGAACCAAATGTTGTATCGTGGCTCCATCCATCGGCCCTACAGATATCATCGAGCCCTAGTGTCTCATGCGGAAGGGCTTGGATGTGCTGTTGTTGGATTTTGTTCAAGAGATCCGTGAATGAAGAGTGAGTTATCTTGTCGACGCGCACGGGGCTGATATTGACACAAGGCCCAACAATATGCTGGGGATCAGCGATATCTAGGCTAGACCGTCCATTGACGATTTGTCCGAATACAACATCTGTCTGTCTCGTGAATTGAGACAGCACAAGCGACCACGCTGCTTTAACAACAGTTGCCATTGTGGCACCCTCCGGCAGCTTGGGACAAGGCACAACCCGACGAGCTTGGATTTGCGAGAAGCTACCAGTCGCCTGCATGTCATTTCCGAGAAGGGTCATGGTCGACCCTGTCAGTAGATGCTTCCAGAAGGATTGAGATTCCTGAACACGGCTATCAGACTCTGCCAAAAATGTTGCGAAGCCCGTTGGCTGTGTCAACACTTTGCCCAGGTAGGCACTCAACAGATCGTGAATTATCCTAGGCAAGCACATTCGATCGTGTTGCGCTCGGGACAGGCGTATGATCACGTTTCGAGTTGTTGGCGCTGTTCCAGTAACCAGGCAGTGAACAAGGGGGAAATCACTGTGGTCCTGGCCTAGCTGGTTCACTTGCCATTGTATATCAGGATTGTCATCGATCTGAAACCGAGCGAGTGGAACCTCAGTAGAGTCGAAAACAATCTGTGCCATTCGGCCTTGGTAGGAGATTATATCCTTTCAACGATGTTTGTTGTAGCCATGCCAATCTTCGTTTGTCTGCGATTCGTGACCCATAATTCCCTGCAGCAAAAGGTGCTGCTGTGCTCTCTGTTGGCCCTGTTCGGGCTGTGTGTTGCCCTACTGCTTCCCGGCCTGCTGATAGAGGTTGGGGCTGTTACCGAACAGAAGGAGCGCAAAAAGGAAATGGAATCTGACTTGGAGAAGGCGGTGCCACGGCACAGGCGTCTGGGTTGAGTAACATGGCGTATGGGATTGGCTCACTTGTTGGTCCCTTCCTTGCGGGTTTCCTTCCCGACGAGGACGGATGGGGAGCAATGAGCTGGGTCCTGGGGTTGGTGAGTGGTATCACTAGCATCCCGACGCTGCTGTTTATGGGTGGTTGGATTGGGCAACAACCTGCGGCAGAAGAGGTCTCGGAAATGGGTCATGAAAGTGATTCATTTTAATCCATCCTGCAAGGTGTTTATCTTATCTGCCTATGTTAGCTAAGACTTGGAGGGGCTCATGCAGATGTCCATTTTGTGTGCATGGACCCTAGTGTATAAACAGTTTTAGAATGATAGCTGGGATTGGGAGTAGGAGAGCGCGTAAATCATCATATTGTGCCCGCTGGACAATTGACATTAGAATCGTGAATTGTTTTCTTCCAACTAGAGCATGAGCCCCGTTATGAGCGGGGTGAAACTTCTACTCTGACTCTTGCTTCGATGAGGTCAGGTTGGAACCAGAACCCGATGTCCTTGGTGCTGTCCACAAGTTCAACTTCTCTCTTGACAAATTTGGTTTCGTCAATCGGGAGACTGTGACCTTCAACTTCTTTGGAGTCACCGTCTGCAGACTCGTCTTCGCTATCCCATCCATCCGCATCCTCCATGTTCGCTTTGCTGACAGGGTCCAACTCATCCGTTTCCCAAATTAGCCGACATTCGTAAGGTGGTAGATTGAAGAGGCGAGACATGATTGCTTTGAGCTGATATGTGTCGAATGACCGAGGAATCTCCTTTGATTTGATGATTTCGATGGTCTGGGAGTTATCGGACCGCAAATGAAAGACCATTTTCACCAATCGGGCAGCAACCGAGCGTGGGTTCACTGAAGTACCAGCCCCTGTTGAGTCGGAAGCCCGACTGATTATGGGTCCGCCGTAGATTTTGCAAAGCTCACTATAGCGAGGATGTTTCTTGAGGACTTCCGGTTCGGCAGTCTCTGAGTTGGCAGACAGCTCTTTGCCAATAAGCGAAAGATAATAGAGCTCTGCGTTACTGCGGTCCTTCGCGTTGATATTCCCAAAATTAAGAACTTGCAGAGATGCAAGCCGAGATAGAGTCAACATGTATGCTTCGTCTACTGTCATCGGCTTCTCCGGCATTCCTGTGACGACTGACGGCCCGACTGATTGTTTGTAGAGGGGGTTCCCGGAAATCCGAAGGATTTGTAGACCAGGAAAGATGTTTGAGAGTTCGTCCACGAATGACCATGTGTTAATGTCATTTCGAGACAAATCAACGGATTTAAGCGTTGTTGGGAATTGGAAAGGCGCCCCTGCCTGATTCTTGTCATAAACTGCGTTTATACAGTTTCCTCGTAGGGAGATGTGCTCAAGATTCGGGAGTGACGTTAGATGTTTTATTGACGACAGCGAAGAAAGGTCATTGAGTTCTAAACTCAATGACGTGATGGTGTTCGGTATTGACCTTGGGATGGTTGAGATCTGATTAGCACAAGCAGATAGAGTGGTGATGGATGGGAACTGATGTGTCAAAGTCGATATCTGGAGTAAACGATATCAGCATGATCATCTCTAACGGAGCAAGAGTTTGAAATACCTCGTCCCAAGCAAGAAGAGTGTCGTCCAAGTGAAGCTCGGTGATACCTTGGAACTTCAACCCCTCCTCGGCTGGGTCAAACCTATTGCAACTGTATCCGGGTTACTATCAGATGGCACGCAGTTCACACCAGAGGATCTTACTTCAACTTCAATACTTTCAAATTCTCAAGCTGGTCACAGACACCCTGGACCTCCGACCAGCTAGTCAATAAGTTCCGACCGAGGTCGAGCCCCGTGATTTTTGGACAAGTCCGTTGGATCTCCGTAAGAGCTTTTTCGAGTTCTTCTCGTTCTCTTTTATAAGGAAGGACCCCCGCAACACACAGCCCATCAAGAAGCACGATGCGTAGTTCCTGGAGCTCTGCCAGTTGCTTTCGGATCTTGTCGAACCCTACTTCTTCAACAACTTTGCCGCTGATTTCTATCGGCTTTTGATGCGAGTCGCCGGGCGCTACGCCAGTTGATCCCTGTTTCGTGGAAACCTGCTCCGACTCAGAGGCGTACTTCTCACGCACTGCCTCCAGAAAGCCTCGAGGTTTGTCCGCGGCCCGCGATGGACGCACGAACGACCCGGCCGTCGGTTGGTTGCTTTTGCCTAAAACATGGTATGAGTCTAAACAGCATAGCTTGTCGTTTAACCAAATGGGCCATACATGCGAAATACCGCACTCCTTGATGTTCGCCAGAGTGCTTCCCTCGAGTTGAATCATCCCATTCAACCCCGAGCCAATCGCCCGTAGTGCCCTCGACTTTTCCTATGTAGCGAACAGTGCACAGATCGCCATTGTACGACCTCCGTTGACCGAGATGACAAGAGACATCCATGTTGATTCAGTCTTCCTATCACGATAATGGAAACAAGTCCATTCCTCAATGAATTGTTGGCCGGGGAGACTTGATTGCCCGTTTTGTCCAATCGTAGATCGGCCGGGTGGCTGACATAATCGCTATCCAGCGAATTTCCCGCCGCAGCTTATCGCCAACCTGGGAAACTTCAGCCATTCCGCTCTCTCTCGGGGTTGTTCAAGCAGAGATTCTCAGCATGGATTTCCAGGTATGTACTCCCTGATAGACCTGACACACTTTATTCATCTACTATGGACATCTTAAGAAGCTAACATCCCCCCCTCAAAGAATCGTGCAGGATCCAAATTCGGTGGTGGCGGTGTCGCATCGCAATCCGCGACCAATGCAGACCGTCGCGAACGTCTCCGCAAGCTCGCTCTCGAGACGATCGACCTCGACAAAGACCCCTACTTCTTCAAAAACCATGTTGGAAGCTTCGAGTGTCGTCTGTGCCTGACGGTCCACCAGAACGATGGCTCTTACCTCGCCCACACGCAGGGCCGCAAACATCAGACGAACCTTGCGCGGCGTGCGGCCCGCGAGGCCAGGGAAGGGAAGAACCAAGACCCCTCGTCGCTCCCGGGGGCGATGGGCGTGCAGGTCAAGAAGCAGACGATCAAGATCGGGCGTCCTGGTTACAAGATCACCAAGATCCGGGACCCGTTGACGCGACAGCTGGGGTTGTTGTTCCAGTTGCAGTACCAGGAGATTACGCCGGGAGTGCAACCCCGGGTGCGCTTTATGTCGGCGTTCGAGCAGAAGGTGGAGGAGCCTCCGGACAAAAACTTTCAGTATCTCGTCGTGGCTGCGGAGCCGTATCAGACGTGCGGTTTCAAGCTTCAGGCTAGGGAGATCGACCGCCGAGAGGGCCGGTACTGGACTTGGTTTGACGAAGATAGCAAGGAGTTCTGGGTCCAGATCATGTTCAAGACCGAACGTGAAGAGCGATTCAGTGGTGTGCCTGGTTTGGCTCCGGCTATTGGATCATAGGGAATTGTTTCAGTTGCTTGAGGGGGAAGAATATGCTCTAAATTTGCTGGCTTGCAGATATTGATGGGGTGTGCTGTTCATCGAAAGGATTCATAACGGCGTTTCAGGATTTTTCATCGTTTCCATCTTGTGATATTGTGACCTAGCACTTATTTTGCTAATGCTATCAGATTGTGTGCCGGGAGCTCGACACGGCCTTCGTTCTTCAGATACACAACATGTTGTCTTTACTTCAATTCAAGTACGGCGCTTCCATGTATGGACGTCTTCGAAGCAGTCAATGTTATCTAAATTACGCCAATACTTAAATTCGATCGCCATTCTGACTTTGAGCTTGTGGTATAATATGGTAAATTCCGTCATTCCCCACGCAAAAGATTCAAAAAGCAAATTTTGTACTAGGAAATAGAGCCACTCGCAGATGCACCTTACTATTATCCGAGTCAAGATAACCAATTGCTAGTCAGTCCTGATCTGCATTTGCGGAAGTATCGCATAGACTGTGGGCTATGAATCGACCATGCAATGTATGTAGTCTCTTGGATGCCAGATATAGTGTGTAGATAGCAGGCGTCGTCTCGCGACATGCAAGGGAAGAGGGGAGGGAAATAGAAGAAGATGCTCAGGTCATTATCAATAACACAATGATGACAAATGCGCTATATGCTTGATCAAACAAACCAACAGGGGTATGCCGAGATTAAACCATCGATGAATCATTGGAAAGACATCGACGCAAGCCTGCCCGCTTTCAGACTTCCCAAAGATGTTCATTGTACAATGTTCAACTCGGATAATCGACTCTAATGCTTAGTTTCCTTGGAATGCGTTAAACGCCTTGTACGTGTATCCGATGAACGGAAGGCTCATCTCAGCCTCCTGGTCATCAGGCATAGCGCGAGCCTGGGCACGGTGAATAGCACTGGTGTCCTCTTGAGGAATTTCGTCAATGGGGAAGTAGGACACATCAATGTTCGAGCTAAGCTTGGGCTCAAACGGAGCGCGAATGTTGCGAAGCTGCTCCCAGACAACGCCACGGAAGAATGGATGGCTCTTAATATGGGAGGCACCTCCGTATTGACCACCGTCACTTCCAATACGGTGTTCGGTATCACACAAGAAGCTAAACAGTTGTTAGCTCAGTAACACAGCACTGATTGCTTTGGGCGTTTATTCACCTTCGGATCAATCCCTCTGATTCACGCGAAAGAGTGAGCTCCTCGGGGAAGTAAAGGCACTCCCTCCAGTTCACGATCTTGCGGTAGGTATCGGTTGTGTCTTCGGCACAGAATGGGGGCCAGCCAACCAAGCATTCAAACATGATAGCACCAACCGACCACCAATCGCAGAGGTAAGTATATCCTTGGCCGTTGAAGATTTCGGGTGCAATGTAGTCAGGCGTTCCGACAGTCGAATAGGCCATGGCCCGGCGGGACTTTCTCCAGGTGTTGATTTGACCACGGTTTGATACCGTCAGGTTGATCGCATCGTTGAAATAGCCGGAGTTGCGGTTCTTGTCCTTCGAGGTGGAGTTCTTTAGGAGATTTTGGTAGTAGGAGTTGTCATGCGTCTTCTTGCCTCCCGTCGAGAGACCAAAATCGGTAAGCTTCACATGACCACCGCGGTCAAGGAGAATGTTATCAGGTTTGATGTCTCTGTTCCAGGCATCATTGATTAGCATATAATGTATGCAAAACAACCGCCAAGCAGGTCACGAAGGGAACTCGGGAACACTCACCGGTGAAGGAAACCGAGTTTGTGAACGGCCTCGATGGCCATGACAATCTCCGCCATATAGAATCGGGTAATGTCCTCGGAGAAGATCTCATACTTGATGAGCATCGTCATCAGATCACCACCCGGCAAGAACTCCATCAGCAGGTAAAGGTAGGCAGTGTCCTGGAACGAGGCGTGCAGCTTAACGAGCCAGGGGTTATCCTTGGAATCAGCCAGTATATCACGCTCCGCACGAACGTGAGCCAGTTGGTCCTTTTTGAACATCTCCGTCTTGATCAACGATTTGAGAGCGTAGATTTTGCCGTCGGTCTTCCGTTGCACCAGCTTGACCTCACCGAAGGCACCCTTTCCGATCACCTTGATGGTCTGGAAGTTTGCTGGGGATTCTCGTGTTCGGAGGAATCGCAAAAAGTTGGATTCCTTCTTTGAAACGACCTCAACCTCCTGGTTCTTCGTCTCATTGGGGATTCCAGGTTCGCGGATCATCTTGTCGAGTTCGGCAGACCTGCACGTTGCCGGAGGCGTTAGCTCATTTTCTTGCATTATGGACCCCCGGCATTCGAAGAGAGAGAAATGAGAAGAAAAAGAGAAGGAAGCTTACCGCATGTTACGATCGCGCGCACGCTCGATATTCTCGTTGAAGAAGACGTTCACCAGCTCCTTGGCGGCCTTTCCTCGCTTATGAATATTCTCGGAGTATCGTTCGGGGCAACGCTGCAGCTCTTCATTCTCGGCGGGGGCGCGAGGGCTGCGAGGCATCGGCGGAGCCAGATGCCCCGGTTGTTGCTGCCCAGGAGCAGGAGAACCAGCGGTACGGGGCCTCTGCGCGGGAGAGCCCGAGCGACCGAAGAAACCAGTGCGTCCGGCATTTAGGTCCTGGTTGGAGAATTGCTGGATCAGGCCATTGGGTCCATCGTTGGTGTTATAGCCCATCCGGGACTGGTAGGCGGGTTGCGGAGACGGCAAGTTGGGCTGGCCATAGTGCTGCTGCTGAGCGTATTGGGGCTGCGCAGGATAGGGGTTGTTGCCCATGAAATACCCTTGAGCGTAGGCCGCATTTTGAGGATCGACGTATTCCTGAGGACCCTGGTTCTGATAGATCGGCTGAGGGAACGCGGAGGGCGTAGTGGGATACGCGCGATTGTTAGTGGCCGCATTGAAGCCACGATCGTTGTACCCGAAATTCAGGTGGAGGCGATTGTTGTTAGGGTCCATCTTGAGGCTCCTCCCGAGTACCAAACGGTGGTTGGACGGGGGATATAGAAGATTGGTGAAGGTCTCGATATAAAGGAGGGAAAAGTTGAAACTCAAGGGGGGGAGAGGGGAGGGGGGAAGAAACTAAAGGAGCGGTGGCTCAGGAGTCGCCCGAATTCCCCGACAAGTAGGAGATCAAAGGAGAGGAGGAGGGGAGGAAAATAGTGGAGAGCGGCGTTTCGGTCTCCACGCGTTGTTGTTCAGGCAGGAAATGCGCAGAGGCAGCCTGACAAGGGGGGATGGGAACAACAAGACTTTTAGGGAGGAAGAGAGGAAGCACGGAACCAACGCAGCGAGGAATGAAGAAAGGAGAGAGGAGAGAGTGAGAGTAAGACTCAGGAGGGGTTCATATCGGACTGTCCAACGTGGTAAAAATTACCGTCAAGTCTGGACTCTCTCGCTACGGCGTGCCGGTGGAACCAGCCGTGCGGGTGGTTCCTGAGGCTACCAGGCACTGGGCCTCGCGTGACCGGGTCTCAGAGATCGATCTGGATCTACGAAGGATCGAATCTTATGATATTGGGATTAAACTAGGGTCTATTGACTGCCGACCTAGATCGAAAATGCCGATGTCTTTATCTTAGCTGTTGAGATCGCATGCTGTACTAAGGAGTGGTATAGTGTTCCCAATCGGGGAAAGCGCCTCGCTGCCGCTTTACTATAGACAACCAGGGTAAATATAGTTAACAGCGTTGGCTCACTTAAACTGGCAGGGAATTATCAATAAGTGATCTGACAGATTATAGTCAAGTCAATGGTCTTCTGCATTACAGTGTTATTACATTGTGGATACTGAAGCAGAAAGGCACTACATGATTGTTTAGGTAGGTCTTAGTGTTGATCGTTCATACTACTCTGGACCACACTTATTGAAGTTATAAGAGACTTACATTATTGCTGTGGGCTTGACCTTAGTACGGACAGAATCTATATTGGAAAAGCTACATATCCACCTGTCATCTCCAGACTCGCGGGATATGAAACTCCCTAAGTACAGTAGATTTGACCGAACCCGTCCTGCCGTATGGGACCCGTCACCATACTTACTTTTATAGAAGCCTAAAACTTCCTCCCAGAGCTCACCTGCCTTCTGCATTTCTGACACTGCAGGGAAATTAGCTGCTTCCTTGTGTCTACCCATGTTTGGCTTGAGTGAGACTAAGGTTGGGTGAGAATCAAGCGAGAATATGAGACCGTACGAACAGCTTAGGTAGCTGTGTTCGTCTTGATATATAGAGGTCGCAAGTATACCTTAATAAAAACCATCGGAGAGTAGTTAGGTCTTAGGGATGAGATGGCTGTGTCTTTGCTCCTATATTGAACTCATATCTATGATTAGTTATGTATATGATAGAAGATCTTGTTGCACACAAAGATTTGGAAGTAGTCGTGGATGACCGGGGATGTACCCCGGGAAACTACCCGGAGAAATGATTATTCCGACGGCGCGAGGCAGGCATCCCGAACTTTTTTTCGGCAGTCAACCTTATCGGTGTTCTCGAGGGAAGTACACGATCTCTTTTCTCGTTGGGCTTTTCTTTTTGGATGATTGACGGGAATCATTCCTTGTATTTTTATTCTTGATCTTGCACCCTTCCGCCTCTATACCCTGAGACCATGGCGGACTCCTCGAAACCCGCTCCGGCTTCAGGCCCGGCTCCCAAGCCGCAGAACCCAGCCATGAGAATGATGGGTATAGACTCAATTATTCCTTGCAATAAACCTTTGATCAATCACTAATACTTTGTTGCTCCAGGAATGCCCAATTTCCGCTTCAAACTCCCCTCTCGCAATTGGATGATCTTTCTCACCATCACCGGTTCTTTCACGGCGGCCCTCATCTACGATCGCAAAGAGAAGAGCCGTACGCAACAGAAGTGGTGCGACCTCGTGGCGCATCTATCGAAAGAATCCCTTCCGGTCGACCAGACTCGCCGAAAGCTTACCGTGTATCTGTCCGCTCCCCCGGGTGACGGACTCCGCAATGCCCGGGACCACTTCAAAGAATACGTTAAGCCCATCCTAGTGGCCGCGGCTTTGGACTACCAAGTTATCGAAGGCAGGAGACAGGGCGACGTGAGGGCTGCCCTTTCGGAGCGGATTCGCAAGGTGAGAAGGCACGCGGGCGAGTCGAGTAGCGTCGTTGAGGAACCCAGCATAGAAGACGTTGTGGCCGACGCGCGACAAAAGATCGGTGTTACGGATGAACCAGGACCGAAGGGCGATCTGGTGATTGGACGTCATACCTGGAAGGAATATATTCGCGGTCTTCATGAAGGATGGCTCGGACCCCTCGACCCTCCTTCGGCTCCTGTCGCTGAACTCCTGGACGCGCCTCCGGCCGAGGGAGCAGAGGCAACCAAACCCTCCGACGACGGCACTCCCGCCCCAGAGAACCCCGAAAAGACCGAAACACCCGAGAAGAAGGAGGAGAAGCCGAAGCCCAGCGGTCCGACCCCGGCGTACTTGGCTCCTGCCGATTACTCGTCGCAAAGTCTCCCGCGCACCCTCCCCCAGTCTCTGGACGGATCGGCTCCGATCGCCTTCCCGCACATCCTGGGCTTCTTGAACACCCCGATCAGAGTTTGGCGATACCTGAACCAGCGCCACCTCGCTGACACCGTGGGCCGCGACGTCGCCGGCATCGTTCTCGCGTCGAGTACCAGACCCTACCACGACGGCTCTTTCAGTGCCGACTCTGAATTCAGCACGCCGAACGTTGATGCCGGCCCATCATCTTCGAGCAACTATGAGCAGCAGACCCTCCTCGAGGAGGAAGAGCTTGAATGGCATAAATCCGTGCACAAGACGGATGAGTCGAACCCCGACAAGGAACGCGAGTGGGTCGACGAAGTCGTCATGGATCCCCGCATCGCATCGCGGATGCAGCGCTACATCCTCTTGTCTGACGAGGAAGCTCGCTCGCAGCGCATTCTCGAGGGCTCGGAATACATTATCGGCGAAGAGAGACCCGCTCCTGTTCCTTTCTGGAAACACCTTTGGATCAAATACGGCTACGGCGAGGATGAAGCTACCCTTAGAAGAAAGCCCATCTTGGGCAACATCGATGAGGAGTGATTTGGCCTCCTCTTTACGGACCATATTGTTTGAATGACTGAACATCTTTTTTCTTTTCTCTATTAGACGTTATGGGGCACTGTCCCTGCGGCAAAGATCAGCACCACTCCACTGTACTACAACTTCTCAGCATTGTATATTAATTAGACTCTGGCGTTATATATGATTATATAAATACTAGCAGGTTTCAAATGTCAAGTTCTTGCGCGTCAGTTTGAATGAGAATCCGGTTGGAACGACCGCTTGTATACAGATAGACTACACGAAAACACCCTGGCTCGACTGACTAACAAGTCCAAAAATATGTTTCAAATTAAAGGACGGGCAGGCTTTTTATTGGCGATGCATCATTATTAGATTCCATTTGATTTTTGTATTGCCGGTCTGGGCTGCTTGATACCCATGAGCCGAGTTTTCTCAGGGGAATGATAGCATAGCTACCATGTCCGGCTTTCTAATCCTAATACAAGGTTGAGATTTGAAAAGATTCTATATTCAGAGATTTTCATGATCAGACGCAGCTACCCCGGCGAGCTATAAAGACCAATTCACCAATTGTTCTCTGAACGATTCGGGTGCTATTTTGATAGGGTTAAGAACGTGGTTTGTCCCTTATTCAGCGCGGAACAGAGTCGAGTTGGGCCACTTGCTAGCAGCCTTTTCGGCGTAGGCCGTCTTGGACGCTTGGTTGCTTCCCCATTCGCTCAGCAGATCGAGACCGGCGAGGGCGGTCTCGAGGGAGATGAGGTCGGAATCGAGGGTAGCCGTGAGATCCTTCTCATACTGAGGCTTCGAGTCCGCCTTCAGAAGCTGCCCGCATGTCAGACCGGCTTGAGTATGCGGGATGCTGTCATTGTGCGCGGCAAGGAACGAGTTGTTCCACTCTTCCAAATTCTGGGACTTCGGGAGCAGAGTCTCAAATTCGGGGTTGACGACCTCTGCTACCTCAGGAGCCAGAGGCTCGGAGAGGTTGTCCAGAGCTTTCCGGAACCGGAGGAGCTGAACGTGGAGCGTCGGGTTGGACACATCAATCGCGTGGGCGGCGGAGAGGCACTTGAGGGCAAGCGCATATTTGTCTTGAAGAATGAGTCAGTAAATTGCCGGGGTTCAATTCAGCACGCCAAAAAAGAGACTGGATAGAAAACGAGCAGGCCAACATACTTTTCCTAATATAGACTTCGAACCCAAGAAGTTGCGCCTCGATGCTCTTGGGGCTGTATTCCAGCAATGGCGTCAAAAACTTGGTCGCCTCTTTCAGGGGGTCCTGCGTCTGGACAAGCTGGTTTCCAAGCGGATCAGGGTCTTCCTTCTTCACGTCACCATCCGCGCTCTTTGCGTTTGCAGCCGCTGCCTTTCTCGCCTCCCGCTTATCGGCCTCAATCTTTTCGAGTCGTTGCTGCTCCTTCTTAGCCTTCTTGAGGGCCTTCTTACGTTCGGCATCATCATCGCCTGCGCCGTTGGCACCGCTAGGCAACGGTCCATGAACAAGATCCGGCTGATCGTGGAGAAGCAAATACGCCTTGATGGCAGCAAGAGCCACCCTCGTATAGAAGGGATGTTCGCGCAAACGATCCTCCCAGCGAACCATGTCCACGTAGGCTCTGACCATACCCTTCCGAAGAGAAAAGCTGTGGAAATCAAACTGATCTTCTTGCCACACATCGAAGATGTTGTAGACGGAATGCAGTCGCTTGAGAGCAAGTCCGAGCTTCTTCTGTCGTAGATAGGCCTCTCCATCCTCGGTCAGGTACCAGACGCACTGCATCTCGTGGAGATCGCCCAGTGCACCACCGACAGTCTCGTTACGGGTGAATTTGCTCATATTGTCGAGGGCCTTGTCGTTCTCGTTGTTGCGGAGCTGGTATTTGGCGGCCTTGGAGTTGATGTAACGGTCTTTCTCATCCAACAGTCGGGCCTTTTCCATTTCCTCCGCAGCCTTCTCAACATTGCCATAATGCTTCCATATCCGTGCTTTCGTCATCTGGTATTCCACGGCCTTGGGAGACAGCTCGATAGCCTTGTCGACATACTCCATCGCCTTGGACAGGTTGCGGCTGAGGTGGTAGTTGTAATGCTGGGCCAGGAAATAGTAGGTAGAGGAGAGGAATTCCGTGTTGTCACCGTTGGCTTGGGCACCGTTCGCTGCCTGGCCCGCAGCGTAGCCTTCAACCAGCTCCTGCACTGTGTCACGTTTCGCCGTGTTGGTGTACAGTGTCTTGATGTTCGCAAAAAGAGACGGGACGCCCTTCTTCAACATCCGCTGCAGATAGGCATCGGCAGCTTGCTTGAAATAATCTCCTTCCAAAAAGTCCAAGGGAATCCTCCGAGAAGCATCCCCGCGCGGGGTCTTCTCCGCCCAGGAGTCATATACAGCCTTCAACGCTTTGTGGTCATCCCCCGAAATTCCCTTAGCCCGGATCAAAGCATCGTAGTAGATTGAGTTCTCCGGGTTCCGTTCGAGGAGGGCATTGTAGGCGGCCTCCGCTTCAGCCTTTCGGTCCAGTCGTAAGAGGTAGTCTGCCTTCATCTCCATCACGGCCAAAACATCGGTGCATCGGTATCCCACAGCTTCCAAATGCTCCAGCGCCTTATCGACATTGCCCGCTTCGGCCATGATGGTGTTCTTGTACAGGACAGCTTCGGAGTGCTCCATGTCGGCGACTGGCGGGAGCGTCTTGAGAGTCTCCTCGTAGGTCGTCAGCACCTTCTCCGCCTCCTCCAGGTCACCAGCGAGGTGGTGCGCGATAGCCAAAGCCGTCCAGTTCTGTCGGAAAGCCGGGCGGGCCTGCAGCATAGCGCTCCGACTTTGGATGTAGCCCTGGTAGTCCCGCATTTGCATCTGCAGCAGGGCGAGATCTCTTTGGATGGGTTGGGAGTCGGGTTCAATTCGCAAAGCGAACCGGTATGCCTTGATTGCCTCCTCGTAGTTCTTCTCGGCCCGATATAGCAACCCGTAAACGTGCCAGCAGATATGCGACTTCATGTCGTTTTTGAGGGCTTCCTTGGCCAGCGCAAAGGCCTCCTCCTGCTGGCCCATGTTGCTGATGATCAGGGCCTTCATCGCGAGGGTATCGCCATGGGTGGGGTTTTTGCGAAGAATCTGTTCGGCGGTCTTGATTCCTATAGAGGGCAGAATAGATTATGATTAGTTGTCATACCACGCCATCGCACGGGGACAGACATCTCCCCAGTCCAATGCAGTTCACAAACCCACCCTTTTTGTGTTGCTTGTTCTCATAGTGGCGAACCACCTGGCGGAACAAGGACGCATCCTTGGAGCTCAATTGTTGCGGCATTGTGGCTGCTGGGGGAGGTTGGCGGAGGTGAGGGAGTTGCCAAGTAACTGTGTGTGAACTGAAGCTGGATGTGCGCGGGGACTCTTTCCTCCGGGAACGGCTTGACTTGTCGATCAGGCAGCGATAAGCTTAGGGCCGGGCTATTACGACATTCCCCTTTCTGCACGACCCCGTTAAAGTCCACCATGACAAGCCTCGATTGTTTCAAGAGCTTGAATTAATATCCCATTCGATTTTGGGGTGAAATCCGAAAGGCAATCACCGCTCCACTAACTATACGAATTCAGACTTTCAGGTTCTACCACGGAGCTTTGCATTTTACTGGAAGAGTTCCACTCTGCAGGGCGATTAACCTCGCTTGCTATATGCAATTAATCATACATGTCTCGTGTATATACATCCAAATTTCCAGCTTTTATTTCGTCGTTGGCGATGCCGCCCGTTGCGGCTGTCGTTTTTCGCGCCAGCTGTTGAGCTCTTCCTCCCATCCTGCCGACGAGCTGCCGCATCTTTCGGACACTAGACCCCATGTCCGAGATCGAATAATTTCCTCCACGCTGCGTTGTGTTCGGACTACATTCGCCAGTGACTCGGTTCTCGCTTCTCGGGGGAAGAATCGAGCAGAATACGGGTCTAGTCTCTCATCAACAACTCGCTCTCGGTCCTTCGCAGATTCGGTTTCTCGGAGGACGAGATCGGGATCGTCCGGGTCAGGGCTCGTGGCTACACCCGCGCAGTAGTTGAGCACGTCGGAGCGGGTCTGCCATGAAGGAAATAATACGTTCTCTTTGAATCCCTGGCAGGCGGCGGGATCGATCGATTTCTCCGCGTCCGACGTTGTCTGGCGCACCGTAGTCGAGGAAGGATCAAACCCTTTCTGCGAGGGAGTAAACAACGCGTTCAGATTTTGGCTTATCGAGTCATCTATCGTAGTCCTAGAAAGGCGAAGGAAATCTATGTAGACGTCGGAGATATAAGTGAGCACTGCTCCTAGCCACCAGTAACCGGGAAACGCTGCTGGGACTAACCTGTGAGCAGCTTCTCGTTAAAGCAGAATCGGGGGCTCAGTCCGGGTGCTGAGGTTGAAGAAGCCCGCGACATGTTTCTAGCGTTTTGGTCTCCTTTGACCTTCTCCGACCAGAGCCACTCCAGATTGGATGATTTGTGAGGGATCAAACTAGGTTAATTAATTGGCGCCGTAGGCGAAATGGGAAACACCGCAACAGTGTTGTCTAGTGTATTGAATCGTTGACCAATGCAAAAGCCAGTTGCGACTGAACACAAGACCTGCACTGTAGGAAAAGTTTAATGGTTCGTTTTATTTGCTTGGGGTTGATGATTGGAAAAGGTGTACGGAGTCCGGAGTAGATGGAAGTGGAAGTCCCTCGAGGCCCGCCTTACGGGATGGTATCATAAGTTGCCTGCCTGATCAGGCTAGCAGCCCATGATCAGCCCCGGATCACGGGACTACGTGACCCATAGGCAACGCGCTTCCTCGTATATCAACAGCCCACTCTTTCATATAACGGAGCATTTAGCATTGGCAATCGAGTCCTTTTTTCTTCATTGGTAGAGTCATCCAGCCGTCCAGTACCGTATCCATCGCCGCCATGCCTGAGCTAGCTGAAGTCTCGCGCATCGTCCACTTCATTCGTCAACACCTTGTTGGCAAGACGCTTTCCAAAGTATCTACGCAGAACGATGACATCGTATACGGCAAAGTTGGCACGAGTGGCTCTGAGTTTCAGCAAGCCATAGAGGGCAAGAAAGTAGTGGGTGCGGGACAGCAAGGGAAATACTTCTGGATTGCCATGTCCTCACCACCGCATCCCGTCATGCATTTTGGTATGACTGGCTGGCTCAAGATCAGGAATACCGACACGTATTACTACAGAACAGACAAGCCAGAAGATAAAGAATGGCCGCCGAAATACTGGAAATTCTTACTCGAAACGGACGGGGATCTCAAGACGGAGGCTGCATTTGTTGACCCCCGCAGACTTGCCAGGATAAGGCTCGTGGATTGCCCTGCGGAGGAGATTCGCAAGTACAGCCCTCTCAAGGAGAACGGCCCAGATCCAGTGGCCGACAAAGAGGCGGTATCGGAGAGCTGGCTGGGAGACAAGTTGAAAAGCAAGAAGGTGCCAATCAAGGCTCTTCTATTAGACCAAGCCAATATAAGTGGTATTGGCAATTGGATGGGGTTAGTTTTCCTAGCCCACTACGCTATCAACCATAGACATGGAAGACTGACTACTCCTTAGCGACGAAATTCTGTACCATGCGAGGATACACCCCGAACAGTACAGCAATTCTCTCAATGATGATCAAATAAAAAAGCTTCATTTCTCCCTTCATTATGTCTGTTCAACATCGGTGGATCTACTGGCAGACTCAGAGAAATTCCCTGAGGATTGGCTTTTCAACCATCGATGGGGAAAGGGAAAGAAAAATACGCCGTCTGTTTTACCCAACGGTGAAAGGATTACATTCCTTACTGTCGGTGGCAGAACAAGCGCCGTCGTCCCTAGTATGCAAAAGAAAACAGGCCCGGTGACCAAAGGTGCCAGTGGTGAAGATACCAGCGACATGCCAAGCAACTCCAAGAGGAAGCGAGCAGCAGTTCCCAAAGAAGAAAGTGATTCGGAGGCGAAGGGAGAGGCATCCAAATCTAAGAAAACGGCACCCAAGCCTCCAGCCAAGCAACCCGTGAAAAGTGAAGAGAACGAGGAAGAGAAATCTACAGATCTAGGGCGACGACGCTCGACGCGCTTGAGAAAATAAGCTAGGCTCGTCGTTTGTGGCTTTTTTGTGTTGTAGAAAAAGAATGTCCTTTTTAGATGCTATACTTGCACGAATATAATGCGGATAATCCTAGTATATTCTTGGGAAATTATATAGCGCCAGTCATATGCAACAACGATCGCTCGATAACATCGATCACACCCTGAGTCCATGTAGTTTGGAGTAGAATACCTCAAAATTCGAACTGGGCCCGGTCATGTTGTCCAGAACTGCGAACGCAATTGCCTCAAACCAGCCCTGAAACTCGTTCTCTTGCAGAACTTCCATCCAACAGTCGGCGACCTCATTATTTGGATTTCCGAAAACACCGCAGCCAAGCGCGCCTAATACAAGCCGTCGGTGCCTTTTAGAAGCCGCCACGCGCAGCACAGAGCGCATTTTGGCCTTCATCAAGTCTCGATCGGCGGCGTATCGGTATTTCGAAAGAACAGTTCCGGGGACCAGCTCCGGGTCTCTGATCGCAGCCACGCTTATCACACTGACAACAGGGAGCTGGTCAGGCTTCTGTAAATTCATGAGCCTGTGGCCCTTGCTGTAATTCTCACGGAAGACGACGACACTTGGCGCGTACAAAACGTCGTGGCTCCCCATGGGGTAGTGTCGTCTCTTGAGAGTGAAACTAAGGCTACTTCGATAGCAGAGTTCCTCCTCCTGGGCCATGGCTCCATTGAGCCAGCCTCCTCCGGGGTTCGTCTGGTTGGCCATGTTCAGGACGCATACATGCTTGGCGTGGTGGGTGTTGGAAGGTACTGGATTCGAAAGCGCACTGGCTATATCGAACGTGTCGCCGTTGATGACCCTAACCTTCGCAACCAGGTTTGGATGGTACTTAAAATCCAAGGGTGCCATTTTCGCATACGGGCAATAGTGTCCATTTGGAGGAGCCTGAGGCTTCAGTGCCAATACCCCGGGCAGCAGAGCTTTGGTTTCTTCCGCAATTCTCCTAAGGTCAGGTTTGCTCCCAGAAGGCTGAATTTTGAATGCTTGCGCCATGTTTGGGGAACGATGAACTTCTTCTTGTGGGGGTGGAAACGAGTCCGAATACTTTCGCCGAAAACTCAAGAAGAAAGTTAAACAAAGCGGTGTATGGGATGAATGTGAGCAGTTTGACTGGAGTCACGCCAGCCTCGTATTCCAGGCAGCCATAAAATATTCAGGCCTCCAGCCAGTAGTCCATGAGACCTAGCTCGATATGACCTGATATCTGAGTAGTTCCACTCTCATATGCTCTTTATTGCCACGCATCTCATCATCTGGTGTTGAGATTTCACACAGCAAGAGCCTCCAGAGGACTTGATTATAAAGAGGGGGAGGTGGGAGGTGGAAACAAGAGCCATCAACAATGCCAAGGCGTAAGGCAAAAAAGCGGCAGAATCGGGCGGAGTGATGTGAGCGGTGAGCTTATCAGCGCCGATCGCGGGGGGTTCGTCTAATCCGCAGCACGGGATTCGTCGCCACTGCAGCTGACAAAGCATTCATTGATTTCATTGGAATCCGTCCTTCTTCTACCAGTATCTTTTCTCCATCTTTTCTCTGCAACATTTTCAAACCCATTATTTCCTTCCATCTTCTTTTCATCCCGAAAACACAGTTCTTTGATTCTACCAGGATTACATTTATCGTCTATAGTCCATTCTCGCTCATCCTTATCGCCGCTATACTTACTCAGCCTTCGGCGGGGACTCCGCGGCAGCAACCATGAGTGCAATCCTGTCGGCCGATGACCTGAATGATTTCATCTCTCCCGGTGTCGCATGTATCAAACCTGTGGAAACCCTTCCAGCGAAAGAGCCTTCAAACTCAGAGGTGCGCAGAAGCTATGCCTTATTTACCCCTCCCCCCACTTTAATTCAGGCATTGATCTTGTATGGCGCAGAACCCCTACGAAGTAACCAAGGAAGACAAAGTCCAACCTGAAAATCTCCCACCAGCTGAGATCTCATTGACGGACTGTCTTGCTTGCTCGGGATGTGTCACTTCTGCGGAGGCCGTATTGATTTCCATGCAATCGCATGCGGAGGTTCTCAACACACTCGATGCCCACCCAGAAGTATCGTTTGCGACATCCCACGGAAATGGTGCAACAGATGAAAACGAGGGCCGGATATTCGTTGCCAGTGTCAGTCCTCAGGTACGAGCGAGTTTAGCCACCACATACAACACCACGGAGCAGGAGGCAACACACATGATCGATCAGTTGCTTCGCGGGCCCAAAGGACTGAGGTCTAGTGGCAAACATGGCAGTGGATTCACATGGGTCGTTGATAGCAACACCTTGCGTGAAGCGGTTCTTGTACTCACGGCAGATGAAGTTGGCGAGTCTCTTTCGTCAGGCGACTCGTCAGGCGCACCTATTCCGAAAAAGCCCGTTCTGTCCTCAGCCTGTCCAGGTTGGATCTGCTACGCCGAGAAGACTCACCCATTCATTCTTCCTCATTTGTCGCGACTGAAATCCCCGCAGGCGCTATCTGGCACCTTCTTGAAGACAGTCCTGGGCAAGGCCCTCAATGTCCCAGCCTCACGCATTTGGCACTTGGCCATCATGCCCTGTTTTGACAAAAAGCTTGAAGCCAGTCGAGAAGAACTCACCGATGCTTCGTGGTATACGCCCGAGAGTCAACCATCTGCCGAACCTCGTACCGCTGTTCGCGACGTTGACTGTGTGATCACTACCCGCGAACTCCTCACTCTGGCTTCTTCGCGCGGTATTTCTCTTCCTTCCTTACCACTACAACCCTTACCCTCGGCCTTTTCACCGCGATTCCCGGATAAAACCCTCGACGCATTCCTATTTTCCAAACAATCCTTGTCAAAACAAACGATGACCACTGGCACATCCGGAGGATATCTTCACCATGTTCTTCTGACCTTCCAAGCTAAAAACCCGGGCAGCCAGATTGTAACTCAGCGCGGACGCAATGCCGATGTTGTGGAATATATACTCATGTCAGCTGGCGGTGAGCCTCTGATGAAAGCCGCTCGCTATTATGGCTTCCGGAATATTCAAAATCTTGTCCGGAAATTGAAGCCTGCCCGCGTGTCAAGGCTTCCTGGCGCTAAAGCTCCTATTGCCTCAAGAGGAGGGAATCGACGCCAGCCGATTTCTCGTAACGGGGCCTCTTCCGCATCAGGCAGCGATTATGCCTATGTAGAGGTCATGGCGTGTCCTGGAGGCTGTACCAACGGGGGCGGACAAATACGGATCGAGGATGCTAGAGAAGTTAACTCAACTGCACCAACCGTGGTCTCAGAGGAGGAACCTAGCATCTCGACAAAACCAACGCCGCATGAGCAGCGTTCGTGGCTGGCTCGTGTGGACGAAGCATATTATTCGGCAGACTCGGAGGCCGAGAGCGAGACTGAGACCCAACCACCAATTGCTATCTCGGAAAATGAGACTCGAGTCCGCGAAGCTTTGCGCTACTGGTCGAATTTGACGGACATTCCGCTTGCCAAGCTAGCCTATACCACCTATCGTGAGGTGGAAAGTGACGTGGGCAAGCCTCAAGAAGCGCCGAATGATACCACGCGGGTGGTAGAATTGGCTGGAAAGATAGGCGGTGGCTGGTAGGGCAATAATCTTCATGTCCTATCTACACAGCGTTGCGATGATTTTATACCTCACGATTCATTTTATGTTTACGAACCCTTGCATTTGCATTTTTGCAGTATTTATATAGATAGAGATCGCACTTGATACCTGAAGCTAGACCTGGATGGTGTATTAGATTTTATAGGTGTGAGGAATCAAAAATCTCATTGACATGAATTACAACAACAAATATACCGTGGACACATAGTTACCTAGTATTAATCAGTTGGATCTTGTTTATCCATTTGAGATTCAATGATCACATACAATGAGAAAAGCAATATGATTGGCCGCTTCTCAAACTCCCTCCCCAAAACGGCTAGCCCAACTAATGGCAGCCTTAACCACCAGGCCGCCGCCCAGCTGACTCAGCCCCGCTAGATTTGCGCGAAAAGTTCCAGAACTGCCCGTTCAATGCGACCTGCTTCCTTTCTCTCAGCCTCCACAAAGAACGTCCTTCTTGACCCGAACCCTCATCGTATCCGACTCCCGGCTTGCAAAATCGCCTTTTCCTAGGCTCCTCCTTCGATCTCTGCGACTTGCACACCCGTCCGGATACGAGCCCGCCTCGAACAAACAACAACTCGACAAAACCTACTTTTTTCCCGCCGAAACCCGCCATCATGTCTCGCGAAGCTTATCAGGTGCCAGCTCAGCTGAACCAAAATGCCTTCAGCACCGATATGGGTGCCAGCGCCGTCGACGGACCCTCGGTGTTCTACCGTTGCGGCGACTGCTACGCCCGCGTGTCGCTGAAGAGGGGCGACCAGATTCGGTGCAAGGATTGCGGTCATCGCGTGCTGTACAAGGAGAGAACGAAGCGGTAGGTTTCGATGATTTTCATTCTCTCCGTGCTTCGTGATCTTCTCGGGGTTCTTGAATGTGGACCAAGTGCTGATGATGGTGATACTATAGGATGGTCCAGTTTGAGGCCCGGTGAACTCGAATTTAATCTTTGTCGCTCGAAGGGGAGTAGGAGTCAGAGGGTAGAGTGAGTGTCTGAATAAATGGATGGAGAGAAAGACGGGTTTGAACTACCTTTTACGATCGTGATATGCATTCTGCGGCGCTTGGGGAGTTTATCAATATTTCGACTTAGCAAAATTACTGCGATCCAGAGGTTGTAACTCCCGGGGCGAGATGTGGGGGTGAATTCCGTTTCGCAGGCATTGCTCTAGAGCCTGGGAGATTTATACACTTTTGGAAAGAATTGAAAAAAAATCATGAATACATTGATCATTGTGCTTTACATTGTTATGCCTTATCCAAACCAGACCCAGATGTTCCACCCTAGACCGTGACACAAAAAAGAAAAGAAAAGAAAAACAGACAAAAATCGAGAGGGTTTTGCGTTGAAATGGCAAAAGGAAGTAAGAAATAATTAACTTCACCTGGGTTGAGCAGATTTACTGAAGCTTATTGGAAATCTCAATGAATTTCTCAAAGGAGTGGAGGGCGGCACCACTCTCCACGGCCCAGCGTGCTCGCCGGACACCCTCCTTCCAGCGCCCGCCGCCAGGTCCGCGCTCGGTGATTACCTGGCCGTTGTCACCGGCGCCCATGTTGCTGGTATCGGCCTCACAGATGCCCGAGGTCACCAATAGGGATGCCACGTTCATGAGCACGAAAGACAGGATGGGGTCGTCCGGGGGCAATTCATTCCGCAAGATACTCATAAGCTTGGCGGCGTTGTCCTTGGGCATCTTTCTACCGTAAACTGCGGTCAGAGGGTGGGTGGGTAGACCGAAATCAGAGGGATGCAGTTGGAAGGTTTCCAACTTCACCAAAGTACGAGGAGTCTCTTCCTCTTCGTCACCGGAGTGGTGGTCGTCGGCCGGGCCCGTGTAAGCCGGGTTGGGGTATTCCGAAAGTTTCCAGCAGTTTGTCTTGCCCGCACAGCTAATCTCATCCATATCCTCCTCACCGCAGACAACCATTGTCTTGCGGCACCCGGTCTGGCGCAAAGCTTCTGCGAAGACGGGGCCGAGGCTCTGGTAAGCCACGCCAACCACCCGGGCCTCCAGGGCCCAATCAACGGGGTTTGCCAGAGGGCCCATGAGGTTGAAGATCGTTCGAAGGCCGAGTCCACGGCGAACGGGATTGGCATACATCATGCCAGGATGGAAGTTGGGCGCAAACAGGAACGCGTAGTTGGTCTCGGCGTACACCTGATGCATGTTTTCGACGGAGACCGCAGATATGTTCGGAGAAATTGGCGAGACGGCATTGAGGACATCGGCGGATCCAGAGAACGAAGTCTGTGCCCGGTTTCCGTGCTTAGCCATCATGAGGAAGGGCGAGGCAATAATGGAGGCCGTTGTAGAGATGTTGAATGTGGAGTGGGAGTCTCCGCCGGTACCGACAATGTCGCACTAGAAGGAATTGAAGCCGATGTTAGACAAAAGCGAACGGTGTAACTTGCAGGTAACTATTGAGACTCACCAGACCACCCTTGTAGTTTCCCTCGCTCTTACCACGGGACTTGATGACCTGCTTCAAGGTCGGCCTGTCCACTTGGAGAGCAGCCTCTCTCATGCGATGAGAGCATCTGGCGATGACCTCCGCATCTCGGTCTTTTCCAGTAGAGTGCAAGAGGGTCAATAGAGCGGCCGTCTGAATAGCAGACAAACGGTCCTCAAAAATCAATGCGAAGGCTGAAGCGATATCGGCCGTATCAACCGGCAGCTCCTGGTTGGGGTAAGCAAGCTTTTGAAGGAGGGGGGAGATGGAGACGTGCTCAGGTTTCTGGTCGTAGGCAGCAGCAGACATATTGGCAAATGTGAGATCAGTATTGACCTCCAGGCCGCTGACACGATGGGAATAAGCCAAGTATATAAGCTCGTGTTAGGGGAGGGGGAGGAATGAGGATTGAGTCACCGTGCAGCTGAATTGCCCCTCCGTTGCTGGGGACGCGCAGATGTAGTCAGCAAACATGCCGCGGCAGAGCCCTCACCGCCCGTTATCCGACCATTCCCCTTTGGGTCCGCAAGATTTCGTGATATTTTCCGCCCGTCGTCCGTCTTTTCCCCTTCGGCCTGCTCTTCTTCTCGGTGACGAGCCTCGCTTTACTCCCGTCAATCTTTCACAATGCCTCCCCGAGTGCGTCTCTCGAGTGGTCGACTCCCCCAGCCGCTCCGACAGAGCAGACTCCGTCAATATGAATTGCCTACGGTGACCAGATGCGCGAGCACGGCCGCAACGGCGACGACGCCGGCGCCTTCAATTGAGCAGATGACGAAGTCTGCTGCGCCAATTGCCAGATATCCTCCCTCCCAAGTCCCCTCGCACCGCAATCCGGAATACCGCCGGTCGCAACTCCTACGTCAATATACATCTCTCATCCGCACGACGCCTCTTATGGTTTTTCTCCAACACGACAACCTGCAATCGGTGGAATGGTCTGCAATCCGACGAGAACTGACCAGCGCCTTGCGTAAGGTGGACGAACAAAATGCCGCTGAGGGTCGCAACACACCGTCATTGGCCCCCCATGTCAAGGTGCAAATCGTGCAAACCAGCATTTTCGAGGTGGCCCTGCGGATTGTCGAATACTTCCGGCCCAACCAGGCCGCCCTGGCCAGCTCGCAGCCCCCTAGCGCCGTCAATCCGGTGACGCAAACCTCAGCCCAACTTCCTCCCACCGGCTCGAGGGACGACCCGTCATTGACGCACGATCTCTCCCGTGCCGCCCACGACGCCGTCTTGCATATGAAGGGTAAACACGAGCTGTCGACGCTGCTCGTGGGCCCCATCGCCGTGCTTTCGATCCCCGACGTGTCCCCGGAGCATCTGAAGGCTGCACTGACCGTTCTTGCGCCCAAGGCCTGCGGTTTTCCTACTCCTACCCGGAAGGCTAACCCGTCGTGGCATGAGATGCCGGTTCAGAACGGTCTGAACAAACTGGCCGTACTTGCTACCCGGGTGGACGGCAAGGTGTTTGATGTCGACCAGACGAAATGGGTCGGCAGTATCCAAGGTGGTATGGATGGCCTGCGGTCCCAGCTCATCCAGTCCCTGCAGAGCATGGGATCCAGTCTCACAAATACTTTGGAAGGAGCTGGCAAGAGTCTCTACTTCACTCTTGAGAGCAGGAAGAACGTTCTGGAGGAGGAGCAGAAGGGCCCTGAGGAGCAGAAGAGTGATGCTTGAACGAGGCAGCGCAAGCCATCTGATTTCTATGTATAATACTACTACACCTTATGTACTTTCCCTCTTTTCTTGGACACCTGTGGTTTTCTTTTAGCATTTATATTTGATTCGAGAAGAGCCAAAAATATAGAATGTAAGAATTTTTGCCACTTTTGGAGATAGGTATTTCGGTCCACATTTATAAAGTCAGATCAGCCGCTCAGACTTGACGGAGGACCAGGCAAATAATGACATGATCATAACATTGGATAATCTACCGAACTCCCTATAACTAACATACCTACTACTAACCTTAGTATCGCCATTTATTTCTTGGGCTCTTCATGTTTCTCATGTTTCTCGTGATCCCCGTTTTTTTGGTTCTTCGCATGGTTGTCGTGGTCTCCATTCTTTTCGTTCTTTCCATGAGTGTCGTGGGTTTCATTCTTTTCATTTCCCTTCTTCTCATTCTTCTCGTGATCTTCGTTCTTCCCACTCTGTTCATGCTTGATTTTTTGGTTCTCCGCGCTTTTCTTCTGATTCTCCTCTTTTTCGTGGGTCTCCTGTCTCAGCTTCAATCGTGCATTCATGCCGACAATGCAGCGTACAAGATCCCAATCCCCATCTAATCCGACCCAATCCGTGACAAGGATGCCAGTGGACCAGTCCCCGTCTTTCTCGCAATGCTTCCGGCAGAGATAGTCCACTGCAGCTGGGTTCAGCTTGGCAGCAATCTTCTCCGGCCAAGTTCCGAGCTTCCAAAAGTTACTTGCACTCAGGAAATTGATATAGAATGGGTGAGCACTGGTTGCCTGGGGACCCGGAAGCACCCCGAATGGATAGCAAGTCTTGCCAGCCCGTTCGCAATGTTCAGTGACGTATTTCACCTTTTCTCCGATGTTCTGTGTTTCCTGGACCTCGTAGAAATCCTGGATACAAACCTGTCCGCTTGCGCAAGTCGCATTGGCACAGTTGTCGGCCCAGGCGCTGGCGTCGATACCCCAACCGCGTCCACCATGCGCCTCCTTCAAATTCTGTGCGATGTTGAATCGGCGCAGGAGGACGACCTTGCCGCGCACCTCACCCAGCGTGGGGATCTTGGGTTCCGTATACCAGTTGCTTTCGGAGCGTGCGTAATGATCGTGCAGAATGCGACCTAGCTGTTCATCCGTATGCTCCCCGGGACCTTCACGCTTGAGGGAAATGATGAGGGTCTCGGATGGGTTTTGCTTAAGGAAGTCGTCCACTTCACGCATAAGATCCCGGAAGTATTTGTTACCCGTCAAGGAGATCGGGAATACGCTGTGGACTAGAGCCAGGTCATCTTTCGCGGGATCGTTGGGATACTGCGGCTGTACGCGGATATCGAAAAACCGCACGCCGTTTTGAAGTTGTTCTTTGGGACTGACTGCCTGGCAGCGAACAGACGGGGGCGCCACATGACAGGTGGGAGAGTTATGCGTGCCGGGAATAGAAAGAGAGGAAACCAAGGTGTTATCCTTCAGCTCCCCCATCCAAGCATTCAGGTTGGCCGATGAATAGACTGCGAGGTGGGACTCGGGCGTGACATATACGCCGGTGAGTTTAAACTTCGGCTTCTCACACAGCGCCTTCATCGTCGCAGACTCCTTGGTGGGTACAGGAGTCTGAATTTGATGCTTCTCCCCCTCTACCTCAAAGACCCAGCGCAGGCGCTCTTTGTCCGAGTCAATGAAGGTGCGCAGTTCAGTCTTGACAGCCTTGAACGGTTCGACGCGAATATCAACATCCTTGTGCTCAAACGGCTTTGAATCATCGTCGAGGGAGGCGACGGGCCCAGCTGTCCGGGTGACATTGGTGGTGACATTAGCCACAAGCCGAGTGAAGTTCTTTGCTAGGGACTGGAAGTCATCGCGGGGTTTTCCGTGGGCAGGAAACCGCTCAATGCGCTTCAGGGTGATAGGGGTTGAAGTGAGGTTGCGAACGGTCAAATGGTCGGCCACCATTGTCGCAAGTACTTGATGGGATGTCTAAGCAACGGCAAGAGTAGAGAACGCGTTCTCCTCCGGGGTTGGGGGGAAGGTAGTCCTGTGGGAAGATGAGAGCAGTCAATTGAGGTTCTGAGCAGAGTAAGAAACCGCGCCCGCTCCCATAGGGGCCGAGAGGCTAGAAGAGGGTTCGTATCAGGCTACCAGGCAAAATGGCGCGCATTATTGGTCTGGACGGGCCAAGATGAATGGTTGCACTGGGGTCGAACGAGAGCACTAGGCCGGCCACCATGGATGGCGCACCAATAATGCTGCGTCCTGGGATCTCCTGCGAAGCCGACAAACGGGCCTAGAAAAGTTTCCTCCCCGTGAGTCCCGACAGGGCGAATGGCCAAGGGATCGATCTTCGACTTCGCAATGACCATTGGCTATCCTTCCTTCCTTGTGAATCACTCATTATTTCCAAGCAAACAGTCACCACGCTCGATGTCCTCGGGTTGGGCAATTACGATCGGCTGGTCGCTCTAGCAATTTGGTTCGAATCCGGCCCGGGATCCACTGGAAGTGGAAGACGATTTTCTGACGGTGGGGATCTACTCCGTAGGGCTCGCATCAGCAAACACTCTTTAAATAGCAACCTGCAGTGGAATCATCTGCGAAAAGGAACTCGGGCAATATTTGCAGTCGTTGTTCTCGGTTTTCGCCCAGCATTGTGTTCTCATCACATTCTCAACACAAATGCCGACCAGAGTGTTAGTTTGATTTGGATTAGTGGACCGCAGATGATTGATTGGGGTATTCGTCATCTAGATCAAGCCGAGGCCTGGGCATTTTGGAAGACCTCCCAGGCTCCCAGCGTCTCCAGTAGAGCAGCGTTGGTACTTGGCCTACTCCGTAAGTCTTGATAACTTATGGGATTCTCTGGAGAAGGGCGGAACAACTGACGGGCCGCCGAAGGGCAGATGCGGAGTAGAATCACGTGGGGTCATGTGGGATGACGCCGGGGTTCGGTTATCGTCGGCGCGGAGAAGCAGTGATGCGGAGGGAGAACAGGCATATCTACAACCACCTCGCTGTCCCTCGCCATGCAGGCTCGCCTTCTCTACGCTCCGGGTGTTCGTTTGGCTTCTCTGTGCCTCTTGAGTTGATTTCTATTTAACAATGAGCTTTTTACGCTTCGGCACAGGCCTTTCTTGCGCTCTCCGATCTACTCGACCGCGCAGAGTCCTGCCAATTGCACATTCCCCGGTCATTTCATTTTCTTGCCGTAACTTCCATGCTGCGCCATCACTGTGGGGGGTTAAGTCCCAGGTCCTCAAAGATGTTGGTGAAGGTATGCAGGTCGTCCCTTATGTCTTTATAAAACCATCTCTGGAGCTACTCCCCTTGCATTGTTTCTTGGCCAATCGCTGACCTTTCAATGTTCTTAGGGATTACGGAGGTTCAGATCATCCAGTGGTACGTGGAGGAGGGTGCATACATAGAAGAGTGGAAACCTCTGTGTCAGTATCAATCAGATAAAGCAGTTGACGACGTTAGTCCCTCGAACCCCGTGGAATATGCAAACAAGACGATTGACGGGGACAGATCACATCGAGATATGAAGGTGTAGTCAAGAAACTGCACTTTCAGGCGGATGACACGGTTCCAACGGGCAAGGTAAGATGTCTGATTTATGCTTGGGACCCCAGAAAGTTTGGCTGACCATTGACATTTGGATCCATTTACAGGCGCTTTGCGATATTGAGGTAGAAGACGGTAAATACTTTGAGGACAGTCCGCCGCCTGCACCGGAACCGGTTCAGCCTAGTCCGACCCCTGCAGCCGCTTCACAAACGCAGTCCGTAGAGGAGGTTGCACCTACTCCCCCGATAAATGCGGTGCGAATTGAGACGCCGAAATCGCCATATGCAACCCTGGCAACCCCAGCAGTGCGTGGTCTACTCAAAGCACACAACCTTGACATCACAGAGATATCAGGAACCGGCAAAGCTGGACGCGTTCTCAAGGAAGATGTCCATCGGTTTATAGCCTCCCGGGAGTCGGCAGCTGCAACAGGGCCCACGATAACCGCACCACAAGCAGAGACCGCCGTCAACCTGACGCCCTTCCAATCCCAGATGTTCAAGACTATGACCAAGTCGCTCAACGTACCACACTTCTTGTTTGCAGATGAATTGAACATCAACCAGATCACTTCTCTGAGGAGAAAGCTGGCAAACGACCCTAAAGACCCCCAGAAAATCACATTCCTCTCGTTTGTCGTCAAGGCAGTTTCCCTGGCGCTGAACGAATATCCTCTTCTCAATGCGAAAATTGACGCGAGCAACCCCGACAAGCCGCAACTTATAATGCGCCCCAAACACAACATCGGGGTTGCGATGGATACACCCAATGGCTTGATTGTCCCTAACGTCAAGGATGTTGCCAGTCGTTCGATCCTCGACGTTGCGTCGGAAATCTCGCGACTAAGTGTCCTGGGACGAGAAGGAAAGCTCACGCCTGCAGACCTCAGTGGCGGCACCATCACTGTATCCAACATTGGGAATATCGGGGGCACCTACTTGTCTCCAGTGATTATACCCAACGAGTTGGCTATTCTAGGTATCGGAAAGTCCAAGACTGTACCCATCTTTGATGAGGCAGGCCAAGTAACCAAAGGCGAATTAGTGAACTTCAGCTGGAGCGCAGATCATCGCGTGGTAGATGGAGCAACCATGGCGAGGATGGCCAACCGAATCCGGGGATTCATTGAATCACCAGAGCTGATGCTTCTGAACCTCCGATAGTCTGTCTATACATAAAGTATGCATTCCTTTTTATCCTTTGGCGTGGTGGACCATACAAAAAGAATCCCTCCATAGAGAATACTACTACCGTTACAAATTAGCGCTCAACCGCTGCAGCGGCTTTATCTTGTTTCTTATTTGCTATATACCGGAGGTTCATGCACCTTCTTGCATGGATTAGTAGGTTGCAGGGCCTTTGCCTGCCCCTCCTCAAGTTTCTTTGTTGCGACATGACCCTGTTCCGGGACTCACGATAATCGCATCGTTTGCACTCAGCATCGCATCGTTTGCACCCAGTTGCATCGTTTGCACCCCTCGCCGTTGTCTTGCCGGAAAAGTTTTGTTGTCTTCTTCCATTCTTCTTCACCCTCCATGCTTCCTCTCACCTCTTCATCTTCACCTTCTTCGCCGTTTTCCTTGGGTTTTCGGTCTCTAGCCTTTTCCATATCTTCGCTCTTTCTGTGCTCTTTTCTTTTACTCTTTTGTCGCTTTTGATCTTCTTATCTTAATCTCCTGCGTTTTGAGGCCATATTCCTCCAAGTAGTTCCCTCAACCTTGAGCTGTCCTGGCCAGAATGGGGACCAGAGGGCTCTTCTTTGTGCGTTGCCGCGGCAGGTATTTCGCCTACTACAACCATTTCGACAGCTACCCAGATGGTCTCGGGAGTGCTATTATCCAGCAAATTCCGGAGAATCGCGACGAGTATCGTGGTATGAAAGACACCATTCATTCGTTATAATTCAACTATCTAACGTTCAAAATTTCCAGAATGGCTTCAGGCTATGAGAGTGAGGTACTCTAAACTCGCAACGCACTATGAAGGGCAGTGTCTCCCGGTTTCAGTAAAGGCTGATCAGTCTGATCCGACCGGCTCGCTTCCTGAACGGTATATTAAGAGCTTCCTGTCTGTCGATGACCGGCTTGAACACTCCCCCTTACAGATCGTGATGCCGGACGCGGAAATCTGGTTCATCGAATGGACTTACACTCTTGACCTTGATCGCGAGGTTTTTACGGTTGACAATGTGCTGCATTTTAAGCTCACAAAGATACCTCGTTATGATCGTTGGATCTATTACATCGACAAAGACGGGTATGAACGCAGGGCTTTTAAACCCTTCACCCCCGAGGAGATAATCGGCGACGTCACTTGCACCCCACACTTCAGCCAAGCTTCAAAGAATAGGTACAAATGCCTTGGGCCTGAGGTTATGCCTCCGAGGTCTCTTGTCTCTGACTCGGAAGAAGTGGTTATTCATCGGGAAGCCCTCTTTTGGGTCGTTTTCTCCCTCACACACCAGCGATACTCCCCACTGCTCGATCAGTTCTATCTAGAATGGGGTTCGGGTAGTTTTGCCTTCAGAGAGCTTGCGTTTGCATTCCTGTCCATCACAGCCGGTGAAATGAGTTTTGAGTCTCCCCGATCTCTCAATGGAAACTATAGTGGAGAGGGCTACTTTCTCATCCCTGAAGACAGACTTCGAATCGGTCAGCAGAGCCTTCTGCCTCGATTTTTACATGAGAGCCATGCTGCTGGATTCGAGCCCGGGTCAGCTCCTCGAGAAACAACCTACTGGATGAACAATGTCCTCATTCATCTTGTTACCAGGACTGATTTGGTTGATGTCGAGGAAGCGGCGGTTGCTGAAGTCGTCGATTTCGGCCTCAATGCGGGAGTGAATAGGTTCTATGCCATGGTTTTTTCGATACTGGACGTTGTTCTTATCCGCGTGCAGACCAACCAGGACGGAACTGTGCATGTCCGGAGGTCGCCTCTGATGGCCTTGGTACATTTCAATGACAACAATTCGAGATTTGTCAACGGTCCTCGCTCGAGACAGTCTGTTTTGCCTCAGAAGACTACCACATGCCCTGGCTTTGATGTCCCTCCTCCCACCGGGAAAGAGATCGCGGAAGATGGAAACTCAAGCCACCCTGCGGAGTCTAATGACGTTGAAAATGAGGGTGAGAAAGAAGGTCCTGCCACTATTGTCAAGGAGTCATATGAAGACGAGGATTTTACGTTCAGCATGATGTTGCGATTCTTTGATGCAGCCTCCGAGGAGCATCTAGCTGGTGAGAAGTCGCGTATTTTCCCCAACGAGATTATGGCCACCGTCCTGGAATTCTCGGACATGCGGACGCATGAAATGCTACGAAGAACGTCCGCTTGTTGCCAGCAACTTGGTAACCGCAGGATACGACTGAGTGACAACTACGCTGTCGTTGGAGCGGATAGAAGACAGGCACCTGAGCAGTTTTTCGTGGAGGATTTACGCACCGGAGAAAGGATTAAATCGACAGTGAGCTATAGCGCCAGATCCTACCATTATCTCCAGAATGAAGATAAGTCTATCGAGTTGAATCCGGTCATCGGTATCGCAGATCCCAGCAGTACCCGGGTGTCTATCATCGATAGGGTCAGCTTCTACTTATCAGACCTATATCCATCGGATCCAAAATACACGGGAAAGACAGAGTTACCATGGTAGTAAGTCCTCGATCAATCGTCGAACACGTAAATCATTCCTGCTTTTCCATTTTCTCACTCTTTCTTCAGTGAAAAGTACAGATATACCGGCGGATTTGCCGATTCTGAAGCCGACAACAAACTCCTCGATATGCCAACATACTTGTATCCCGGGTCTTTCGAGAACGCCTGGGGTCGATTCATCACCGCGGTGATTCGAAGTGGCGATAACTCGGCCTACCGGTTCGTGATGCTCAATAATGCAAAATGGATGTGTCTCCTTCCGCCGCGCTATCGGCAGCTGAGAATGGACCATTTGTTTTGTAATGGACTACAAGCCTTCGTGCGTCACCCCGATGACGAATCTCCCGTGGAATGGCAACAAACTATCAACTACGCCATCGCTCAGCTTGGCCTCACGGACCGCGTGCGCCCTCGGGAGCAAAATGTCAAGGGTCGTCCGGTCTTAGTGGGCTTCGGAACCAAGGCGAGGCTTTACTACTATGTCTACCGTCGCAACGAGACCCCGGCCGTTCCAGCAAACGCGAGTTCATATAGCGTTCGGATTGCGGACTCCTGCACCAAGTTGGACGGAAGACATCGCCTGGTTGAGCTCTACCCCGGAGGCAACCCGCTCAATATCCAGAACCCTGAGGATCGAGCGAAGTTGGAGGATTGGCTGTTAACATTTCGCGGCAATGATGATTTCGGCACGGAATGGGATCCGATAGCCGAGTCTCGCCAGCGTATTGAGTGTGGTGAATCCAAGACAACAGCTAACCAGAAGGCACAAGAAGTCCAGGGCGAGGACGCCAGTGACTAACGGTCATTTGCCTTACACTAGTGTCGCAGGAATAGCAGGTTGAAACTGTGGCGTTGCATGTGCTAGTCCTTTCTGTTCCATCTTGCTCATCAGTGTACGCATGCATGCTAGTTTTCTCTGTTTCAAACCTTTTTTTTTTTTTTTTTTTTTTTTTTTTTTTTTTTTTTTTTTTGGTTTTATTTTTTTTTTTTTTTTTTTTTTTTTTTTTAAAAAAAT